TCTCTTTTATACTTGTTTTTTTTTCTTCTTCTAATATCTATTTCTCCAGAGATGTTATTGCTATTGATAAAGCAAGTGGAAAAATTTCTCGTCTTGGACGATCATTTACTCGTGCAAAAGACTATGATGCTATGGGACCACAAGTACCGATAGATATTTGATTTTTTTCAAATCTCAAGAAATTTTAATTCTTTTTTAGACTAAATTTGTTCAATGTCCGGAAGGTGAATTACAAAAACGTAAAGAAGTTGTACACACTGTGACCTTACATGAAATCGATGTTATTAATAGCCGTTCACAAGGTTTTCTTGCATTATTTTCTGGTGATACAGGTGAAATTAAATCGGAAGTACGTGAACAAATCAATGATAAAGTTGCTGAATGGCGTGAAGAAGGAAAAGCTGAAATCGTACCAGGCGTTTTATTCATCGATGAAGTTCATATGTTAGATATTGAATGTTTTTCATTCTTAAATCGAGCATTAGAAAGTGATATGGCACCAATTTTAATCATGGCAACAAATAGAGGAATTACAAAGTAAAAGAGAAGAGTAAAATTGTTTTTTTTAAATGAATCTTTTTAGAATTCGTGGAACTAATCAACAAAGTCCACATGGTATACCTATTGATTTACTTGATCGTCTTTTAATTATCACAACTAAACCTTATGAAGCTGATGAAATTAAACAAATTCTTAAAATACGGTAAGTCCTTTCGAAGAGAGAGCGAGAGAAAAATAGTTATTATCCTAATCTCTATGAAATTGAAGTCTGTAATAAGATCAGCCTGTCATTCCTAATCAAACAAAAATTGGGTTATTCTTTCGATTTGCGATTTGTTCAATTAATTTCCCACAGATACAAGTAGGAATAAGTTCATATAGATTTTATGGCGTCGTGATCAAAATCTGACTAAAGAATTTTCGAGTGGCGTCCGAAAAATGAGTGCGAATAACATTTTTTGTATTTATGAAAGATACTTTCGTTCCTTGTATGTCAATAGAATTTGAGAGTGCCGTACATAAGATTCCAAGTACATTTCATGACAGCTGTCAGTCGATCTTTTTGGCTGATTTCCGTTCTTGCTTGGGGAGATGATGTCATTTCCTACAGGAAAATATAGTTAAAAAATTAGTTGAGAGTCATCACAATGTTTAACACTCAGACTATTAATAGTAGCTGCTGTCTCACCTATGGTTTTAACGCTTATTCCATATTATATATTTTTTAAATACAAAATTTAATTTGAATTACTAAGATAGACAATAATGCTGATAATTGACAGTAAACCTAACCAATCATCTTGTTTTTTCTATATATGAAATTTGCAATGCAATGCAATGAGTACAAGTCACGTGACAGTCAGCTGATATTTTAGGTTTAATATATATTTTAAACATCGCGCGCCTACAAAAATACGTCTATTAAATTGACTGATGCCTAATATAGAGAGTGCTTCAATTGTACTTGAATGAAATTAGTAGTTTTATGAAAGATACTTCCCATGTAGAAAACTGGATTTCAAGAATCGATTTTGACCTCTCTAAAGCTGATTTTTTTACATGGGCTACATATTAAAAGTCGTTCTCTACGTCACAATATATTTGAATATACTAAAATTTTCTAGACATCTTTTGTTTCAGTTAGGTTTCCATTCAGAATTCAATAGAATAGTTTACTTGAAAGTCAGATTATATTAAAGGAAGTAGTGATACCGGATCTCTCATATTTTTGACTATTTTCGATTAAGATCCGTTTGTTGCTCTTTCAGTTTTACGGAAGTAAATTCAGTAGCTCATCATAAACAAGCAACAAAAATAGGAACCTTTCGGCAATTATTCTTTAACCTTCATTTCTCTGACTAATGAGAAAAATATCGACTGAAAAGTCTTTAAGCATGGTTGACGCTTCTTCATAAATTTCCTGTATAGATCATAAAAAAAAGTAATTATTATTTTCCCTTCGAAATCGAGCATGAAAATGTTAATTTTTCTCATAAGAATAATAATTTCGATTTCTCTTCTATCATTAATAAAAATAATTGCTTTTCCTGATTTGATTACAGCACAATATGGATATCGAAAGTATTCCTTGGAACGTTCTATTTTCTTTTCTTTGTTTTATAGTATATATGAATTTTGATGAGCTATGATTATTTAGTTGTGAAGAAGAAGATGTGGAAATATCGGACGATGCGTTAAATGTTCTAACAAAAATTGGTAGAGAAACATCGTTACGTTATTCAATTCAACTTATAACGCTTTCAAGTATTATTAGTCGAAATCGAAAGGTAACAATAATATTTCTTTTTGTGTGCGATTTAAATTATTTCTCAATGCTTTTATAATCTAGGCTCGTGAAGTTACTGTTGACGACGTTAAACGTGTTTATGAAGTATTTCTTGACGAGGCTCGTTCAAGTGATAATCTTCGTGAATATGAACAGTATTTTATGTTTAATGATCTCACTAGTATGTATTTGTGCGAGAAAAAAATACGCGATTACTATTCCAATTGAATCTATTTTTAGCTGATCAACAACCAACCGGAGCAGCAATGGAAACATAATCTTCATCGTTTTTTTGTGCTGTTATTATTTCATTATAATGAAATGTATTTTTTCTTTTTGTTACTGTTGTTATTTCTATCTGTCAAAATTCACGATGATTAAATCTGTCCAACACATCATTGAAATAATTAGTAAAAAAAAGAATCTTCTAAAACAAAATATAGAAATTTTTTTCGCAACATCAAACTATAATTTAAGTATCATTTTGATATATGTATATATCAAGACATGATTTGTGTCGATCTTACTGGATCTTTGTTTTTATTTTATTTAAGTGACACTTAACAATAGATCGATCGATCGGATTTGGAGATTTATTTTTCATCGAATCGTGTTCTTTTATGACACTATCATTATCCGGAGCATTTTCTTTTTTCTTGTTGCTCGAGTTTTCGATATTTTTATTCTTTTAGAATCGTCATAGGACAAGAAAAGAAAACTGAATTATCCTAATGATTTTTTCAAAAACGAATGTCTTATCACGTTTCTATACATGTCAATCATATATCGTAGTGTCCTGGTAAATCCCGAGGGGGGCGTCCACTGCAAATAATTTTTTCGCTGAAATCCTGACAAGCGCTACGATGTATGATGCCAATCGGACGCTATGAATATTAGTTTTTAGTTTTTTTCAATAGAGATTGGCGGCTAGAAAAAAAAAAGAGAAAAGGGCTCGCTGTTCGAACGTTCACAGTTTTTCAAGTTATTTGTTGATTGTCATTCAATGGACCAAAAAGTATTTTTTAATCGAGTAATCGATGGTATACTTCCACGTTTCGTGACATGTATCTATTATGTGTTGTTTTTTTTCTTCTTTTTGACAGCATCCATAACTATATCTTCGTTTATAATAGACAGTCGATTTGCATGTTGATCAACAATATTTATATTCCTTCAAATGTATTCCATGCTTTTCTTCTCTTTTTTTTTTTTATTCCAGTTTGCAAAAAAAGAAACATTGCTGATGATGACGATTGTAATGCAAGTGAGTATAGGAAATTTTATGTTCGATAAAAAGAAATAACCGAATTGTGTTGTTGCTTTCCGATAAGATTATTACTTAAGAAGTAAAAAGCTCAATAAAAAAACCTATCATGCCCGATAGGCATAATCGTTTTTTTATTGAGTTGATTGTTCCAATTACTCTGCTTTTTTTTCTTCTCAAACAAGTCTCGACCCAAATACATACTTTACGCGGATCAAGCTGCAAAAAAAAAAGAAAAAACGAGAATGAAGTTTCGTTTTTTTCCTTACAAGTCAATATTGACTTGAGTCTTCAATACTTAACATGTCTGATCGATTGTGCTGATAAAAATAAATAGAGAATACCAGAAGTGCTGTTGGTCATTAGGTATTGCCACTAACAATAATTTTTATTGAATAAACTATTATCACATGAGGTTAACGCTTCACACAAAACAAAAGTACATAGTAATGTGCGTTTACTGAATACATTTATGACTTTTAATTTTGTTATGACTAGAGCAATTATCGGTGTAATGATGAATTTTCTCCCTAGAGTTAATTGATAGGTGGATCGATTTCTATTCAGTGGTCTTAGAGTCATTAAGAGTTGTAGTGTAAATTAGACAGTTATTAGTTGTGAGTTTATTTAAGTTATAACTAGAGATAAATGATTGATTTTAATAAATGAATAATTAAAAAAAAATATTGACCCTATTTCTTTAATTAGCGAGAACGTACCTTCGGAATACATGAAAATTTCTGTAGAATAATAGAAAGCGTTTTTTTAAACTTTTATTGAAATTCCTTTCATCGTTGTCATCATTATTCAGTGTACGATATTCGACTGCGGTAAATTCACTAAATGTTGTTTTTCATTTATTCAATTACCTTTTTTTAATGAAACAAATAAATTGAGCATGATCATAATGACATTCATTCTTTTCTACTTCTCACTAAATATATAGAAAAAGGGTGATTATAAAAGCTGAGAGCACTTCTTTTTTGTCAAATTGTTTTCTAAGAAAAATGAAATCTTTTCTCTTTGTGAGTAGATCTGACGTGACAGTCTATCTAGAAAATTAAAAGATAATATTTCTTGAAATAAAAAAAAAAGAAACAATATTACTTAACTGATTTGCTTAGAAGTTGCGGATGTTCTAATATTAATATAAAAAGAAGAAGAAGAAAATAGAAGCCGTACCATGACAATAGCTCTCCTATGAATATTCTATGATGGCAGCCGCAAAAGGAGCTTTCTATACGAGTCAAATATTACATGTATATATATATATATATATATACTAGATCAACATTTGATTTTTTCTTCTTCTTCTTCATTATGATTTGTTTATTAACAAACGTGTTGTTATGTTCTACTTAGTTAATAGAATATTTTCATCCAGAAGTTCGGATAAATACAATAGGTATGATTATTCATCTATTTCAGCCGATATTTACCTGATAAGGAATGTCCGACGAAAGTGTAAGTACCGATAATAATCGATCTCGCTCACTATTACGTCAAGTACGTGAAAAATTCGGTGGTAATCGACAACGTACGGAAAGACGAGCGGGATCATTATCAGCGGCATTGGTTAATACGCAACGTAGTTCAACTGATCATGCTGAAACATCCAATAACCAAACAAAACTTCATGTAGATAGTTCGGCACCAGTTTCATTTTCGCATCATTTATCATTATTAGTCAATGTTAAATCACGTTTTCGTAAAACACGAAAAACTGCAACGGCATTATCATCACCGAACTATGATGATCGCAAAGCTTTATCATTGCCGCCTACTATTTCTGATTCCGTAAGTTATCTTGAACTAAAAAATTTGTATGTAACTATCGTTTGATTCAATGAAATATTATATAGTCGATAGTATTGGACTCGTCAGCTTGCGCCAGCTGTTGTTTTTCGTGCGTGTCACAGAACGAAAATAAAATAATTTCATAAGATATTTCTATCAATCGTTCTCATGATATAGTTTCCATATAGAAACGGAAATAATTTATCATATCAATATTATAAAAAAACGTTAAAATATTTTTATTTTGAGCTTGTTTTTATAAGCTTTCGGTGCTTTTTTTTCTTGATTACTACTATTTTTGTCTCTAGTTGTCCTATTGTTGATTTATTATTCATGATATAATAAGGAAAAGATCTTCTTATGTCTGAATTATCTTTGCAATTCGTACATCTAATTACACATGTTTCCTACTTATCAGTGTTGTCCCATGAGTGTTAGTGCCTGCAAAAAAAGAGCCATTCATGCTCATTTAGAATAATCACAAATCGCCTAAATTTCGAAACTGATTATCGTTAAAGAAAAAAAGAGGGATTTTTCTCTTTCAATTTAATAATTGTAAAAAAATTTACTTGTTTCAACTCGCTGAAGTTACCGAATAACACTTTATAAATCGGAAGGAAGCACTGAAAATTTTATTTTTTGACTAGATATAATTCTATGCACATATTAAATATGTATATTTAAAATATGAAATAAACAATAACAATGTATTGTTGTATTTTTAATCCTTAATAGGTATTCTGTTTTTCTTTTCATATGAATAAATTTGCGATTCAAACATTCGACCATATTTTTCAGACAGAAATGATATAAACCCTACCTAAATACGAATAAAATTATTCGATTGGCCTTGATTTTATCGTTCGTTTTTTTTTTGCAAACGACCACTTTACCGGTTGCTACAAAAAAATAATGGCATCGTTGTGCTAGTACGAGCAAGGATTGAAGTCTTTATTGACAATATATAAATACCTACATATATATATATATATATTTGTAACGTAGAAAACATTATCAATGACGAAGTTCATGGTAAAACACAATTTTTATTGATAAGGATGTCGACACTGAAGGTGTTATTTTTGTTTTAACCTACCTCATCTCATAGCAACACATTCTCCGATTCTAAAGATCATTTGACAACTAAATTCATGAGAAGACTCAGTTTCTAAATAAGCTATCACTAAAGCAGCTGTTTTTAAGCATTTTTAAAATGTAATTACGTTTGTAATATAAATACTGGTCGATCGTTTGAGAATTATTTACCTGTAAGAAAAATTATGCTCTTGAGATAGAACTAGTTTTATTTATCTAGAGAATTTTGATGTTAGTTATTTAGATATCTTTTTTCTCAGTGCTAATTTTTTAATACAGATGAATTGTATTTATCAACCATCAAGTTTATCTTAAATTGAATTCTATAGCAAATGCTATTCGTTGATGTAGCCTATTAGTGAGATTCAAGTGGAAAGTAATCACACTTCAAGAACAGAGTTTTTATTTGTTTTTCTGATGAACACTTGGCAACAAAAAAGTCAAATATGAAGGAAAACCACAAACAATTACTGAGTAGAACAAATTCCGTTCGTGTCACATTAAAAATTTTGTTTGCGTAATTGTTTTCAGATTATTAAGCATGAGATGATCTCAGACGCAATATTATTAGAACTGCGTCGTAAACGACATGTATTTTTAATCTTTTTAATTCTTATCTTCTTACTTATTCAGTCAAGGGAAAACAAAAACACAAAAGACAAAAAAACATGCCAGGCATTCTGTTCATTCTAGATCTACACATGTAGTATAAATGGAATTATTTTTGAAGAACGTAATATTTTGTGTGCGCTTTTGTCGAAGTCGGATGCCATTTCCGAGAGAATTTGTCCTATCCTATACTATTAAGAAATTCCATAATGGAATAGGAAGATCTGCCATTAGCTTGGTTAAAACTATATAGAATAGGTCTTAATGCTTCGATCTTCATGTTCCTATCGATAGGCAACTCAAATGTTAATCGTTAAAACATTAGTTGTTAATGAGATGCAATAGAATGCATTGTCGTATCTATCGACAGATATAGCTTCATTTACTGACTAACGAAAGTGGCACCATTCTATCGACAACAAAAAGAAAAGAGTTCCATACTAAAAAATCTGTGAGGCACAGAAGGAGAACAGAGTCTTTTGTTTTGCTTTTTTTTCTCAGCAAACATTTTTCCTTCTTTTTGCTCTATGTAGCCTCAAACAGTCGAGGAAAATGAGTTTTTCTGTTGTCGCTAATCGTTTGACGCATGTTAACATCCGTTTTCTTTTCGTTTAATCGTTTAGTTAGTCGCAAAATGCTAAGAGAAAATTGAAGTAAAGAAAAACTGCAACGAAAGCTGACCTAATGATGTCAGTGAACATTGTAAGACGAGCTTATTATCAAAATGAGCATACCTAATAAAGATAACCACAATATGATTATGAAATGTTTTTGTGCGTGCATCAAGGTGATTAATTTCTGTTTCATTAAAATTAAAATAAGATTCCGTTAATAAAGCGAAGTTTCTTTTTTTTTCTCTTCATTTGTGAATCTCTAGGAATCATCAGTAACAACACTATGCGAAGTCAATCAAGATATCAATAAAAAAGAACTTGATTTAACATCTCCCGAACTTCCGATTACTACAACAGCAACTAGACCAAGTACTGATGATCAAGTAACAGTTGTTCAACGTAATTCTACCGATATGTCGACAGTTGATGACGATAATATTTCGCAGTTAAACAGTGAAACAAATCGTGCATTGTATACAAATCGAAAAAATTTTAATAAATTAAAAGATCATATAACACAACGTGCAAAAACAGTTGTAAGTAAATCTCCATCGTTGACATCACTGTTAACAAATGTGTCAGTAAAAACAAGTTCTAATGATACAATCTATTGGATTGAACTTCATATTGAACGAGGCAAAGATTTATCGATTAAAGATTTTAGTGGTACCAGCGATCCATATATTAAAGTTTATTATGGTAATGATGCAAAATTTGAAACAAATATTGTTTTTAAAAATTTAAACCCAGTATGGAATGAAAAAACGACATTTTTCGTGCATGATTTAAATATTCCAATTTATTTTCATATATTTGATTACGATCGTATTGGACGCGATGAGTCAATGGGTTCAGCTAGAATTGATCTATGGAAAGTACCGCTTGAAAAAGTTTATAATGCCACACTTGATTTAGAAAATGAAAAAAGAACCGATGGGAAAACGGGTATGCTCAAAATGAGTATTACAATCACACCTAAGTCACCAGAATTTCGTGATGAAGTAAGAATAAATTTAAAAGAAAATAATAACACGCTATATATAGATTTGCCATTTAATCTTCATTCATTTTTAAAGATAATGCGCACAGTGTCAAAGCAATTGAATAGAAAGTCTTCTTTAACTGGTCGCTTAGGAAATACAAATACGTATCCATTATTACGACGTACTGTTGATGTATTTATTATTGAAGGCAGAAATTTATCAGTGACTGGTGCTTCGAATAAAATGTTTAGTCCTTCTGTTCGTCTTAAATTTGGAACAAATAAAAAATATCGAACACAAGTATAATAATATAATTTATATGATGAATAATGTTTGTATTTTATTTTTCATTAGACAATCAAATCAACTCTTAATCCTAAATGGCATCAGTCATTTATCTATGAGATTCTTGCTAGTGAACTGCCTCCATTAGAAATAACTGTAGTTGATGACACAAGTAGTTCTGGAGAACTTATTGGAAAGTACATAGAATATATAACTAGTAGAAATAATATGAACATTTGATTATTTTATCTAGAGGATGCTGTAATTTAACTCATCTGGATGAAGAACGAACTCACAAAATATCAGTAGATCTCGATGATAACGCTGGCGCTATTGATTTATTTGTAACCATAACTGGAATAGCACCATTACCAGATGTAACAAATGATAGCGATACTTCTTCAAATCTTGCTCTAGATGTTATGCCATCAAAATTAACCGATGAAGATATCCAATATTATGTTCGTATAGAAGCAAAAAATTTAATGTTGTTTTAAAAAAAAAGAATGAATCCGTGATTTTTCTTAGAGCTTTTTCTCGTCACTACGATCAATAACACCAATATTTGATGTCGGAAAAGTTGAAATTAAAAGTAGGACAATAATTGATTTTTTTTCCCAGAAAATCATCATCTGTACTCATTTGTATTAGTTTATCAAGCACGCGATTTAAGCGCAAAAGATATCAATGGTAAATCAGATCCATTTTGTGTTGTCGAACTTGATTCAACACGTTTACGTACACATACAATTTATAAAACCCTCGATCCTGTTTGGAATAAATCATTTATTATACCCGTACAAGATATACATTCGACGTTAGAATTAACTATTTATGATGAAGATACTAATAAAACGACAGAATTTATAGGAAAAGTCGTCATACCATTGTTAGCGGTACAACGGAAATTAGTTTCCTTTATTTATATTCATAATGATTCTTTTCTTGTTTAAGATTAAAAATGGCGAAAAAAGATGGATGGGATTAAAAGATCGTAAATGTATTTTACCTGTCAAAGGTATTATTGAAATTGAAGCCACTGTTGTGTATACAAATGTAAAGAAATCTTGTTTTTCATACTAAACTTTTTATACAGGTGCTTTTTCTCGACTAAACTAGTTAAGAGCAATTCTTCGTACATTTAATCCCAGACAGATTCGATATTATCAACAGGATGGAAAATTTCGTGTCGGCGTAAGTAGTTGTTTATTCTTGACAAATTATTTTCCATTCATTATGAGTTCTTGTAGGTCTTTAAACAACATATCAATCGTGTAAGAAATATGCTCAAGTATGTACTTAATGCAGTGAAATTTATAAATTATTGTGTTGAATGGGAAAATCCTCTACTAAGCTTTTGTGCTTTTATTGTAAGATGATTTGTTTGAGATGATTTGTTTGAAATGATAAAATGTTTGCTTGTTATAGTCTTCACTTATAATTATTTGGAATTTCCAATTGTATATGCTCCCTTTTGCACTTTTATTAATATTTGCATGGAATGCAGTAGTTGAATATCGTCGCGGTTCATTGGGAAAACCTTTTTCGACATTAGCAGATGAAGTAAAAAAAATACGATTTGAATTTCAATTAAATAAATATCTGCTGATTGCTTTTATCTTTTGAAGACAGTATCTGCAGTAATACAGCCGGCAACGATCGATGAAGATGTACTGGATGGTGATGGTAATACGAAAGTAAGAAGGCGAAAACAAAAACAAAACAACTTTCAAGTATTGATTTCTTCCAATAGGAACAAAAGAGATCATTGTTGGGTGTTATTCACGGTATTCAAGATACTGTTCTTGAAATTCAAGGTTATGTTGATGATTTTGCTTCGACAATGGAGCGAATTAAAAAGTCAGAGAAAATGTTTTTTCGTAATAGAAACTTATAATTATTTTTGTAGCGTTTTCAATTTTACTGTTCCTTGGCTATCCATTCTTGCTATCACTGCTTTAACGATCATTTCCATAATACTCTATCACATTCCACTTCGATATTTAGTTCTTGCATTTACTATAAACAAATTTACTAAACGATTTCGTAAACCAAAAGGTTTTATTGATAATGATGAATTAGCTGATTTTATATCACGATTACCTTCCGATCCTGAACTAGTAAGTTTGATGATTTTTAGGGAACATACAAATTGAATCCACCGTTTTACTACTTAATTTAGTTACAATATCGAGAATTGAAAATTTTAACACGCATTCCAACACCGAAAAAATATAAACGTACGACAACCAATGGCAAATAAGAAAAGACAAAACTATTTTTGTATATAAATATATTTCCATAGACGATTGATATTCAAAATAATGTTCGTAGCGCATAGTTTGTGATAAAGTAATATGATCATTCTATATATATATATATAAGAGACATTTAAGATCAGATATAATGTTACTATTTTTATTCTGTGCACGGTGAATTGTCTTTCGAAAATAAAAATAAACACTCCTTTAAACTCAATTGAATGTATTTCCAGTACTTTGATAGAAGAATAACATTTTCCAGTAAATAAACAAATAATCTATTCGGAATTGTAATCAGGGGTCGCAGCAGCGTATGTCTCAAAATCAGGAATTCAGACAGGACACAAATTGGGAAAAAATCAGGAATTCAAACAGGACACAAATTGGGAAAAAATCAGGAATTCAAACAGGACACAAATTGGGAAAAAATCAGGACATTTGCAGACTTGTTTTGATAACGCACTAAGCGATTAAACTTTCACAAAATTGAATAAAGTAATGGTAATCTATTTTTATAACCACGTGCATTGCTTCGATGAACTTCATAAATCACGAAGGAAAAATCAAAAATGTGACGAAATCACTGTTCGTTGGATGCTTGCTTCTAATTCTTTTTTCTGTGGAACTCACATATATTTTTGAAGAAAATAGTGAGTGTAAGTTGAATTTTTAGGTTTTTGCGGCTCCTCTGNCAATTTCTCACCTGATAATACGAAAAAATATAAATTTCTCAATAATATTGATAGCTATATCCTAAATACTGTTTAAACTATTATCATTCACAATATTTCTCAATGAAACCACTAAACACTTCAGCATACTGACATATTCTAAACAAAAAATTTTTTTTATACATTCTCTCTAGTAATATTTCCTATTGATAGCTTCAATAAACTTCAAATGTTAAAAAGGTTTATTATCTCATTTGTGAACAAAATATGATCTCACTATTCTGAAAAAATAAAACTGCTATTTGATCAGTATCTAACTGACCGAAATATGTGAGTTCCACATTTTAGCTCCAACGGGGCTGCGTTGAAAAGCTTTTTCGTAAAACTTATCAAATAATTACATATATATTAACCTTGAAATATTGATCATAACAAAAGAAAATGTGGAAGTCATTTATATTTAGGCCTATTGGTAAAAAAAAATCATAAAATATCAGGACATCAAAAAGAAATAAGGAAAGTAGTACTGCTGCGAGGCCTGATCATAGTGATGAAAGGTTTCTTTCTTTGTTCTCAATTTATTATTCAAATGAGCGTGCTATTTCGTACAGCTAATGACATTTTTGTGATTGAGTTAGAAATAATTGTCGATGATGATTGCAGACTTGTTAAATTCATTTTATTGATTCTCAAATCCAAGACAGAATGTAACGATGAGGTTGTGACCGGAATAAGAAATTATGTACTAAATGCATTGTTCATTTGTAATTTTTATGGAAAATAATCGAATGATTGATGGATTCCATTATGAGTAACCCGCAATAAAATGTTTGCGAAAACAAAACGAACACAAGAAAATATAAATCATAAAATAGTATACTATAAACTGACTATAGATTTCTATTAATTAAAAGTTCGAATGCGTGAACTTTGAGAAAATGTGTTAATTTTCATAATTTACTTCTGTTTTACATTCTATACAGTTGTGATAATCAACAGTTGAAGTATTACACTATCTATGAATATCGATTGTATTTGTCTATTTCGAGTAAGATGATTGTAGATAAAATTACCATGTTGTGCAGTAAATTTTTATTTTATCTTACTCGTCAGTTCGATCAACTTCATCAATAAGCTTACCAACGTTCTCGTTAATCACATGTCGCAGTAGATCTTTTTTATACTATCGGATGTTCTAAATCGACAATATATTTATATATATTCTATCGTTGTAGCCAATCTACTTCCATAATTTTAAATCCAAACTGAATTTTCAGATGTAATAAGTCATTTTGCGAGCTTCATAATTCCAAAAATAATCTTAACTATTGTCGTTCAGCTCGAAACCTTAAAAACTATGCTTAGTTTAATGTGAGCGCGGACGGATATCTCCTATAGACATGATGACTGTAGTTATTTCATTCACACTATTTAAAATGGCATTGAACACATTAAAAAAATCTATTTGAAATATTGTTCCTCTCGAATTGTATATCATTCTTTAGAAGATTCGATATGATGTCATCTTGTAATCAGTGAAAAAAAGACAAATCTAATTGTAAGTTTCACAACGAAAAAAGTAAATTACATGAAAGAAAAAAATATACAAGTCTGTTCCTTGAATGACGTTTTAAATAGATTTACATATATATTAAATCATACGTTTATTTTTTAAAAATTCTTGACCTTTCTAAATAAAGCAAAGAGAGAGAGAGAGAGTTCATAACAGCATAGAAAAATTCTCTTTTACCTCTATTTGTCGTACAATTTCATGTTCATTTTGTAGTAGTTTTCCTTTGGCAAATTCTTGTTTAATTCTATTTAAATAAAAGTCAACATCTGTATACTTTAATGTTTGACTGTATCGAAGTAAATCTCGATAAAGGCGAAGTATTTCAAGTTGTCGTGTAGGCATAATGAAAAATATCTTGAAAAGAAAAAAAAACAAAAACAAAAACAAACACAAAATTGATTCTTTTAACTAATTAAACGGCCTTTTTTAATTAATCTCTTTTTTATTTTCGATTTTTTATCATCTTTTCTCTTTTGTAAATTCGTTTGACGTTTTTCTTGTTTTTCTTTCACACGTTTATTGGTTTCAGATTTATTCCTTTGCCATTTTTTAGCTGATCGTTCACGAAGTTTGCTTTGTTTTTTAATTGATTTTCGTAATAATTGAACATTATCACGAATTTTTTCACCTTTGGCCTTTGCTAATGCTGTTTTCCAATTTTTTGAACGTAAAATTTCTTTCCCTTCTTCAGGATTTTCTTCTTTTAAACGATTGATTTCATCTTGTTCGGATTCAACTTTTTTCAATGTACTAATTAATTGTTGTTTTTTATTTTGGAATTTTTTAGTTTTTTTCTTTTTCGAACTTGTATCAACTGAATCTTCAGTCTTAAATTCAAATCGACCAAATGTTATTTGATTTGGAACAATTGGTGGAGTTTTAGTTGATGGTTTCGATTCTTCATTATCGTTTGAAGAAGGTGCTATCCATTCTTTTGTAGTTGATCGAGGTCGTTTTGTACGCTCGGCTGATTTATCTTTTGTTCGTTTACGTTTGCCATTTTCTTCAACTCCATTCTCTGTCAAAATAATCAAATAGTTAGACATTTTCTTATTGGATTTAGTAATTTTTAAATAAAAACTTTTCAGACTGCTCTTCGATAGGGATCCAAAGTATATATACGATGCAGGCATGACTTCGGATTCTCTCCGCTCAACCTAATATGTTCTTGCTATGTTAAAATATTGAATGTTTGTTACTAGAATCCGCTCAATAGTCTGAATCTAAGTGTTTCTTCAGATTAAAATCGGACTGCTCAACTTAAACGAAGAATCGATCGATATTAACCTGCTTGTTGTTGACGATGAGGCATTTTATCGTGAAGTTTTTTTAATAATTCCTCACGGCTGACTGGAGTGCTTGACTTTTTCTTATTGTTAGCAGTTGATGAGTTATTTTCTAAATAGAAATGAAAATAGAAAATTCTAAATAATAAACTATAATGGTTAATTACTATCATGATGAGCTAGAAATCGATAGATTCCTGATGTTGTTCTGATCGATTCAACACCGGCTACATCAAATGATGATGTAGAAGTTGGTCCTTTGCCTTTTTGTTGTTGTTTATTACGTTTTGATGTTGATTCCCGAAGAAATTTATCTTTACGTTCATTGTATGCTTGTAATTCGTCTTGGGCGATGTAGGTTTCAGGTCGAATAAAATCAACTAATGAATGAAGAATTGTATTCAAATTTAAAAAATGTTCAATTCCTGGATGTTGAGGAACCGCATCATTTTTGACTATGTTGACATCAGATGAAACCGTATTTTTCTTACTCATTTTCTGAATCTAATATCGATTTTTTATGATACTGATCTACGTATATTCCACTATGAAATACACGAAAGAATCGTTCTCTTATGATTGGATAATAATACCAAAATTGTATTTCACTGCAACATGCTTCATGTTATCCAATCAGATCTATTTAAGATAAAGCTATCGAAAGAGGACACTAGCTTATGAGCACTTTCTATTAGACACTCATGCAGCTATTCAATAGTTCGAAAGGTTCTTTACATTTTTTCAATGGAAATGATTTAGGTGCATTATAAAAAACGTTCCTCTAATAAAATAGCAATCTAATCCACAAGCATTATACTCGTTTTTTCTTGCTAGTATTATTTTTATTTACACTGGTAAAATATTCATTACACAACGTTTCTTGCAACTTTGACCTTCAAGCGTAAAGAAAGAGCTTATCTATAATGCTTTCGATCGTCCACATTCGATATGATCTAAACGAACATGTTCTCTCTTTTTTCTTTGATTTTCGTCGTGCTTTTATATCCGACGACATCAATGACTGTTATGGATGAAGGGAATGAAAATTTTCGAGGGTCAGATCGCGACATGTTCCAGGGACTATCCGCGGTAGAACATTCGGGCCACCGGATCCCGTGGGATACTCCAGGAAATATGTGAGAAAATCATCATATCCTGCAGGAAAACACGGGAAATCGCTGGAACATGGAAGCAGTATTCCGGTCAAAAATACGGCCGGACTTTTCCGGCGGATTCCTGCCAAGTTCCAGTGCTTTCCGGCAGGAATTGATCGGAGATCACCGGAAAAATTTCCAACCGGAATACTGCTTCCACAAAGTCAACGGAACTACCCGGAACTGGCCGTTTCTAGGCAGGACTATTCGACCTGCGATCACATATCTTCTGTCTTCTCTCTCTTAGTCAAATAAAATAGATATAAGATAAGTAAACGAAAATCGAAATGCATCCATTGAGTGTCGATATTACATTCAAAGTTATACGATATGAGAACACTTAATTTCTACATCCACTATGGCTGACATAAAAAAACAGGCTAGTTTATCACTTTAATACACGAAGTTACAACATAATGAATAGTTATTTTACAATGACTTGAATATAAATATGTTTTCATACGGGTTTATTGCAAAATAGATAGAAGACATACGCTATCTAAACAGTATTGAACGTTTGTAATTTACACAAGCTGTAATTCTTGCATTTCTATGAACTTAAAAAGTATAAGATAGAAATATGTTTGGACTTCAATCCTACAAGGCAAATCTTCAAAAAGTTGAGGATCATGAGAAGTTTTCTTCTGCTCCTAGCGCGATCTTTTAGTTGTTAAAAGTAAAAGAGTTTCACATATTTCTTCCTGAACACCCTTATGAGTATTGAATATATATTTGATCGTTTTATCCAAGGGGGAAAAAGCTGATTTAAATCACAGTAAAACTCAACTTACAATCAATATAAATTAACTGTATTGGAATGAGTTTGCGTGAGTTTCGGTGCCTTTGAATGATTTTCAGTAATAATTTATGATTTGGAATAGTTTTTAGTTAGTTTAGCAAATTTTTCGTTTTCTCAAACTCATTTTAAATCAGCTAAACTCAGAAAAATCATGAAACTCATAAATCGCTTTTCCCCCCTTGGTTTTATCACTAATGTAATGTCTCAGATCTGTTAGTTTCCTTATCATACACGTGTGTAAGAAATAGAAAAATCAATGCGCTCGTTCTGAACCTGACTGTTGAAGGGCCCGATGCACTTTCTGTTCATATTCACACAAGAATACAAGTAGCAGTGGTGAAAGCAAGGCTAGCTTTTCTGATCGTTCATTCATCGATCGTGTAAAATGTATAAAAGTAACGGCTCTGACGAAAGCCAACTACTTAATAATCTAGATTCACAGAATAACGAACGAAGAAGATGTATAGTACTCCAACTTTTCTTTTTTTCTTAGCCTTTATTTCATTGTATTTCATCATATATTTAGGTCATCGACAACAATCCTATTCCCAGGAGAATCATTTCGACAGTAGTATCCTATCGGATTCCGACAAGGGTCAGACAGTGAATATACCGAATACCATATGTGTTTCAATAAAACCAACGAAATCTTATGGGATACCTGAACAGGGGCCTACAGTCGGATCCGATGTTAGATTTTAACGGAATCCAACTCTAACGAATCATCATTGCGCTCTGATGACTCAAAATTGTTATTTGATCGTGAATAAGAAAATAGTTTTTTTTCCGTCGGAACCGACAATAGGTCAGTGTCCAGGAATCCTATCGGGGAGTCGGATTCATTCACCTGGATTGATTCGCATGTAATTCCACGTAGTGCACTCATTGCATATGTGAAGAGTTTCGATCACGAAGCGATCAATGAATTCTTTGTAACGCCAACAATTGCAATGAAAGTCATCGATTATGTCCACCAGCTTTTGAATAGAACTACGGTGACAAACGATGTAAGTAACGAGGCAATAACAGCTTGTATTTCTAACAATTACAGTCTATTATATAGGAAGCAAGTATGTTAGTCCATAACTGGTACAAAACCGATATTGACAATAAAGACGTAACAGCTTTTAATAAAAGAACCAAAAGCATTGACAAAATTATCGTCTTATTAGCAGCAGTAAGTAGTCTCCTTTTCCTTTCTATTTGTTTTATTTTCTGAATTTTTTTTTCAAGGATTCCCAGGTCGAACAGTGCGGTCCGTATACGGCCGATGACGGTTACTTTACGACTACTTTACGGGCGAAATTTTGCCGTAATATCTGGCGCAGTAATACGGATCGTATTATCATGAGAGTACGGAGCACAAACAGCCGTAAACCATGAAAATTCAGTCCCATTTGTGGTGCCGTATTACTGCGCCAGGTATTACGGGCAAATACGGTCTATTTACTGCCGTAAATACACCGTTTTGACATCGTTTACCGTCGATAAACAGACCGTAAACGAGTGCGTTTTGGCCAACCTGGGTACTGTTGGATTGATCAATTTGAATTATTAACATATTAGCACCATTTTCACCATTGTGAAGTATTTTTTGTTGATCATAAAAAAATGAAATAAAAAAATTATACATAAGAAGCATATAATCAGGTATATGCTTTTGTGTGTGTACGCTAAACGAAATTGTGTATCTTATGTGAGTAAACCGCCCTTGTTAAGTTCATCTTAATGCAAAGTAAGGAAAAAGAAAGATAGATAGAAAATAGTTGCATCAAAGAATTCGCAACGTTTACAACTTTTATTTCTGTTGTATTTATTAAATCCTAAAGGATATTACACAATTGATATTTAACGAACTATTTGATCTGTTCGATTCGTTTTAGCCTATGACAAATCCTATATGCTTTCCGTCGATTTTCTCCATGTCGTTTCTTTCGAACGCTTTAATGAATCGGTTTTAAATGACTGAATTTTAAAACAATTCTGACGTGAGTGTTAGATAAACCTGCTGACTTCTATTCCAAGCACATCACATTTGACCAAATGTATCAAGAAACGTCTCTTCAAAACAATGAATTTATTTGATCTGCTATACATTATTTTAGAAGAATTTTTTAATCAAATTTTATAAAACATAAATTCTATAAGCAATAAACTTCACATACAATAAAAAAAAATTGAATGATTTAAACAAATTGGTCTGAAAGCAATTTTTAACAACTAGTAATATTTGGTATATCTAAATGAAATACTGAACGTACGCAGTATCTGCAACATATTTGACATAAGTTCGATGCTTGCCACACATTGAAAATCTGATTTTATATGTGAAATTGTTAATATAAAATGATATCTGTCATGGTAGATTAATTTTGACAATAATCAAATGAAAGACGAGACAAATCATTTGTTGATACTAAATATTCAAAAAAGAAAGAGCATCAAATTTTTATATTAATAAAAAGATCAAATTTACCTGTTTGTTTTAATAATCCTTTCAAAGTAGCTTCTAATTGAGAATTTGTTGATGAACATGGAATAATCAATGTTGTATCAGGAACAGAATATCTTTAATAAAAACAAGTTTAAGAGTAAAAGAAGGTTTTCTTTGAAAAATGATATTTACTTTTTTAATCTTGTAATAAATTGAACTTGAATAGACATCTGAAATGAGCAAACAAACAAATAGAATGAGCATTTATTTATTTAGTAGATATTGATATTATTTTTTAATATCGTCTAAAGGTTTATCAAGTGGATCTGTTTTAGCTTGAGAGATCTTTTCTACAACGACGTCCATTCATTTTGAAACTCTTCCAAAAATACTATGTTTATTATCAAGCCATGGCGATGTAACAACAGTTATAAAAAATTGTGAACCATTTGTATTGGGTCCTGCATTTACCATTGAGAGTGTATATAGACGATCGTGTTTTAATTGTGGATGAAATTCATCTTGAAATTTTTTTCTCCATATTGATTGACCACCTTGAATTAATTGAACAAAAAGAAAATATTCTTTATACTAAAAATATGTTAAAAGAAATAAAATAATAAACCTGTTTGAATCATAGATTGTTTAATAACACAATGAAATATACAACCATTATAATAAGATTGTTTTGAATGTCGAATAAAATTTTCACAAGGTTTTTGAACATATTCAGGAAATAAACGAACATGAATATCACCACATGTTGTATGAATTATTGCTGATTGAGACAATGATGATAAAGCTTGGTCTCCTGTTGCTGCTAAAATTTCTTCGCGAGTTGGTTTTTCATTATAAACATCGCAATCATTATCATATTCACTTCGATTGTCTAAAATGAATCGAATAAATAGCATAGAAATTCAATGTTTATCTGTTAATTTTGTTTAAATTCTCAGCTCAATAGGCAATAAAAATCAATACAATAAACGAATGGTTTACTTTGTGGATTATTTTTTTTTAAATAAATGGAATCTATTTTGTTAATAACTAGTTGTAAAAATAATAGTTAAAATAATTTGATTATTTAATGATTTATTATATTGATAAAGTGCTAAGCGTACAAATCGTGCATTTTCAGTTGTACCAAAAAAATGTCGAATAGAATTATTACATAAATTTAACATTTTAATTACATATAAAGTTGAATAAAAAAAGACAAGTTCTTGATGAATCAAATCGAAGATTGATCAATGAATAAATAGAAGAATTTTTTTCTAAATCTTTTTCAATAGTTAACCGTCTTGAATATTCAACATTATTTAATATATTCATATTTGATTTTTTTTCTTCGTTTTCTTGTTGTCTTATTTGTAAACGTTCATGTAATTGTTTGTATACATCAAGATGTTCATCGAATATTTTTATTATTTTACCTTTTACTGTATTAATTAAAAAGAAATAATTTTCTTTCAGTTGATAATGCACCCATCATCAGAGCAAATAGTCGACCATTGAGACTGAATTCTAATGCTAATGGAATTAATTTTCTTTTAACTAATTCATATAAATCTGTATCTAATTTTGAATTTAATAAAATTTCATTTGGTAAACTTTCAATATTAGTTGGTGACCAATAATTAATAATTGATTGCATGATATAGCTATATCATATTTATCACAATATGAGATTAATCATATTGATGAAGCATGATCATGATTTGATAATATCGATATCGGCTCTTTTATATTTAATGCTCGCCCATCATATAAATATAGATTTTAGATGATCGACTATTAGAAACAGTCAATCTTGATAAAGCTTGTCATGGTGAATCAACAAATGAACCAGCTAATAGAATAAAATCTGATTTAACTATTGTTATCATATAAAATGATGAGGCATCAAATATTTTGTAATTTTGACTCGAAACATGTTGAACATAATCTTGTCGATTCTAAAAATATCTTAATCAATATAAGAATGATGCTCTCTCCCTGCTTTTCAGAAATCAATATGACTAGATGAGAAAAGCAACTTACCTAAATAAGCACAAATACGTTGAACAAATTTTTTAAGAATATGAACAAAAGAATTAATTTGTTCTTTGAGATTATCATTTGTTTTTATGTTTGAGATGATAACGAGACTGTAAGCTGTTATTTAAAATTACCTGACATTAAATTATGGAACATCTGCTATGATCATCATGTGAACCAGTAATTCAAAAATCATTTCTGGATAAAATACTATCTGTAACAATATCTCTATACATCTATAACATCTTCGGTAATTCTCCAGATGAGAAGCATGACACTATTTACACTTCTTGATGCCCTCGTCGTCTCTAGTTGATGTAGATACTGATTACGACGAATTTGTGTGCATGCTGTCGTCATTATTGATAAGAACCGATTTCTCAGCATTCTTATTTCCGTCATTTTTTCGGAAATAGTTCACCTAAAGACAAAGACAAATTATATAATATGGCTATTTCGTTCTTACCTCAATAGAAGAACTGAACAGTAGAGGACGTTTGAAATCGTGTTTTTATAAATTCATTATCTTATTAGATTAAAGTAATAGGCATACAATACGTTGGCTCAAAATAATTTCTGTAACCCAAAATCGTTGAACTAGTATTTAACAAACTATTTAAATGTTACACAATTTGAATTTGAAAAACTAAAACAATGATTGTACCATAGACAGAGAAATTTTAGTTATTTCTTTCATGTGGATTCAATAAGAAGAAAGTATAAAATGGTGAAAAATAACTCTTGAGTGAAAGGCACAGTTTCGATGCAGAAAAAAAAATCAATTTTTCGCCTTACAACCATTCAATTGTGTATCTGCACTTTCATTCCCAGAGATAAACAAAATCAATTTCATTGAAGACGACGCGTAAGATTCACGACTTTCCGAAAAGAAAACTTTTGTTAATCAAAATCTTAATAAGCTCGAAAACCATCAATAAAAATTCTCGAAGTTTCTTAATTTCATTCAAAAACATCATGTAAATTACGAGCGCTATGTGTCTCTTGCAACATATAGAATAAAAATGCATTTGTTTTTCAGCTGAATATTGAAGATCATGCTTCTTATGAAAAGTGACCGCAAGTAATACCCAAGTACGTCCCGAGATCACCTATACGTAACCGTTTTGATTTGATTTCGATCGATGAATTTTTCACTGATTCGCGTGAAAAACCCACTCCACCTCCAAGAGAGCATCTAGTTATGAAGCGACAAAAAAATGCATGCATCGCTGATCATAATATATCTGTGAATCTTATGAGAAATTTACAATTGAAAATAGTTTTTATTTTATCTACTCTGTGTATCTATTTTCAATTCAAGTATCGACGATAACTTCAAAACAAAAAACTGTTTCTACTAGTGTGTGAGATTAAAAGTAATTCTACTATTGAATCTTGAATGTTTATATTTATTGAAAATCCTTTATAGTATACACACACTTTTTGAACTAATAATAATAATAATTGAAGATAGTTTTTTGTGTCATAAATCGAATAACCAAACGTCATAAAATCAGCCGTTCCGTATGGCATCTATCGAAAAGTGACGCTTCATATAAATTTGACTGGATCCGTACAATTATCCAATGAAAATAAAACCAAACTGAAAAATAACAGAACAGCTGTTTGTTTGATCGTTTGCAGGCATGAACAAATGATAGAAATTCTAATTAGTTTCTCTATCGATTATAGATTATTGACCAAATGATGTCCAACATGAATGAAACATTTTTAATAAACTTAAAAAACGAATTTAATTCGAATTCATCATCAGCATTCGTTTCCTCAGAACTTCTTTTACATAGTTATACACCAATTGAAACGCTCTCATCCGAACTTGATTGTTTACCAAATCTCTCACAAGGTAAACATTTTGTTTTCTATTCATTTCTATTATCAACTCGGGTTTTTCTTTGAGATCTTTGCGTTCAATCGTCAATACCAACACATTTCAATTTGAAAAATTCAAATGATTGGGTTCTCGCTCATTCCCTTATAAAACAAGCAGTTGTTCAACTTGAACGTACAACAAATGAAGATCTTTCACGCTTAACAAATAATAATCACAGCAAACTCTCTACAATATCTCCAACTTCAAGTATACATTTTGATGAAATACCTCGTGTACGTGGTCCAAAGTCTACTCGATTTACTTGTCCTATATGTGGTTTAATAACTGTATCGATGGAACGTTTACAAAGACATGTAAATCAGCACGGACAAAAACTTCGATTAGAAACATACAAACCCGAACGCAAACTGTCTACATTAGTATGTGAAAAATGTAAAGCAACATTTTCATCTGCATATGCTCTAAGAAAACATCAGCGTGTACACACACGAGGTTTGTTAAATGAAATATTCAAAAAGAAAATTTTATCTATATATAAATTTAATAGATAAACCATTTTCATGTGATTTTTGTGAATCAAAATTTTCTCAATGGGGAAATCTACGACATCATATTCAACGACATTTAGGCATCAGTCCTTATGCATGTCCATATTGTAAAAAGACATTTATTGCACCATGTAAACTTGAAGTGCATATTCGTGGCCATCTCGATGAACGACCCTATGTTTGTGATCGATGCCAAGCTACATTTAGATGTAATGATGATTTACGTAAACATCTAATTATTCATGCAGACTATAAAGTAAGTTCTTGTGTTCAATATCATAGAAAGTACGGTGTGGGTGTGATCCTACGTGCTTCATTTCACTAACATCAACTCCAGAGACATCTACTTGAACACTTACAATATTTGAAGTTGAGTTTTTGTAATTTATTGGATAAATTATTCATTAGAATTTGAGTGTAGCTTAGATCATCCTCTCTTCATTTCAAACTAGAAAATATAATATGACTTGAACGATAATAAACTAAATGAACAGTTAATATTCTTTGTATTTACATTGAATATACTTCATTTCCGCTCATACTGATCTCATTAGAATTCTTCGACAACAAACTAATTCCTATCTAGAAGGATAACAATTGTTGATATTTGACTCTACAATAGTTGTATCAGTTGTACATAAATATACTTGCATTCATGCATATGACGAGAATAAATGATTGGAAAACTTTTTCATTGATGTTTTTTTCACTTGATAAATCTCAGCTTGATTATGCAACGCAGCAATATATTGTTGTCTTCATGTTTGCTTAATGAACTGAAATAGTGCATAAAATTATAAAATAAGCTCATATATATTTTTACATATCAATCACAAAAGGGGGGTATAGTTAATTAGTATGTCGTGTAGACTTTGTACCGTACAGTTCATTTTCTATTGGGAGAACGTCGTCGAGATTATTTCAATCAGATCAAAGTATAGTTATGGTCTGATAGATTTTGGCAGTAGTATGTTGCTTTGCTTGATAACGTGGAGAAAACAAAAAAGATTCAAGGTATTGAACATGATATCATGTTTTCTTTTTGCTTATTTTAGCCATTTGTTTGTTGGATATGTTCAAAACCATTTTTTCATGCATCGAAATTACGTATGCATTTAAAAGAAAAACATGATACGGATGTAATGATACGGAAAAAAGATGTATTAGAATCTGGTACCGAGTATGAAATCACATTTATTAATTCTGGCGAACGAACAAAAGACATCTCGTCATCTACAGAAATACAACCAACAAATGATGAACAATCATCAACATTTTATGACACAATACTCGGTTGTGATGAAATCGAAACACGAAAATTAACATTAGTCGATGAAACATGTGAAGAAACAGTTACAAATTATCAGTTATTGAACGAATTCACTGTTAGTGATATTGAAACATTTGTAAAAAATAATCCATTTGTTTTATCTGATAATGATCTAAGAACTTGTGGCTCAGAAGGAGGCGTAGGAGGACATCATCAACATTTTGATGATTTAAAATTAATCGATTTTCCTGTTATGTGAAAAGAAAACGAGAGAGAAAAATAGTTCAGTCTGTTTGTTTTACTATTGCATCTATTAGAGAATACAAAAGCCTGAACAAGGTTCAGATGATTTTTTTTTATTGTTTATTTTTGTTTGTTTATATTTGTTCGATTTCAGTCTTTAATATCGTATTCTTGTTTTTATTTATATTACTTCGTTTGTTATCATACTCGGTTCGTGTTTTGACTCGTAATCGATGTCGTTTATTCTTTTTTGATTTGTCATTTGCTAATAATGAAACATTCTTTGTAGTGCGTCGAAACTAAATGAAAGAAAAAAGAAGGCAAAAAAAAAGGGTATTGAATCTCATTCAATTCTTTGTTTTTTTAACTAATTTTTTAATTAAACATGGCAATAAACATTGAAAATAGATATAGAAAAATATGATAATACCGATCAGAGTTCCTATTATCACCCAGCGATGGTTTTGTTGACTTTTTTGACTTGACCATGAGATTGTTGATTCAGTTAAAATAAATAAATAGAACATTTTGGCTTTTATTTTCTAGCGCTTTTTTATTTGTTTGTTTTAGATAATGTCCGAAATAAAAATAAGTTCTACAGGCTGCTTAGCTATGTACTTGGAGAACGATAATGTACTTGTGTTTGATTTAAATGATACGAGTTTATGTCAATGTCTTGAAGCTGAATCGGTTATTGATGATAATAGTAATGATCTTCATCGTAATCAGATAAAATTTAGTCCAAATGGACAATTCTTAATTATAAATCGACCAAATAAACATTTGTATATATATATTCAATCAGATTATGATAAATTTGGAGATTCTTGGCTATTAAAACAAATCGTACGTGTTGAAAATTCTATTTCGGCTTTAACTTTAACCGATGAAATTTTACTTATTGGAGATAGAATCGGTGACATTTATAAATTTGATTTATTATTTAATAGTAACAATGAAGATCTGATTTTAGCAGCAGAAAATAATCGTATTATAAGAAATTCATCGATGTTATTGGACATTATTTTCTTTCGTATGAGTAATAAGCAATCATTTATAATAACAGCTGACCGAGAGAATAAAATTTGTCTAAATAATTATCCGAATAATTCTGACAATCAAAATTATTGTTTTGGACATAATCAATTTGTATCTCATATAAAATTAATTGATAACGATCGTCTTTTGTCAGCATCCGGTGATGGTAAATCTTGGCTTATTTTTTGTTCTGTTATATCAATTTATTGACTTTTAGGTACACTCCGTCTATGGCATCTTCCTGATTGTATGCCACTTGCTTTTGTACATTCAAGAGCGCTTACTTTGCAACCCAAACAAGTTTTTTTTACTGGATTGTGTGCATTCAGAAATTCGGCATCGCTCGCAGCTTATCAAAAAGATGTTGTGCCTAAATGTATAGAAATTTCATCATCAACAGTCAACGATTCTATTTGGAAAATGGATGTTGCTTGTTCGAATCCGCTAAATTCAAATGTTTACATTGCTTTTTCTACTTACGCTCATCAGTATCATTCAATTTATTTATCAAGTCTTTCAAATATGAAACGGATAAACAATGAACAACGAGAACTAACTTTTGATTCAAGTTATGGAGAAATTATTGACTATTGTTTTCCGGCACAAAAAACGTCGTTGAACGATTATACAACCCATGAGAAATGTTTTTTATACGTTCTATTCAATAGTAATGTATTGGTTCAAGTTGATATTCCGTCAATATTGTCTTATAATCAAACAGCATTATCTGTACAAACAAATGATAGGATTCAAGAAATTAATTATATCCTAGCAAATCACGAATTCAATTTAGTTCACAATAAAATTAAAAAAGATGCGTTTACATTTAAAGAATTATTTGAAAATTCTACCGATTCAAACAATGACTGCCACCTAAAACGTAAATCCGAAACAGTTGAAGAACAAGAAAATAGAAAAAAACAAGCATTGTCGTAATATGATGTTTATGACATTTTGCATTGATGACATACGTTTAAAGTCCAATCACATGTTTCTATTAGTCTCGAGATGCTCACGTAATAGTGAATGGACTTTGTCACTTCCTTTCTAGTTGTACTCATTATAAGGGGCTCGTACGAGTTGTACTTTTTTTCTTCTTGTTCTGCACAGATAAACGTAACGACGTACGATGCAGTCATCGTATTTTTTTTTCTCATTCTTTACAGTATGCCAGTCGAGATTAAAACTATTTATCAGCGAGGTGTGTTGCAATAATACTTTCTAATATTTTTAGATGATGAATTCTTCGTTACTTACTACTGGTTGTCGATTAGGACCATCATGTATTTCGTTACTTAATCGAGTGGCAGCTCGTACTGCAGCTACAGCAACATCAGCCGCTTCTGCACCAGTGACGTCAGAGTCACGTGCAAACGAGCAACCCCAAGGAACTAAAGATACTGAAAAAAAAGTTAAATCAGCTCGTGTGTCAAATTCATTTGTGTTGAATTTATATCGTGGTAATTTTCATCCTAATGAGTTATTTCCATATCCAAATGTACTTAATGAAGAACAAAAGGAAAATGTTAAAGTATTCATTGATCCAATATGGAAATTTTTCGAAGAGAAAAATGATTCTGTTAAAAATGATATAAATGAAAAAGTAATAAAATACTTGTTTTCTATTCTGTTTAAAACCATTCGTTGCCTTTGATTCAGATTTCAGAAGAAACTATGAATGGTTTAAAAGAACAAGGCGCTTTTGGAATACAAGTACCTGTTGAATATGGTGGTCTTGGCTTGAATAATACTCAAGCTGCACGTCTTTATGAAGTTGTGACATCACACGATCTTGCTGTTTCAATTTGTCTTGGTGCTCATCAATCGATTGGTTTCAAAGGCATTCTTCTATTTGGTACTGAAGCACAAAAACAAAAATATCTACCAAAATTAGCTGGTGGAGAGTATACGGCAGCATTTGCACTAACTGAACCATCAAGTATGAAAAAGACGTCTTGCTTTTATTTGAATAATTTTAATTCATTTTCTTTTGTGCATTTCAGCTGGCAGTGATGCTGCTTCTATAAAAACTAAAGCTGAACTTTCAGCCGATGGTAAATATTATGTTTTGAATGGCTCAAAAATCTGGATATCGAACGGCGGTTTTGCTGAAGTATTTACTGTATTTGCACAAGTACCATCAGTCGATGATAAAACAGGTCAAGTACAAAACAAAATGACAGCATTTATTGTCGAGAGAAAATTCGGTGGCCTTACAAGTGGACCACCTGAAAAAAAGATGGGCATCAAAGCATCAAATACAACTGAAGTTTTCTTCGAAGATTGTAAAGTACCTGTAGAAAATGTACTTGGTGGAGTTGGAAATGGCTTCAAAGTAAAACTATAAAATGAAGTTGAAAATGAAATATTTCAATATTATTTTCGTAGGTTGCTATGAATATTTTAAATAATGGTCGTTTTGGTATGGTTGTTGGTTTATCTGGAACAATGAAAATGGCTATTCGAAAAGCCATCGTAAGTTTCTACTGAAAAACAAAAATCTCTGATACTCCAAAGTTCTCAGAGCTCGAGTAGGAGAGCAGCGCGTTCGTTTTGAAAATAGACAAGTAGAGAAATGAGTAGAGAATGAAAAGTTCAATCATATGTTTACAAAATGACAAAATAAAGCTGTGCTCTTGCGTAGGATTTTGCTAAAAATCGTCGTCAGTTCGGTCGCACCATTGATACGTATGGTAATATTCAAGAAAAACTTGTACGAATGGAAACACGACAATATATTACTGAAACACTTGGATTTCTTTTGGCTCAAAATATGGATCGAGGATCAACTGAATATCAATGTAATAGAAATATTCTTTTCTCACTTTGAGTTTTAATAAATCTGAGTTTTAGGTGAAGCAGCTATTGGAAAAATTTTTGCGTCCGAGTCTGCATGGTTTGTTCTTGATGAAGCAATACAAATTCATGGTGGAATGGGTTTTATGAGAGCCACTGGTCTTGAACGTGTCGTTCGCGACTTACGTATCTTTCGCATATTCGAAGGTGCCAATGATATTCTTCGTTTATTTGTTGGCTTTACTGGCTTACAATATGTTGGTACACATTTACGTGAATTACAAAATGCAGTTAAAAGCTTTAATTTTAATGCTATTGTTGGCGAAGGTTCAAAACGATTGCGCCGAAATATTGGCATGTCGTCAGGTCCAAATATCAATGAATTTATTCATCCATCACTTCATCCATGTGGTTTACTATTGTCAAAATCGATCGATCGTTTTGGTTCAACAATAGAACAAATTCTCATTAAACATGGGAAATCAATACGTGATGAACAATTTATTGTTCACCGTATTGGTGAAATGACTATTGATTTATTTACAATGGCAGCGAGTTTATCACGTTGTACGCAATCATTTAAACTTCAGTCACCTACAGCCGTGCATGAATCAAATTTGGTCAGAATATGGTGCGAAGAAGCTCATGATAGAATTAATAGTACTATTGATACTATTCAGAATCCAGCGTTTACTGCAAGAACAAAATTAATGACGGAGATAGCACGTGAAATGGTTGATAAAGAATCAACTGTACCAGTTCACCCATTAGGATTTTAAACTGCATCATAAACATAACTCTGTTCCACATTCTGCTTATTTAGACGGAACATAATTTTAAAGTGAAAAACAAAACTTTGTATTTTATTACTAACTGGATCAGATTATTATATTAATAATGGTGTATTATGCGTATAGACCAAGAAATAAAAGAGTATGATAAAAATTTCTAAGTGTAAAAAGATCGAAGATGATACAAAACAATAAACTATATATAAATATACTCATACGAATAAGGATACAGTTTTGAAGAAAAAAAAGTAACTATTTTTGCCTGTTGTTATGTTTTCCAGTATTCAGTGGAGAGTTTCTAAAAAAAAAGTCTTTTCAATCTCAATTAATGAAAACAGTCCCAGATGATGACGTACCAACTCTCTTAGAGGCAAACTATCACTAATAGCTACTATTTTTGCAATTCATAGATACACATCCACATTTGAATGATTCGTATCAATCAGAGAAAAATGATTGATTGATTAATAAATATGACAACTCATGACCTTGATCATGTTTTCATTAACTATTATTATTTCGTTGTACTGATGGGTACCCATTTTAAACGCTCATTATTTCTTTTTTTATGTAATACTTGACGGTTGCATTGTTCAACTGATCTTTAATTAATCATGCACGAATAGAAATAGCTATTTTGTTCAAGCGCGAAGCCGTATTCAAAGTAAATTTATTTGAACCCACCTATGACGAGAATAAAAACGCCAAAACAATGTCGAAGTTATCTTCTATTCTTCGGGCTATACGATCAGATTAGAAAAACAAAAACAATAATTACGTTTATGCTTATCGATACTTTGAAACTAAGAACAAGAGATGGGCAAGTCAGCGTTTTTTCGACTCAAGTCAAGTCAAGTCAGTTTCTGAAAATTTCAAGTCAAATCATAGCTAAGCCAAAGAAAATTCCAAGTCAAGTCAAGTCAAGTCAATTTGAGTCATAATTCATTCAAAAAATCATCAGGTGAAGTCATTTTTTGACTTGACTTGAATTTCTCTGTACGACTTGTTGCAAGTCAAGTCATAACCCATCACTGACTTGCCCATCTCTGCTAAGAACAATAATATTTGTCAGCAGTTTAGTAAAATAAGTGGTGCATGTCATTTTATTTTCCCAATAATAAAATAGGCTTATTTCAAGGCCCTATTCAAAAAGCAACTGCAAATCATTCAATGAACATTTCAAAGAGTACAGATTGGGTTATTTGTCAATATTGCGAAAATTTCATTCACTATCAACAACATTTTTCGTTTATAATTAACTGAATGACTGTCAAAACATACCTTTTGCATGACGTATGCTTTTGATTTCTAAGTGGACAGCGTATGCATCTGAATTTACATACATTCCATTACATGCATGAATGATTTATATAGATACGAAAAAATTATATTTCAACTTACATTTATTCACAAGCTAGACCACGTGACACTTCAAGAGAACATATTCGTTATACAAGTAGATGCGATAAGTTAGAAAATATAGTCATATGTTGGATATCGTCTATCAGCTAGAATAAAATCCCGAGACAAATAAGTCGAAATTTTTCTTTGAAGGTCTTTACTTTATTTTTTCGTTGATACGTGCTTCCGCGATGGTGAACATTACAATATCATAGAGTCACAGAAGCTGCAAATTCAACAAGGCTTACGTTAAAAAAAATTCTACGAGATAATATTATTGAATTTTCAGTGTTTCTCCTCACTGATTAATTGAAATTATTGCTGATAGGAATAGAAACTGTCATAGAAAATCTACAGTTAAACTAAATATTTGAGTAATACACTTTATAGCTATATCAATAAAGACAGCCATAAAAATTAATGACAAGGAATCAGAGTCTTGGACAATCAAAGACTTTTCGATGGATGATTGAAAATCTGAAGTAGCGATTTTAAAAACTGATACTTTATTATTTGAATTATATTTCTAGAAAATAAATATATCGAAATCAAAACCCGTCGATTGCAGAATTTTTGCTCTTTATTTATTTCTTTGTTCCTTTTTCTTTTTAGCCTGTTCTTGATTCAATCATAAAATATGATCATTGACAATCTAGAAAATTAATGAAAATTAATTATTATACATGTTTCTATCTTTGATTTTATTCGCACTGAAGATTCTGTTGATAGATAATTAAATAAAGTTAAATCTCGATGCAATATTCATAATCAGAGCTAGATAATGACTTGGATTCTCAATAAATTAGGTTTATAGAAATCAGACTTCTCTATTATGATCAATAAATTATCATTGCAGTCTTTAATTATCAACCATTTATTGTTTCTTCTACGGATATTGACACCGTGATACGTTTCTAGTATTTTCAACAGATTATTGTTATTGATCGAATGTCATCAAAGTAAGAGTTTAACAAAAAAAGGACAAGAATGTTCTAGTATGTACGTACAAATTCATTATATAAGTTGATAGTTTTACTATTTTTCATCTTTCCGTATTCTTTTATTGTTAATTCAAATCAGTAAGTCATTCGTGGAAACCGAAAGAATTTATTATCTATTCGATTGTATGTCGAGTAGATTGCCGATTGGAAACAAGTACAATGTTCGTTATCTATTGAATCTTTAAATACGCTGAATTTACCGGCTGGTAGTGAATGACGTCAAAATTGGAGTATATAAACTCGTATTGATTTAGGTAGGCAACCGAATGGCACATACAATACTCCAACACAGCCTACTATGATCTCTTCAATTTATATTTCTGTTGGCGTTCAGCAAGCAATGCCGATATCGACCGTGGACACCGATTGTGATGATGGTCGATTTCGTTGTGTTAGCACAATTAATGGATGTGATGGCGTTGGTCCACTGAATTCACTACCGAATAATACAATGATTCTAAATACTGATCAGATATTTCACATGAAATGTGTTTGCTGACATTTTCCATTGAACAGTCATGTCTTTGATTCATATAATTTTACTGAAAAACCATTTTTGTATGGTTCAAGTCTTATTGTTGCTTGTACTGGTACACAGGTGTGAGTATCATATTCGCTGGTACTCATCTCAGAAAATGACTGTTCTAACTACACTGTTTCAATGATCGATATATGGTCCGTGCACTCTTACGTGAACGCCAATAGTAACCGAAGTCGGCTCACAAGTATTTTGTTCAGTTGGTGCTCGTGGGAGGTAAAATTTTAATGACAACAAAATCATTTAATGTTACTCATGTGTGTTCTAATAGTCAAAATCTACAAACGAGCTAATAGTGTCTTACCTTCATCATGAATGGTGGAACTATGGGAGCATGCCCTAGAGTAATAATGGCCGCTAATGGATTAAATTGCTTTTACTTGTTTTTATGAGCATAGAAAAAGTTATTTTTGCCCACGTAGATTGACTACAGAATCCTTTACTACAGTATTGTTAACTACACAGTCGTCAACGTCGTGGGTTTTGTCATGATTGATTTATTCTGAAATGAACAACTTGTCTTTCAGAATTGTTAAGTTACTTTTATGAAAAAAGTAATATCGGTTCTTACTTCTTTTTTCTTCTTCGACTGAGAGAGAGAATTAAAACCACAGTTAAAAACACAACTATTTGTAGGTCTATCAACATTAGTTATACATCTCTTATTTCAATATCGTTTATTACAGACACTAATTCGTTGTTGCACTTGTTGGCTAATTTATTGAATATTAGTTAGAGTAACCGAAACTTTAGTACAGAACCTCTTTCTTCTTGCTCATTTGAGCAATAGAAAATGATATTAATTCAACTCCGGATTTAAAACATAGACATTTGTCAGACACATTTGACAAGAAGTTCAATAATACTGAGGAATACAAAATAGTTTGTTGTCGCCGGCTCCCAGCCATTAAAGGCAATATTCTATGTTCGAGAACACCCTAGATCATGCACAAAATATCTTCAATAGGTGTTCTCATCAACTATCTAGCCAACAGAAAACAATCGCCTAGTCATATATCCTCACCCGCCCTGTCTATCCACTACGAGGAATAATATCACATGTTGTATCGACATATCAGAAATGATCAATTTTTCAACATATCTTCTATCCTCAAATAATTTCTTGTATCTATGACTTTGATTACATAAATCTTTTTGAAATGATTCGTTTTTCCATTACATTTTTTGGCTTGTCTTGTTGTTCATCGGCAAATTTAAAATTATCATAACAAAAAAAAATGTCTCTCTTACTCATTAAACTTGTTTAAATTCATACTATCATATAAATTATTCAGCAAATCATTCAAGTCAAATACTGTCACTCTTTCATTATCTGATTGAAAAAAACGACTAAGTAAATATAATCAGACTAATGTAAAAGAAACCTATCGTCAACTGTTAATTACATATATGATATGTATAAACTCACTCTTCTATACAATGTTGTTTTTCATTAGTCATTATGCTGATAAAACTGCTTTGGTGGTAAACATGTGCCGAAGGAAGAATACTCTCATTTGTAAAAGTTATTGCATTCAACGTTTCATGTATATTAGCATTTATATTCTTTACCAAGATTTACTGATCATTGAATGTACACAAAATTTCATCACGAAAGATTTTCTTTTTTCTTTAATCACAATTTTTCAAAATTAATAGATAAATAAAACACAGAAAAAGCATAGAAACTATTCAAATTACACTTGCAAAATGTTAATTAAATGGAAAGTTTTTTTCTTCTACTTCCATCAAATTCAGTACAGAAATTTTACTAATAAGAAGAAAAAAAACTTGAGGACGTAAATGAATAGAAGTATCATTTAGTTGTTTTCAAATGAAATTTCCTTTAGAAAAAGAAAAAGACAGTAGGAATGTGAAGATGATTAAAATATCACTATCCACAATTCAATAGATGAATAATTGGATAGCCATGGATCGGGAATTGGTTTTCTTGTTATTTGTATTTGATGCAGCCATATTATTATTTTTTTCTTCATTCTATTTATTGACATTTTTATGAACAAAAAATGGCACTTGAATATAATGTTTGTCAAAGATGCCAACCAATTCACATAAATTAAAAAGGAAATCATCTATGCATTGCATCATGTACATATGTCAAGTACAAGAAAGAAATAATTATTACCTTGGCTCAATTGAATTTCAATGCATAATTCTCAGTTTTGCTGTTGAATGCGATATTTCATTTTTTGAATTCAAGAGGGAAAACTAAAATACTTGCATGCAGATCCAATCAATGTGAATATAAATGATGATTTCGTTCTGTATGACGAATTTATTAATTGAAATTGATGTGAACAATGAAAAATTCTACAGCAAATTTGTTTTTTTGGTCTATTTTTCTTTTTGACTATCTCATGTGGAAACATGCTGATCTGGTTTGTTTCAAGCTGTGATCTCTACTGAAATGAAAATTGATTTTTTTCATATATACTAACATCTTAGGATTTCATAGTGTGTAGATGTGTTTTATTTGTGTTCATTATCATCACACATATATGTATATATATATATATATATATATTTATAAATCAATAATGATCAGATGATAATACCGAAACAGATTGTTGAAGATGCAACGATACTAAGCGGAATCGTGTTAATCAACCGCTCAGTAAAGATACATCTTAATAATGAACGGTGTATGCATATATATATTTATATGTGTGTGTGTGTGTGTGTGTGTATACTTGGGTGAATGAATGTTAAAATGTGCAAGTGAGAAAAAAGTAAAGGTAGTAGCAACAAAATGAGATGTTGATTTAAAGAGAGAATAAAAGAAAAAAGAAAAGAAAGAGAGACGTAGAATAAGAGAGAGCGCACAAAGAAGAAAGTATGTCTCTCTCTCTCTCTCTCCCTCTCTCTTTCTCTACGTGTCAATGTATGTTCTAAATTCTAATAACAAGATATTCGGGCACTTCGCTGACTGTTACTTTTGCCTACCTGGCTTTTGCTATATCTAATGAACTGACACACTTGTCAAATTTACGGATGGATAAATAGTCAATCGAAATAAAAGAAAAGGAAAGTAAACTTATACGTTGGACATACAAACCGTTTGTCTTCTATCGATTTCCACCTCTCCTATCATCATCATAGGGACTTTTTTTGTGTACTATTTGTTTTGCATCTATACATTATTGAATAGTGTCACGTTCTTTACTTTCATAGACTCTTGTATTTTTACTATACTAGCCAATTGAATATTTTCGTTTCCATTGTCATCATCATTACCATCCCATTAATGTTCAAGTGTGGATCTCGCTCGCTCGCTCTCTCTCTCTTTCTTTCTCTTATGTGTGTGTGTGTGTGTGTTTATAAGAACACCTTTTTCCCTCTCTTCAGTTTCTTTACCTAAGAGAAGGCGGAGGGAAAAAACGAAGTAAGAGCTCTTCTCTCTCAAGTGTGACGACGAGCAAAGTGATTAATTGCAACTAAGCGAACAAGGCATATAGTGAAAATTTTGAAAGTAAAGATTTCTTTCTTTTTTTTTCCTTTCTTTCTCTTTTTCTTTTCCAAAAATTTAAAACGACGTTCTTTTGTTTTCTAAAGGTGTAATGTCCATCAAGTCTCGTACTGATTTTTGTCCGTTCGAGTTCATCGATAAGTGTTTTCTTTCATTACCATCGTAACAACTTCCTTTTTGCCTTTCTTATTCATTCACAACTACTGCTACTACTGCCAGTAGCATTCATTTCTCTAGCTAAATACGCGCACGGCATCAAGCGTTTCGGCTCATGATTTGAAATGACAGACGTGAAACGAGAGAAAGAAACGCGCATATATATATATAGGTGTATAAGAAAAAAAACGAACCGGTTTCCGCTATGTCGCTATCATAACGACAATCATAGTAGAAAAGGTATAGCGAGAAATTCTGTACCTTCATCGTCTACTTATCTATCCGGTATAAAAGAGAAGTAAGTAGAAAAACGAAGGAAATTGACATCAACACATGAGCTGGAAGCGATCTAAGTGAGTGTGAAATGAGTCGGTTGCTCTTTCTGACAATGATTTATTTTCATAGTGATAATTAGATTTGGTGACGAACTATACAATTTCTATTCATGTGTTCAGAATACAAAAAAAAAAGAAAGAAATGAAAAGAATTAAAGAATAAATGTAATAATTAAATAAAATGTCTTGAATTTTATTTCTGTAAAATGAAAAGAATTCATACAATCTTGTCTATTACTCTTATTCTGACTACTCTGAAAAGTCTACATGTAAACTCTAGTTGAGATCATTTGTAAAATAATGAGCCAAACTTACTTAAATAACATGATAGACTATAAATGACTAGCATACTTTTCTTCAATCTCTTTACCGGTGTGACTGTGTATTTTGAACGACAGCTAGTCGACCGTTGTGTTGAATGAAAAAGAGAGAGAGAGAGAGAGGTAGTAGTTGCAGCATAAAGAAGAAAAAAACGAGAGAGAATTATGAAAATGTTCGTTAAAGTGTGTGCGCGCAGTGCCGTCTCTCTCTCTCCCTCACAGTGTACGATGCATTTTGAAATTCCATTAAAAATGAGTGTGTTTGACACACGACGAGTGAAAGAAAGTATGTAAAAAGAAACGAGAAAGGAGAGACAAAAAAAAAAAGAAAGTGAGAGAATCATACTAGTCTCTTCAAGCATCAAACCAGCTGATATATTGAACAATGTTCATCACTGCGGTTAGTATGTTTCTCTCTCTCTCTCTCTCTCTCGTATGATTTCCACTTTTAAAAATTCAAGATTGAGAATAACTAGATCAATATATTGGACATGCTTGAAAAGCAAGCAAGTTTATTTGACATACGACGACTTCTCTCTTTCATTCGAGTTGTTTGTTTAAGACAATGACTTTTTTTTTCATTTTCAGAAAGTGTATGAATGCATGTCTAATCATGAGATGACGACGACAAGCAAGTATTGCGAAAGAAGCAATACCTTGTTTGCATATTCACCAAACGAGCCATATGTAAACTTTCGATCGATCGATCGGTCGAGTGCATTATGCTAGATATGTATTTTTAACAATAAAAATTTCTCTTGCAAATATTGTCCTTGCAACAAGACAGAATAAAACATCGGCAAAGTCTATCAAATATATATAAAGACGAGATAATCATTTATTTACAAGTACTTTTGTTCAAGAATAAATTTTATATGTTTAAATGTTTTCTCAACTATTGTATAAATTAATAACAGCAGAAAATCCGATTAATGTTAAAACAGATCTATAGATCTTCATATCGATTTCATATGTAGAAAAATACCGCTTGTGATTTTTTATATCTTGTAACAGACCGAACAGGTGATTTTTCTTGCGTACAAAGAATAACAATAATAATGTGCTATGAAGGAACTAGAATGAATCAACACTTGAATATAATTACTTTTTACTTTTGATTATTCAGAATAATTTTAGTTTGACTATTGCATGTATGTAAAAACTATATAAATTTCCTTGCCATGGTGATTGTGTATATCAATGTGCGACATCTTTAACAAAATTGGATAGCATATCAAGTTTATAATTTGTAGTGATCGAAAAATAAATAATTTTTTTTTTCTAATAATAAATGTTCTTATTTTTCAAGTATGCAATAAAATGATACAAAAAGAAACAATTGGTTGTTTGATTGAACATAGATAGATACAAGAAGGCATTATTGGCTTTGTTATCATGTCCATTGTCTCTATGTTTCTAATCGCTATAGTCGATGTGAATAGTATACAGTGCAGCGCTAGGTTATGTAGAGATCGTATGTAGCTTATGTTGACCTGTCATTGTTTCTTCAAACATATCGTTCACGACTATGCTAAACAAAGATCCCTTATGTGATTGATCGATTTAAACGTTTGTTTCCATTTTATTTAGATAAGTATTTCTAGTCTAAACTATCGATTAAGATAAAGTAAAAAAGAGACCGAGTGTATAACAATGGCTCTTACTGATCAACAGTTACGACAAGAATTAATAAGTTATGGTGAAACTGTTCCTCCGATTACTCAACGTAATCGTGAACAACTTCGTACTCGACTTGAAGCTCTTCAATCCCAAATACGTACACGTACTGCTGCTTCGCCATCTCGAGTTCAAGCTACTGCTTCACCTTCACGAGCGCAAACTAATGGTTCACCGTCACGGTCTCAAGTTGCCACTGCTTCTCCATCGCGTTCAACACGTGCAACTGCTTCCCCATCAAAACCGCTTACTAGTGCTTCTCCAGCACGTGCTACTGCTTCACCGGCGCGAGCGCTTACTACGAGTTCACCATCACGTACTCGTTCAAGCACAACCAATATTACAGTAGCCTCACGTCAATCAACGCGATCAAAACAACCAACTAATCTTATTGAATTAAGTGATTCAGAAACAGATTCGGCATCGATGGCTGCTCTTGCCTTACGATCGACTCGTTCTGATCAAACAACACCAAAAGTACAAACGCGTTCAACTGGGTCACGTCGTCAACAGGATTCACCAAGTACATCATCATCAGTTAGCGAAATCTCACCGCCACCAAACATAACTGATGATGTTGAACAATCTAGTAGGTTATTGATTTTGAATTGCATTTGACTTATGATTTGTTTTAGTTGCTCGTCATCGTCGAGAAATTAAACAATTACTCGATTCAGCACGTGATCGAAATCGTGCTGCGAACACGAATGTTTCAATATCTGCTGAGCTATCAGGAACACCAATACGTCCACCATCAAAAGTTCATATTGATACGCAACCAGAAAAACTTGATGATCAAGTGAAACAATCACCAAAACCTAGTACAGGAAAGCGAAAAACAACATCATTATGCATATGTATAGGAAAACCATTCCGATCATTATGGCATACATGTACCAATCTTCCATTCAATCCATTAAAACTTTTACTTGTTACGCTAGTTCTTCTCGGTGGAATTATCTTTATAGTTAACAATCATGAAGATATATTTCCACGTCAGAAAGGTAAATATTTTAAAATTTTTTATTTAAAATTTTCTTGAATGTCTAATTTTTCTAGATATAAATTGTTCTGTGAAGAATGCAGTAAGTATTTTGTAACTTGCTTCTTTTAATGTTGTAGTTCATTGTTGCTGTTAATTAGACTAGCTGTGAAGATATGAAACAAATAATCGCTGAAGTACAAAAGCAACTTAAAATACGAACTGGTAACGATGAAATAAAATTTTCGTTCAAATTGTTGTAGAAGTTGTTTCTTGTTGTTGTATAGGTGAAGTAGACTGTGGCATTCGTGCGAAATCTGATGTGTATGTTACGAAAAATGACATTGAAAAACGTTTAGATGAAAAAGTAAACATAGATTATTTATATACGTGTGAAAGACTATTTTAAATGTGCTTTTAGAGATTGAAATTCAATTTGGGCGATGCAGAACGATGGAATGCATTGGTTACTTTTATATTAAATAAGCCAGTGACTGATATATTGTAAGTTTACATTGTCGGAGCACGTAAAATTTAAAATATCTATACACAAAAGATTAATTTGACGATACGCCTGAAAGATTCGTTACGAGAATATAGGCTTAGACATTAAGGTGAACATTGCTATGATGAAGCACTGTTTCCAAGAGTTGCTTATCCATTGAGTTCATCGTAATTGCAGAGGTTCCAAAATTTATCATTTCCATTGAGAATCAGTAAAACAAATCACGGGCATTTGCTTACTAAACTTTTTATTCTTACTTACCGATTGACAGCTAATTACTATTTACATTCGAAATGAAGGGAAGTACAAAACGGAATTAGGATAGAAAAATATGGTTGATTTAATTTGTTACAGAATGTGGAATGGAAAAGTACAAACAAAAAATCTTTCTGAAGTGACAGCATTAAGCACAGAAGAAGCATTACGTTCAATTGCTTGCCGTGCTCAACAAGATATTAGTAAAACAGCGAGAAATCTAATATTACTTATCATAGGTAAGTGTTAATTTTAAATTGATCGAGTTTGGAAAAAAATTGTGTCCGCTTCTCGTCAGGATCCACTGGTCTTTTAACATTAGCATGGTATCTTCAAAAACAATCGAAAGCACACGAAGAGAAAGAAGAAAAATATTATAATCTTCTTGAAAATGTAAATAAATTACTTGAAGAACAACATGAAAAATATCTTCAAGATCCTAAGATACAACCGTGGCTTGCTATTAATCAAATTCGTGAAAAGCTTATTTCAGAAAAAGATCAGTTAGTATTTGATTGTTTAGCTATTTATTATATTCTAAATTTCATTGAATATTAATAGAGAAAAATTAAAAGATACTTGGGAACGTGTTAAAAAGCAAATAGATAGCGAGAAATCACAAGTCACATTGGAAACCCAAGATGTTAATGGCGAGAGTGTTGATGTTTGGCGATGGGAAAAAGCATCTCCAATGAAGACTAGATCGGTATGTGGTAAAATTCTAGAAATAGAAATCATTCTTATTCATTTTGTTTATCTTGAATAGAAAACTGCAAAGAAATCCACTGAAGAAACAACTGATTTTATTACATCGGAAGTAGGACTTACTGAATGTCTTAAATTACGTAATTGTTTTCGTACGGATAGGTAAGAGAATTGTACTTTTTTTTCGGAGTATTGAATATAAAATCTTCTGATTTTTTATAGATATACAGGTGATAAGGAAATCGATCATATTACCAAAGCTATTCGAAATCGTTGCGCTAATATGAAAGAGATCGAACATATTGGAATTAATGCGGTATAAGATTGGAAATCTTTCGAAACACCTATCTATTATCGATTCTTTTGTTTAGGCTTTTGTCTATATTAAGTTCGCATCAAAAGAAGCAGCTGGTCATGGTTATGATTTACTCAATAATTGGATCTTTGAAGATCGAACAATAAGTGTCAAATATATTCGTCATAGTCGATATAATGAACATTTTCCTGAAGCACGAAATGCTAGTTCAAAAAAATGAAGAAATAAAAGTCAATCAGATTTATATATATATATTTTTTTTTTCTTCATTGTATCATTCAATTGTACATTTCTTTTCGTAGTATTACCCTCAGATAAACTTTACTTTTTTTTTCCTATTAATAATTTGTAAGCCGCTATGCGTGAATTGTAATCTGGTATTATTATTAAAAGATATGTTACTTCCTGTTTTTTTTCTTCCAACAAAATTTATTTCCTCTGTTGTAAAGTAAAATAATATCGAAATGAATCATCTATCCTGAATAAACATATGTTCTGTATAATGAAATAGATTAAAATGAATAAAAATTTATATTGCGTGAAACAATAGTTTATCATTCGACAATGATTTATTTACTAAAAGAAATTTTTTTTCAATTGATACTATAATAACAAAAAATTTGTTGGACGTATTATTTATGCTGACAAATTTTTGGACATTTATAGCACTTGGTAACCTAATGAGTAACGAAAATCTTTAAATTTATGTGATCATGACCATCTTGACAAAACATGTTGGCACGTGTTTTATCACAGAAATCGATACCATGATAATCTACACAAAGAGAATAATTCGAACATGTTAAATTCGTTTGAGAAAAGATATTGACTATGTTGTACGTCGTTGATAATCTTTTTTTCTTGATCATAGACGTGCATTTGGTTGGCCTTTTGAAGTCTCATATTTTTACTATTGTTTCTCTAAATTTTGTTAGAAATGTTTTCCTTACATATTGAAATTTTCAATCTATTTTGTTTTGAATAATTGAGACGATCGATTGATATTTCTAGCAGATAAAATACTAATTAGTTCTGCGATCCATTTGTTTCATTTAATTATCAATGTAGCGTTTGCGCATGTTAGTTTTAGTACTGATTATATTTGAACCGTTTTATATTACACTATTGAAAAATGTGACTCGTATGTCGTTAAATATAATTTCAGTCTATTAACAAATAGACTTGTAGCTTGCATATACTTAGTATTCATTGCATATCATATCAATTTTTTGATATTGAAGAAGAAAGAATATACTGTTAATAAAGAAGAAAATGTTTTTCTTTTCCCAGCTGACCCCGGATTGATTTATCTCAATATAATTTCTCCGAGATTTTGCCCATCACTAATCGACTCTTCTTTGCCGATTAATTAAGTTAAATTAAATGAGTCACAAAGATAATTTTAGAAATTGGGTGCGCTGATTTTTCCACCACACTCCATACTTTATTTATTTAAACATATCGAATTTCGATACTATCGTTTTTAACATAGATCTGATTTCACACGTTTTATAGTCTATTGAAACATTGAATACTTCGAAATAATCTGATTCCGTACAGTAGTCGAAAAACGCACGCTAAAAAAATCAAGCATTAGCTATCAATAGAAATAGCAAATGTAGTGATTAGATCGTTGTTTGTATTCTAGAATAGCTTCTACGTTTGAACCACAAAGGACCAAGTCACGAGATAGAAGTATTACAGGCCCTCGAACTTCAGATGTTGTCTTGAAAGATTGGCCAGGGTACAAAAATAGAAATCAACAAAAACTGACATGAGAACTATTTAGAAGTAATGGAAATGCGACGATCTATCTTAATTGACAGTTAGACATGACATGGCAGTTGACCCAAACGGGTTATATCCTTATCAGTACTTTAGTTTTTGACTGAGATGACAAAATCTATTTACGAGCTTTACATGTATATATTCAAGCGTTGCTGGTTAATCGTCTGATAAAATCCCGATCAAAGCTGCACTTCAAATTTAATATATACGTTGCTAGATCAATGGCAAGAATCGAGAGTCGTACTTGAAAAATAAAGTCGAATGATCACAAGTTAAACATAACGAAAACATTCGTATTCTCAATTAAACGTTTGATTATCATAATAGCCTTGAATCATTTTTTGATTGCCGGGATTTCTCTGCTTTTTTAAAACATTCTCTTCAAATTAAATTTTGTAATCTCCAGAAACAAGAGAAAACTGTCTCTTCCGTACAAAGATTCTCTCGTGTTTATAACCTTGTACTACAACAAGTCAATAATATCTTACATCAGATTAATCTTAATAATAATCAATATTGGTTTTCTTTTATTTCATCTTAATATATTTGCCAGCATTTGTTGCACTGCAAAAAAAAGTAGAAAAATACGCAAAACTGATAAGAGATCAATGAGCACATACAACAGAATGATTAAAACAAATTTACCGTTTTATGTTTCTTTTTTCGTAACTTTTTTCTCAGTTTGCCCATGATCCTACCGACATATATATATATATATATACCATTGTTCTGTGAGTAGTATATGTTCTCACGCACACCTATGAATAACATGTAACATTTGTTGTTGAAACCTCAATAGAACAAAAAAACGATGAAACTACAAACACTTGGGCATGAAATGAACTGTTCTCGTTCGTTTGTTGTAGGTCCGTTTCTTTTTTCTAGGTTCTAATCCATGTTTGTACGTGAGAAGATATTATAAAACGATGAAAAATAAACGAACGAGTATGAAACCTTTTATATTCGAACGGTACCACCATTAACATATACACCTACTGAGTTTACGAGAGTTCTATTCTCTGCTTCTTCTTCGCAAGTTTTTTTTTTCATGTAATTGAACACAACTCGAAAGAGAATGACAATAGAAATAAAACTTTTTTTAACATAGTTGTTATTTTACTCTATTCAACATACAAAGGACGGTCTCTAATATATATATATATATATATATATTTGATCTACTGATATTTTCGTTGTATATAGAACAAACAACCAAGAAGACAGAGAGAGAGAGACGGAGGATAACCCTAGTAGAGTATAAGAATGCTGCTAGTTTTGATATCACGAGCACTTCAACATACACGCTGTCATGTCTTAAATGCCTACGGGATAAAACCATAATTAGAAGAGGCAAATAGAGGATATAGGTAAGTTGAATGTCATGCCAACTAGATTCATAAAACAAGAACTGAATTAGTTATTGTGAAAGAAAGAAGAAAAAAATTATTTTAATATTCATTTCTAGTAGAAATACAAGTAAAAAACAAAGAAGAAGTTACTCAATATCTTTTCTTAATTAGATCTTTTTTTTTTCTTTCATAGAGTTTGCCAGCTTCATTGAATTTTACAATTTCCTTTTCTTAGAATTCTATGTCAATATACGGATAACTTTATTTCATTAACGAAAATGATTACATAAAAAAGAAGAAGTTATATGCTTAAAATTCTATCGTTAAAAATAACATTGCAAATTTCATTTGCCACTAAATTAACGTTAGGCTTCTCACAAGAGAATTTTCTTTTCTTGTATTTAAACGAAGTGCTTTTTTTTATAATACAAATCAAAAGAAATCAGAGATATATTTTGTGCATTTAACTAACATCGCCTGAAGTTGATGTAATGGAATTTCGAGCCTGTCATCATTTTTTCATCGTACTCTCTCTCCCGCTCTTCTTTGTCCGATGAGCTATCGGTTTCTCTTTGCTTTCTTTCGTTCTTCATCTATCCCTTTTATATTCAATTTTTGCCATTACTATTTCAACATATGAAAAGAGAACAGAACACACGAGACAATTTCGATTCTTATTCTTTCTCTGTCTTTATTACTACTTTTACTGATAGTGAACATTCTCTTGTCTACACAACGTTTGACACAATAGAGAAAGATAAGCCTTCATCATTATTACAGGTCGGAAAGCATTTACCAAGTGATGACGAGTTCGAACAAAGCTCGCCGTTATTTACAACATCATAAGCAACACTGTACAGACGCACATAACAATCATCAGTCAGCTGCTGAATTATTAATTATCGATCCAACATTGGCTGTCTCATCAATGCGAAAATTTCGTGGTAAAATTCATCAACAACAGCAATCGTCAACAACAGTTCCTATACCACAAATTTGTGTAGATAATGACGATGATGACAATCATGCTACTGCTGCTGCTGCTGATGATGATGATGATGATGGTAATGATAATAATAAGAACTCTAGTAATGATGATAATGGTCATGTGGCTATACTTGATGAATTTGATGAAGTTCTAGAAAATGAATTAAAACGTTCATCTGTTTTTCGTACATCATCATTGAAACATAAAGATTCGAATAATCTAATTGGAATACCTATTAGTCAACAGCGAAGTTTTTCATTTGCACTTGGTTCAACGACAAATTTACATGGAAAAAATCATGATCCTGATGATGACGACGGGTACGAACATTATAACCATAATGAATCAGCAAATAGGTCACCATCTAAATCTGCAAAACTTCCATCGTCTATTAAAGCAAGTTTGTCGAAAGAGACATTCTCACGTTTACTTCATTCTCTTGCATTTCGCTCGGGGAATCATACAACCTCGAAAGTAACAACAGACTCTAATGCACAACAACAACAGCAGCAACAGCGACCATGTTTAGCTTGTCAAAATCATCCTAATTTAGATTTAATTTCTAAATATAAAAAACGTCCATCAATATTTGGCGTTCTCGTATCGAAACTCAATACGACAACAACAAATGAAAATAACTCTGATCGTTGTCCTGTATGTAAACGACGTTTATCAAAATCAACTTTCGATAATACGATTACGAATAATACTGATGATGATAATCATGAAACACCACCGTCAACACAAAATTTTTCATTGTCATCATTAGCATCAACAAAAATTCTCAACGATCATGGACAAATACTGTCACGTACAAAAAGACGTCGAAGTCTACCGTCATTATTTCAAAGTCTTTTTGATTTCGATCATCATGATCATAAACGACGTATAGATAATACACAAATACAGCATCGCCCATCATTTTCATCAATATTGACACATACTTTACTTGATAGTATTACTCGTGAGCAACAACAACAACAACAACAACAATCACTTACTACTGTTAAACAAACATCACCACTTTCATTTTCATCTGTTTCACTCGCGGAATCTGATGATAGTAAAGAGAACAATGATGATCAATCATATAAACGACAATTAACGATTTCTGACGAGTCAACTCAACTAACCGAAAAGGTAAGTCAGTAAGTCGGCTAAGACGTTGTTATCATTAGTAAAAAAATTGTTTACCCATAGCGGCACACGTGCTTTTAACATAAAACATATGTATACATATAACAACGAAGGTCAAGTGTTAATACTCTTGGTCTCAATAGAGAAAGTTTATTATTATTTGACCCTGATACACACACGTATAAATTGTCGTCGAGACATAGATGATAATCAGCGTCGACACTATCGATTTGTTATTGTTAACTATATAACGCCTGGCGTCCATAATTACAACTACTGGTGAGCATGAGAACAATGATGTCAATGGCATTCTGAGTATTTAATTATATGACTAAAATATAGTTGATACTTTTGGTCAAATCGCAAGGCACACACGTATGTGTGTATGAGTTTTTACCGCAATCGTGTCAGACGTTGCATCGTATTACATATACGTACGTACGTACGTACATATATATGTACACACAAAAGTATCGATGAGAATCAAGTTGATAGTCGCTGACCTTTCGCTTTTTTCTTCATCTTCTTGTATTTCTTGTGGTATTCGATTGCTTGATAGCATGAACTGTCTGTCTACCCGTACTGATGTTGTTGATTAGCCTTTATAATACTGTTCTGTCATTTTCATTGATAATATTTGACTTTTCTTCTGTTATATGAGAGCAATCGTATAATGACGATAGTAAAATTTTAAATTCAAGATTTCTTTCGAACAAATAAACGTCATAGACGGCGACACTACTTGACCGTTTCTTCTCATTGAGACAATACGAAGGTACTTGTCATATCGCTTTTCAGCTTGAGAGCGCATGAGTCAAAAACGGAGAATGTCCTTTTACAGTAAAATATGCAAATTTTACTTGGAGCTAAGATGCACTCGATACACTATAGGTTTTTTTGCTTTCGTCATACTAACAAAAACACTGACACACTTGACTCATTATCGTTTGCTATCGATCGGTTATTTTGCTTCTCTTAAAAAACAAATATGATTGTCGTCTGAGGATAATTGATTTTTCGTATGAGCTATCATATGGCACGTCGGTCATTAGTATGGACGTTTAATTCAATCGTAGTAACGGCAGCAGTTATAAAGCTAAAGCTATCTATATTAGCTACGCTGTTCTAGTATGAACGAAGAAATATAAATAACGAAACAATTGCAAAGAATATAAATTTCGAATTTATGTAATCACATTTTGACTTCGTTTTTTTTTTGTTCTTCTTTTATAATACATATTTCAAGTCTGAAATTGATAGTCTTCACCATTGGATATAACTTCTTGCCAATAAAAACTACCTTGCTGTTAATTAAATTGTCTGTCATGAAAATAATTCGAAATACTGGAATCAAAATTTAATTGTCATATGGCTTCTATTTTACCTTGTTTCTTTTTCTTTTCTATTTTTTTGCTTGTTATATATTATTCCTACTGATAGACTAGAAATGACGCACAACTAAGATACTATAATTTACACATGGAAATAATCACTAACGGTAATCGAGACAGAGAGAGAGAGAGAGAGAGAAACAAATCGATATACACTAGAAATAGCAATCGAAAGAACAGAGAGGAATATCAATCGTGTCACCTGCCTAGAGTTGCATAGGCGAAAAGTTTCCTTATCTACGTGACCTTGTCTTCTAAGATCACTACTTCTTCAATATAAAGTATGGTTATGCATTTTAGACATTTTTCTTGTACCTCTATTTTAATGAATGAAAAATAGAATGCATATTAAAAGTAAAAAGCATCAATGACTTCTATGGTATTTGGGTATTGTTTTAATCGAAATGGAAATGAAATGAAAATAAAACTAAGAAGAAAAACATTTCGATATTTTATAGTGCAAGAAAATGTATAGAGGACATTTTCGTTCTTTCAGGCTTCTTTTTGGGTGGGGTTTTACAATTATATAGTAACAAAATAGGAATATATGATGAGAGAAGGGATTTTATGACTCTATTGTCTAGTTGAATAAAGCAAGAAGAAGAAGAAGAAGAAGAAGAATTTATATAGTTTTGTATACACTTTGAAAGATGTATGCTGTATCTCACGCGTTTATGCCTTGCCTTATGAAGGTAGTGATAAAGCTCCTTTAAGCATAGATTTCTTTTCAAATTTTATATTATTAATCGTTTCTTTTTTCAGTTCCAGGTCCGTATTGATTCTGATGGATATGATGGAGAGAAAGAAGAAGGTGACCATGAAAGCACTCTTGATAGAGGTGATTTTATTTTTCAACAAATCAATTGAAAAGTTAGATATTTGCTTTTAGAAACTTCTACAGGCGAATTAAATGATTTAAACATTATGGCTGCCAACGATTCAACAAATGAAAATAATAATAATCAATTCTTTCTACATCCACCTGAGTAAGTTCTTTCAATCTCTTTTTTTTTCTTTTTGCTCTTGTTCAAATTGACGTTTTCTCACATTCGCTATGTGCCATTGACAAATAACGAATTTTATTCTTCAATCCTTTTTTCTTCCAAAAAAAAGACACACATAAGAGAAAAGAGACAATGGACGACTAGGATATTCGATATGCGCTGAATGCTAGGCAGCATTTTGATAACGGTGTGATAGTCAGAATCATGCTTGTGCGTTCGTCGTTTCGGGATACAATATCAAAAGTGAAAAAGCAATTTCAAAATGATGAAAATCCATATAGAGATAGATTTCATTTAATTAAATATGATTCAATAGACAATATATTTATTGAAACTAATCAAAGGAATTCTTCCAGAAGAATTTCTCACTCTAAATACATACCCAACGGAAAATTAATATTAACACGACAGTATTCGCGTAATACCGGGTAAGCTAACTAATCGATTATGCTTGTAAGATATTAGAATGAATTTTTATTTGCTTTTCTTCTTAAATAAAATCTCTATGACAATTAAATTCGATGTAATCATTTACTTGTAGTTATGAATATGATTTTGTTAAAAGATACGCAAAGAATTTATAGTTTAATTAATCTCTACTTTCATACCCCAGGTTTTTTTTCTCTTTCTTTTGCTTTGTCGCCCACATCGACACTAAGCAAATAAGTTTTACTATTTGTATAACGATTGTTCACACCTCACATCATACGATGATGATAAAAAAAATAAAAACTACTTTGAGAACAGTGAGAAGGGGGGAAAAGAAGAGAGCTAGTACATACATAATACTCATATATGTAGATATATGTGTGTGTGTGAAGTACCGTTGTATCTGATTTTTGCGCTGATATAAAAGTTCAATATTGATATTGACAGTATAGATTAAATCAATATCTATTCGTTTAAAAGTTCTATGAATGATTCAACAGCATTGCTAATTGATAGTCGTCATGCACTAGTGACAAATTTACAAATACGCAGGTTTGCACAGTAATTTCTTTTTTCTTCGTTGTTTTGAATTCATTTTTCTTTCGCGTTCTGACAAAAGTTTCTTTTTTTCAAAGAGAGAAGACACGAAGTTTATTAGTTAATGTATTTCGAACTCGTCGATCAAATGTTGCTTTGGGATCAAATGAAGTAAAATCATTTTTTTTGTTTCATTTTTTTTATTACTTTCAAAAAATTCTTCATTCCTTTTGAAACAGACAAATATGGTTGGCAAACAATTCAGTGTTTCAGTGATTAATTTAGCGACATCAATTGGCTCAAATCGAATTAATGCTACTACACCAGTTAATAATGAATCAACACTTTTAAATCTTCTTGATCATCGAAAGCATGCTTTATCCGAGGAAACTTTACCATCAACAGTAAGTTCGATTATTAAATCAAGGGCCTTTTCTTTTCTTTTTTTTCTATTAAAAAAAGACTAGATAAGTTGAATAAATGAATTTTTGTCTTACCGATGAAACCTTCAGTTTCGTTTACTTTTATTCGGAGAGTTATTTATTTGATAATAGATGCTTATCGAGAAGGACAAATGACAGATATATGTATGGATTGTTTGAGTAGACACCAGAGAAAAAAACTTCATAGAAACAAAAGAGAATTTCACTTGATGTGGTGGGAAATATGGATGCAAATTGAATATAGTCGATATGTGAGAGACAGTTGACCTTGAGACTAATTGGCACTTTTTTTTATGTTTTATTGTATTTTATTTTTCTTGTTTCTAGGATGGTTCCTACATCTATTTTACTAATGTTAATGGTCAGAATTTTAAAGAACGATTTAACTACTCGAATGCGTCTGAAAATACAACATTAAGGTAAAAAAAAAGAAAATAAAAATTGACTAAAAGAACAAAGGTTTACTTGACATGATTTATGTGTACATTTATTTCATTTTTAGAGAAATTTTGTTAAAATTATTTGAAAAGCATCACCTGACTATTGAAACATATAACATTTGTTTACGAAGTGCACCTAGTTTACCATTGCCCTTGGATCAACCAGTCAAACATCTTCCGCTAGATGATCTTGTAGTTACAGGTATGCAGAAAGAATAGGTCTCATGGTTTGATTATGTAATTTTATTGTTTTCCTCCTTTTCGTTTTTCTTTCTTTCTTTCTTTCTTTCTTTCTTTCTAATTAACGCTAAAACCTCTTTTGTCTCTTTCCTTCACTTCAAAATCACTTGGTGCACACTCTCGAAACGCTCACACGCATTGAATGATATGCTATGATGCAACTTTAAAGAATTCTTAATACGCATCATTGCTTCTGTCGTTTGTTCAAGCTTAAAATATTCCAACAAATTTAATTCAGTATGTCGGTGAAAACAAAAGAAAATGCCAAATCCAAAAAAACATACAAGCTAATGTATTAGCCATGTTTCTTGCAAAAGAAAAGAATCCAGTTGTTATCAATATTTTTTTTGTTATTGTCGCGATTGTCACATTAAATGGTTGACGCTATTATATAACTCCGCTCTTTTTTCTCTCTATCAAATATTATATATATATATATGCATATGCAAACTTTCCTCTTCAGCTAGTGATTGTCACCCTCCGGCGTACAAACTCTCATTTATTGTAAAAAAAAACTAAGCGAAGAGAGAAAGCATAAGAGATTGCATCGTTTATTCTTTGTCTTTGACTCTTTTGTGAATGAATTGTCTATCAAAAAAGGAAAAAAGAAGAACAAGAAGAAGAAGAAAATATTCATTGTTAGATTTATTCATTCACTTTGAATTACGATGTCCAACGATGGAACAGCATCAGCTGGTTCTCATCCACCGCTTGTATCGCCTCTTCGACGTTTATCGATATGTCGACAATTATCTGATGTATTGAAGTATCGACGTAAATCATACTGTTCCAATAGTAATGATCATTTACCATATATTCCATCACCATCGCCAACATTATCAACAGCAACTAATTCAGCATCATCAACATTTACATTTGTTTGGAATTGTGCATTAACAGAAGTCGATTCTCCACCTGGATCATCATCGAATGAAGATGTACATATTCTACCTATTCAAATGCAGCAACGAGCAAGAAAAAATGGCCTATCCGATGATCCAAATATGTTAAATACTAAAGAAATCACAGGATCAATGGTAGCTGCGTGCCTACTTAAGCAAAAAAGTGTCAGCTGTGATGACGTTGCCTTTTTATCGTCAAGCGGAGATGAACAGACAATCTGTGCAAGCGGGTCATCATCGGCTACATCTGCTGCAATGTCATATAAATCAAAATGCAATGGTCTCGTCTTTTCCCTTTCATTCATCTTCTTTTTAAAAACAACAAAAAAACGAAAATCCCAATACTTTTTCTCTCTCGTTCTCTATTAATTGAAGATCTTACGGTTTTATTTTATTCAATTTTCTATTTAGAAAAAGAACATGGCCTATCATCATGTACACGTACTAATAATCGAGCACTTGCTAAAACGTCAGCTGGAAAAGAACGAAATGAAAAACGAAATTCAACTGGTTCGGCAATTTTAACAAGTGTAAGTTAGAAAAAAATTAACATCAATGTCACATAGCAATATACGTATATAGATATGTATATGCGTATATTAGGTCTAATCCGTCATAAGTAATAGACATTCCTATGAAGTGATAGTTAAACACTTGAGAGTCGTTATTGCTTGTTGTAAAGAGAACCAATTCGAGTGACATGACCAAACACCTGTTTGTTCTCGTTCTAACCAAGTAGGATATAGTAAAAGAGAAAAATCGAGTAAATATCCTAAAATATGTCAATCATTCGATACGATTATTAATTTTTAATTGTATAGCACTCAAAAGCTAAATTTGTTATCTTATTTTGCAATATATAGAAACCAAAGTAATATGTTTGATCTCAACTTTCATCTTAAAACTAATTCTGGTTTGATTCTTCTCTGTCTCGTATTATTATTATTATTATTATCTGCGTTAACTGAAAAATGATGTTCTATCGCTGTTGACTGTCAATAAAGATACTTGAGTTGCTATCTATTTTATTTTTATAACTGTAGACGCCTGATAATTGCTCTCATTTTCCACCTACAAACTGTTCGATCTAGCCATAAGAGAACTTTAATCGTAATATACACTTTTTTTACGACAGATTGAGTTTTTTTTATTCAATCATCAAACCGATAATGTTGTCATATTATCGCTATTAATCTAAACGATATATATTTTTTATTTATTCCCAATTTTCCTCCATTTTATACTCCATTATAATTGTAAAGCAAGAACTAAGCATCGTTAATGATTTTCATCTGTTATTACTACCGAGATCAGCATGTTGTTTTCTTAGCATATCAAAAAAAGACATTTATCGTCTATATTTTTTCTTTTTTTTTTTGATATTTTTCTTTAGACTACTAAATCAGCAGCATCTACATCGAAACGTTTATCAACTCAATACATGGTGCAAGATAATGATGACGTAATACCAATTAATATATTAAATAGTAATTATAACCAAGAATTGAAATCAGCCAACGCACAACAACATTCAAGATCAGGAAAAACAACTAGATCTGGTCTTTTTACTGGCAGTATATTTACTCGAGTAAGAAAATATGTCTAAATATACATGTGTCGTTGTGCCCCTCTTGTTTTTATCACAAACTGTACTTATATATTTATATATATATATACTAGAGAGAAAAGAAAATAGAGACTTTTTTCTTCATTATCTCTTTCATTAGAGACCTGATTTCCTGTTACTTGAAAATAAAATAAGTCTTGTAAATGAATCATTGATTGCGCGCATGAAGAAAAACATGTATACGTTAATATTTTCACGAGAGAATTATATGTATCATCATTTTGCATGTTTACACATCAAGTTTAACATAACATTTTCATCAATATTAGTGAATTGTGAAATGTTTGCGGAGGGAGGAGGAAAAAAAACAATAGTAGATCTACCTATCCGTATATTTAAGTTAATATTTTTACTACGTAACAGAAAAATAAATAAATCTAATGATTCATTCTTCAACACGGAATATATTTATTTGAATATGATAGGAATGACGGTAAAAAAAAGAGAGCTGTTATCAGTTATTAAACAAAGAAAAAGTCTAGCATGCCTTTCGGTGAAATATCTTCCTATATAATCTCTGTCGCTTCACCGCTGGGGCATTGAAAAGAAAACGAAAACTCAGATGCAATGCTTAATATGACTCTTCCCACGTATTTACCTGCATCTTATAAAGATATAAGAAAATCATCGCCATCACCTATTCGATCGGTTTGGCGATCATCAAATCGTGGACATTATATATTTTATCTTAATGTAAGTGATCAGTTTATCCATCAATCTTGTTTTGGCTCTGATTAATATCAGATAGAAAATAAGAAAATATTAGTTTATCTTGTTGGGATAAGTATTTTGTATATTTAAGTGCAGTAATACGAGTAACGGATATAGGAGGAAATGAACTAGTGGATTAAATTACTAGCTCGTTTGTTCTTCCGCGATAAATATGTGGTACTACTTCATCTCTATCATAAATAATATTCGTTGTATGATGGACTACTTTGGCAAAAACAAAAATTAATAGTCCTATCGACATCTATCTCATAATCAGAACAGCAAACAGAAGAACGTTCGACATTTTCTTCTCATCAAGCGAACCGAAAAAAAACAAGCGAAGATATAGAGATCAGCAGAAGGGAAGTGAGAGTACTACAAAAATACACAAGGCGGATTTTCACGTCGTCCTATTAACTATTTCCCTATCTTGCCCTCTCGCGCTCTCTCTCGCTCTCTCTCTCTCTCTTTCGCTCGTATTCCGGCTTCTTTCCATTCTCCTTCTACCCTTTGTTATTTGACGATATCATTACGAGCCAACAATTGTCGCACAGCACGAGTGGTGTCAATAATGAATCGACGCATACTGAAAGCGAATTCGATCACAACTTATGATACTGCTACCTTATGGCGTGCACTCGAAGCATCATCTGCTAATCATCAAAATCATACCGTGCATAAAGAAAGTGCACGTCGTTGGCAACGTGCAGCAACTCGTCTTTTAAGACAAAATACAGTAACTTCGATATCATCTCAGAATGATAATTTATCAAGATCATCTTCTGGAATAGGATTCGCAGGAGGTGGTGGAGTCGGAGGAAATGGACTGTATAATTCGGTATTTATTTGTTCTTTTCTTTCCGTTTGTAATTTTTAAATCGTTATCATGAATTCAAATAATCTTTATTGTAACTTATATCTTTTTTGTTTTCTTTCAGGATGCTAGTGATTTAAATGAACGACCAGAAAGTAATTTAGCATTCGTTCGTCGTAAATGTGACGAATGGTTACTGAAAGGCATACCAAAACTAGCTCAATTACAAAATTATCAATTCCAGATCGACGAATGTGATTTAAAAATCGAAAAAGAATGGCAACCATTCTTAAATGAACAAGCACGATCAGTAAGTCAGTCCCTGAACTCTTGTCATCTATTCTATTGAGTATCTATCTACACTTAATTTATCTTTGTGTATGAATGACCCCCCTCAATCGGGAAGTGTCGAAAACTTATCTTATCTCGTTTTCCCTTTTCTTGTTTTAAACATACATATATACATTTGTCATCGCCTGTTATTTCTTCTCTTCTTCTTCTCCTCTTTAGCTCATGTCAGAATCGATCAAATTACAACAAGAAGCTATCTATGAAATGCTTTCAACTGAAGTATCCTACATACGTCAGATTTTAACAATGACTGATATATTCATGACAAGTGTCATGATATTAAAATCATCTCAACGTGATGGTCTCTTGAATGATATTGAAATGGAAAAATTATTTTCGAATATAAAAGATGTATTGAATGCAAATTTATCATTTTGGAAAGAAATTTTATTGCCCATTAAAATCAAACTCGAACAAACTGGCTGTGCAATGAGTCCGTCGGACCTTAAACTTGGCTTTCTCAAGGTAAGTTCGAGGATTCGAGGGTTTGATTTTCTAATTGGTCTTTAGCATGAAAAATGTCAATCAAGAGAAAATTAAAAAGAGAGGGGAAAAGACAGTATCCGTACAACAGAATGTCATCGCGCCTAGCAATATTGATGTTATTTAGTCTAGCAGTATTGTTGTTATTTAGTCCATATAGTAGCAGCCTAAGCATATATAGATGTTTTTGGCTGTTTCTGTGGGCAAAAAAAGTAATTTGTAAGTATATGCGTCATTTATCTTTCTTTCTTTCTTTCGTTCTAGTTTGATATTTATTTTAAATCATATTTACGTTATGTTCTCGATCAAAAAGCAAGTGCAGAATATTTTAAACAGAAATTAGCAAAAGACGATCTATTTCAATATTTAATTGCTGTAAGAATGTGACATACATATATATAAATGTATGTATCTTTAACTAATTTATTTTCTTGTTTATCTAGTGGATAGAAGCTAATTTTACTAATCGCTTATCATTTCCCGATCTAACTATCAAACCGTTACAAAGACTTACACAATATAAATTATTGCTCGAAGCTATACAGAAACGAACGCAAGATAATCAACAACGAAATGATCTACAAGAAATGGTAAATAATAAAATTAACATCATCTTTAAATTTCTATTAGGTTTACTAATAGAGGACGAGAAAAATAGAAGCAAATCTTGTTTTCGTAAAGAAAACTTGAAAATGATGAGAAAACTCCATTGTTTTCGTCATGTAAGATAAATACATCAGGATGACGATAATATACTTCCTCATTTGTTATTCTTATTTTTTTCTTCTATGACATCTTTAATAATAGAAATCTTATAAAAAAAAACATGTTTTGTCCTAGATTCAAAAAGTGGCCTCGTTTGTCAATCGAGTCAATTCAAAGTTACATAGTCAAGAACAAGAAGAACGTGTACGTCAGATAAGTGATCGCATCGGTCCATTTGAATGCGTTTCAGCACCGCCTGAAATCACTTCAGTATGTAGTCACAATATTATTGATGTATTTTCAATCGTTTCTCAATCAAAACTAATTTTCTAATAGATACTTCAAGAATGTTATCGAGATTCATTTTCTCACCGATTGGATCTTCTTCGTGATATGCCATTATTCGTGCGAGGCTATCGTCGTCAGATTGTTCAACAAGGACCGATGAAAATGAAAGATGCAAAAAATAGTCAAGATGTTTACTGTTATTTATTCACTGACATGTTTCTAATAACAAAAGGCGGTAAACGAAGTGGTGCAACAAATCTAGCATCGTCAACGCCATCCTCACTAACATCTATAAGTAATGATGGGCAATTTAATCGTGGTGCGCCAACTACAATAAATAAAATTCTCAAGCCACCAATACGTATTGATCGAATGGACGTTCGCGAATATGATCGACGTGGCAGTAGTAGTAATGAACCGAATACTGTAAGTAATAATAAATAATTGAGAAACAAAAAAATAATAATATCTACTTTCAATTATTTAGGCTTCATTTGTAGCATTAGTTTTTTCGGAATATAATATAGTTGAGTGTGGTTATTTATTTCAAACAAATTTAAGTAAACAATGGATTGAAAATATTCGTGCAACAAAAGCAAATTTTCAATTGTTAATGGAAGAATCAAAAATGAAATTACAAAATGCACATAATAATCATTCAGCAGCACATTCTACTTCAGCAGTAGCAGCAGCAACGGCAACTGCAACAACGACAACAACAACAACAACAACAACAACGTCAACATCGACACTCGCAACAACTGCGAATTCAACATTATCTGCCATACATCAATCACTTCCTAGTCTATCATCAACATCTGAAACATCACTTGATTTACCTGCGCTTAAAATAGGCGGTTCATCGATTGATAGTTCATCAACAGATGAACCGATTATTAATGATTCAACAGAAAATATTCGGCGTTCATCAAAAATTGAATCTGATGTATTTAAAACTGTTGAACAACAAGCTCGAAGAAATTCTCGTACCGATCATAAAAATTACGGTCGATATTTTACTGCCGATTGTACGGGTACACATGAGACGAATCCATCAACATCATCATCGTTAGTTAATCCATCGTCAATTAAATCAACGCCATCGACAGCCATTATTAAACGTATGTCATGGAATAATGAACCAACGAATACAAATAATTCAACAACAATACCAACGAATGAATTAAGCAATACAAATTCATTTCGTAGTGTACATAGTTCAAGTGGTGTCAGTTCGACAGGTTCATTTTTATTTAGTGCCGATGAAGAATCATCAATAACAGCGGCAACATCATCGTCAATACCACTAATTGGATCTTCAACAAAAGCTAAAATTGAAGATCTAACCGATGAGCATGATGAATTTGATGGTAAAAGCTCGTCGTCAACTGTTGTCGGTACAGATGATCACGAGCATTTATCTAATTCTTCAGCATCACATGAACAAAATACATCTTCACTTGTAAATTTAAATAATGTAATGCGTAGTGATATGAGCGATAATAATAATAATAATAATAATAATAATAATAATAATAGTCAACAACTAGCCAATAGACTATCAACGTCAAGTACAAATACATTGACGTCAACAGCTAATCCATCTATAAATGGTTTGCCAAAAAAACAACTTTTGTTTTTAAACTTATCAATTATGATAAGATTATTTATTTTTAGAAGTTCCTCCATTGATTAATAGTCTTACATCATCACCTGAAACATCATTACGTCGAACACCCTATGCAAGTGTAAAAAAACGCAATCAAAATCATCCTCATCATCGTTCTGGCTTTGTGCAACAACAGAATCCTTTTCGTAGACATCGAATCTTTGATGAAAATGATCTACGTTCTTCAACACATACTGTTGTCTATGATTCATCAAAAGCAATCAATACATCAACAACTATTCCAATTCGACGAGCTTTTGTACCATCCGATGATAGTGCTTTGACGGTATCATCATTTGGTGGTAGTGGAAACGAAAGTGATTATGATAATCATCATTCAAATTTAGAATGTTCGAAAGTTACAAGATATTTAACAACATCAACACGATTTTTTAAAATACCGGTGAATAATTTCAATCTATTTGATGAATTAACCCGAACAGATGATCTTATATTGGGTGATCAAAATGAAATTGTTCTTCATAATGATTCAAATATTCATACAATGACTAATAATGATACTGTCGAGGATGATGTGGACGACGACGACGACGATGAACAGAACGATGACAACAACGACGACGACAACAGCCACGATGCTGATAACACAGACCTTACAGAAGCACGAGTTGAACTATCTGATGACCATGACAATGATGATGATGATGATGATGATATAGATGGTGATGAAAAAACTATTCAATCAACAATTATCAATAATAATCAATCGTCAGATAGTAACATAATATTGCCGCTTAATTCTCGGCAGCCAGCGTCAACTCATCGAGCTACTACCCTAACTATGATGAAACCAACAAAGACAACGACATTAGATGATAGTGCACCATCGAAATATGCTGGATATCCTAAAGATCCATTAGCAGCCAGAAAATTACTTGATATTCGAAGTCACCTATTATTGAATACCACACTCGATGCAACGTAAGCTTTCGTTGTTGTTCTTTTCCGATCAAGTTTTTATTTATCTATTTCAATATTTTTTGTTTATTTAGAGAAGTGTAACGATGATATGGCATTATCTCTTTTCTTTATTTCTTTTTGTTGTTGTTTCTCCGCTATACATATATATTTTTTTTGTTCTCATTTTTCTCATTTGGAAAAATCAATTTTTTTGCCTGTGTGCGATAAACAAATAAAACAGAACAGATTTTTGTATAGATTTCATGCATGTATCTGCTTGTCCGCGGTATTGTGTAAAAAACAAGAAGTGTGCAAATGCAAAAGAAGAACAGATTCTGTCTAAATGACGAATTATATAAGTATGTCTAGTAGGATAGGATAGCCTTACAAGACGAGAGAAAGCCTCGTAAAAGCAAGATTAACGAGACATGGAAATATATTATTAATATAAACAAGAAAAGGTGTCGATTATTTTTCGCTGTAGATTTAATGAATATATAATCGATGACCTGGGGGGAGAAATTTATGGTACAAAGTTTATCAAAACAATTTTTGTTTTCATAGGAATGATCTTGTTTTGACCTGATGACGTTCTTAGGAATAGATTTGATCATACTTTACTAAATTAAAAACTCGACAAAACAATGATGAACGGCATAAATAATAGTATTCTTAATGAAAAAAAGAAAAACATGCAAGATTGTAAAAGATACATTGACCTTATATCAGTAGGCTCATTTGAAAAGGACGCCCTATAGGTGAGAGATTTTTCTAGTGGAAAAAATGTGAATCTCTAAATAATGAAAATTAGTTTCTCTTTTTGAAACGATTAATTATTCTAGCTGTTGTAATATACATGAGACACGCAAAAGCAGCTTTTATTGAGTTGGTATGGATCATGAAGAACAAAAAACAAATTAAACACTATTTTTGTTAATTAACATATTTTCGATCAAAAGACAAAGCCTATTTGAAAAGTTTCTGAGATAACTTAAGCAATTATTTTCTATTATATGCATCAGAAACGGATTAATCTTAGTCGCCAGATATTATGAACATCACACACACACAGAGAGAGAGGGGGGGGGGGAGAGAAAATGNCGCCACCCCCCCCACCCCCACCACCCCCCCCCCCCCCCCCCCCCCCCCCCCCCCCCCCCCCCCCCCCCCCCCCCCCCCCCCCCCCGAGAGAATGTGTGTCATTCATAAGGTTTTTTCTCTTTTTTTCCATCTGTCATACAGATAGTAAATTCTACTGTTTTTTTTTCTATCGTTGATTTGACAACTAAAGACGCTATTTTTTTCTTTTGTGACATTATGAAGCGGAATTGAAAATACTTCATTCATTACAGAGAGTCACGCATACATGTAAACATCTATTACTAACAACTAGAAGTTCTTCGTATAACGTTCAATAGAGATGGCTTCATCTAAAAAATATTTTATTCTGCAAATGATTTTTCTTGTCCAACTATTGTATATGAGTAAGAGAAAAATTCTACATCATAAAATTATTTGACATTTTCAAATTATGATTAAAGGCTATGGTCGTGAATGTAAATCCTGCGAAAAAGAAGATCATGATTGTTTATTAGGACAAAATGTTCGAGCTCGTACATGTTCAACAGAGAACGATCTTTGCTATATATGGTTCGATCGCTCAGGTCAATTGCTATTTATTTACTTTTTGATAAGTCTTATCGTTTCTCTTTCTATTTCTTATGCATAGGAAGTGATGTTGGTGTTCAACGTGATTGCATATCAATCGACACAATGGAATATGACGTGATTAAAGACGTGATGGGAGAAAAAATGACTGGATGTGTAAAACGCATTAATGGCCTTGATTGCTTTACATTTTGTTCGTCGGACAACTGTAACTGAAAATGAAAAAGAAAAAGAAAAAGAAAGAGCTGCTTGGTACACATTCTGTTTTTCTTTCATGCTAAATAAATATATACGCTCGGTTAAATAAACAATCTTTTTCTCTTCAAACAGTTAGTCGTTCGAAAATTGAGTGTAGAATAAAACGTAAAGAGGCACAAACGTAAAAAATATGATTAGCATACGTTTTTTGTTACGACCATTACAACAATCATCCAAACGTCGTTTATCGACGTTAAGCCAAGTTATTGATAAACGTTTAAATTCTGAACTTGATTCTATTCGACAAGCAGGCACGTGGAAATCAGAGCGAATTATTTCAACCAGTCAAAGTGCACATATTAAAGTTCAAAATTCAAAAAATGACCTTTTAAATTTTTGTGCAAATAATTATTTGGGGTTAGCAAATAATACTGAAATTATAAAAGCAGCTAAGAATGCTCTTGATGAGTATGGAGCTGGCCTAAGTTCAGTACGATTTATTTGTGGTACACAAACAATACACAAACAACGTAAATAAAAAATCAATAGAACTCAAAAGAAAAAGAACGAAAGAAAATTCTATCTTTGAATTTTTAGTTGAACAAGCTATTGCCAAGTTTCATAAACGAGAAGATGCAATTCTCTATATATCGTGTTTTGATGCCAATGCAGGCATTTTCGAAACACTACTTAAAGAACAAGACTATATAATCAGTGTAAGTAATTAAAATCTATATTTAAGGGTGTAATTACCAGTGCAGAAAAAAATTGAAGTATCTTCTTTTAATTCTTTAATACACCTGAAGCAACGGCAGCGGAACGATTTCAATCTAGGAAAGGCTCAAAATTGTTTTCAGAGGATGAGGGTAATGAGAGATGAAATTAAAAATAAAGCAAATCTGACGCTAATAAGGTGGTTCGTTTCTACAATCCTTTTCAAATTAAATGAGCCTCCCTAAGCGTTCTTCTCCGTTTTTTAGGGGCGGTTTGAGTCTCCCCAAGCCTAACGGAATCCATCGTCTATGGCCTGAAGATTCTTATCGGTTCATATCATCAGATATATGCCATTTTGCCTAACCTATATAGAAAGACCTTTAAAACACAACAAAAAAAGAACACTGCAAATATATTTGTATCAATGTGATAAAATCATTGGCCTAGCATTTTTCATTTCTGTCTCTTTTTGTTTTGTTGATAGTAACAATTAAGAAAGAAACAAAGGAAAAACAAATTATTGACTCGTTTTCCATCATCTCGAACTCTATTGTAATCCATCAATGCGTAAATAGAATAAAAAGAGACTGTTCTTTTGTTCTTTCTACTTCATTATCTTTTTATATAAAAAGAACAATAGAAGAGTAAGCTGAATTTCTTGTCAGAGCGAAACAAGGATTTAGAGTATGTACTTAAAAATTTCTCGAACGATTGAGCATTTCTATTCATTAGAATTGTCAATGTAGACAGACATCATAACTTGACATGCGTTATCAAGATCCAACACACAAGGGGCCAATAATATGGTCGAAAATAATCGATGTTCCGAGTAATTGACAAAGAAGAAGAACAAAGGGAAATAAAAATTTGTTCAGACACATATCGAGGGGATGTAAAATGAGAGAGACAAGAAAAATTTGCATTATTATATGCAATAGAAATGATTGGCTGAGTGGTCAATATATTGTCACATACTGGTACAAATGTCGAAAGAATACCATTAAATAAATAGATAACTACAGTATACAGAAGCTGCTAAAATTTCTTTCTATTCGGGACTCTTTTCTCAATTTAATGAACAAAAACAAAGCAGAAAAGTTATTCTGCACTGGTATAAAAGATTGAAAATAATAATATCAATACCAAAAAGTTGCTAGTCGGTGAATTCAATTTATTTCAGTATTTCGTTTGTGTTTTTACGTTCGTACATTCGAAAAGTAGAAAATTTCGTCGTTGCACGTATTATTCCGAAATATGTTTCTATCGAATTTAGGATGAATTAAATCATGCATCAATTATCGATGGTATTCGTTTATGTAAAGCCAAACGATTACGTTATAAAAATAAAGATATGTCTGATCTTGAATCAAAATTACAAGAAAGTCACAATGATAAAACTGAAAATGTAATTCGATTGATTGCTACTGATGGTGTTTTCTCAATGGATGGTACGATTGCACCATTACCTGATATTCGACGGTTAGCAGATAAATATAAGGCATTGGTTTTCATTGATGAATGTCATGCAACTGGGTAGGCATAAAACCTTTTTAGCGATTGTAAAAGAACATGCTTCTTTTTTGTTCTGGAAGATTTTTTGGAAAGACCGGACGTGGTACCGAAGAACACTTTGACATGATTGGAGGTGTTGATATTATTAATTCAACATTGGGAAAAGCACTTGGTGGAGCGGCAGGGGGATATACAACAGGACCCAAAGCACTTATTGATCTTTTACGACAACGTTCAAGACCGTATCTTTTTTCAAATACATTGCCGCCGTTTGTTTATTAAAGAGTCGCATTTTTGAACGCATTAGTTTTGTTTCTTTTCTTTTTAGACCTATTGTAGCTAGTGCTATGAAAGCTATTGAATTAATAGACAATGACACTAGTTTACCTGGTCGAGTACTTGATAATGCTAAATATTTTCGTCAAGAAATGCAAGAATTAGGTTTCAAAGTATTGAATGAATTTAATTTTCGTGAAAAATTAGTTCATATGTTTATCTGTAGATTCTTGGTGACGATCATCCAATCTGTCCAGTTATGCTTGGTGATGCTCGATTAGCAAGTCAATTTGCTGATGAAATGCTTAAACGAGGCATTTATGTTATTGGATTTAGTTATCCTGTGGTAAATAATTTCAGCGACACAAAACAAACATAGCAATACGAAGCAAAACTTCTCTTGTTACTGCTTTTAGGTACCAAAAGATCGTGCTCGTATTCGTGTACAAGTATCAGCTGCTCATTCAAAAGCTGACCTTCAACGATGTATTGATGCATTTGCGCAAGTTGGTCGACAACTCAAAGTGATCAGATAAACAGCGTTCCTTCCATTTAGAAACTTGTTAGACATTCTTAGAATATAGATATTAATTCGAAGGAATGTGTTTTTTTTCTAAAAAAAAGGATGGATATCTCACAATATCATCAAGTATATAATCACCACTTGTTCTATTGTGCAGTGGCATTGTTCCAATCAATTAGGAATTTTTCTTTAATTTTCTCGTGCATTCCAAGTCGACAAGATTGATATTTTGTACATTTTTCCTTTGTTCTGCTTCTCATCAATCATAGGAGCAACTTGTTTTGTTCGCTTGATTGATGATTATGTTTTTTTAAAGAATCGATGCACCATGCGAATGAATCATTAAATGAGAAGCAACCGCATATGGTTCGTTCTTCAATAGAAAGCGGTGCCACTGCTACTCGAGTGTATACTTGACTATAAGTAGATAGATTTTTACGGCTTTCCTCGTCAATGACTATCAATTACGAGTCAAACTCAAACTTTGTTCTTTTATTATTCTTCAACATGATTATTCTGCAAGCATAGGTCACCTTGATAACTATTAGAGATGTTTGATTCTTTAAAATTATTGTCTTTCGAGATTTAAAGGTCGTACCCCACAATACTCAATAAATATCAGCTGAATTAACATTGTGTTCTACACCTGTGCATTTGTCTATGTAACATGAATTACAATAGAAAGACGATTTGTAGCTAAATCTTATCAAAAACAAAGAAATATATAAATTTTAACCTTTGAAAATTTAATTTGTGACACATATATGTAACTCAATGTTATTCAAATGATAAAATGTTGACAACAATATGAGACATAGACCAAGTAGCTGAATGTCGACAGAGTCTGAAATAATAATAAAAATTGAAATCAATAGCAAAACTAGGTAAATTTGCATATACTTTTAATAAGCGAAAACATATTTTCTAAGCACACAACAGTGTCTTCATGTAATTACATCTTTGAAACAAGAGATGTACCCTTAACTTCTTTATGGATATTATGTAGTGAATGTAATTAACTGTACTTTGCATATTATCTTATGGATAAAATCTAAGACGTCTACATTCTCATTGTGTCGACGTCTTTTAAAACTTCCAATAGATCTTTAAACCCAATAAAATAAGTTACTCGTGGCCTGACCTAACTTGGGATTAATGTTCTATTGTTACTTGAGCCATGTCGATGACTTGAAATTTTTTTTCCGGAAATTCATCTTACAACGGAAAGTGGCGTGCTACAATTCGGAAAATTGTATATATTTTTTTTTTTTTTTATTATTATTATTATGCAATAACTGACGGCTTCATGAGCCCTTACAGTACAATGAGTATGGAAAAAGAAAGAGAGACATGAACCGCTGTGGCAGGACAGCACCAAAGATAAGATAAGGCATACATGAACATACATTGACAGACAAAAAACAAGGACAAAACGAGGGACATACAATTGACAGACAATAGACAAGGACAAAACAAGAGACATGCATAAAGAGACATAAAAGACGTGGACACGGACACACACTGTACATTAGTTGAACAACATACAAATACAAACAGATCAGCAGGGATAAGAAAAGAAAAATCTTCATGACATGGAAGAAAGAAAAGGGAAGAGAGAGGCACGAAATAAGAGCACTGAGGCGAGAAGAAAAAAACGAGGTAGTCTTTATAAAAAAAAGGTCTCCGGGAAGTTAATGAGAAGATCAATTTCGTCGAGTTCAAAATCTGGGCTTGAGACAGTGGGAGTGTTATCCTCCAACCAATTGAGAATTTTCTCAAGAACGGACACGTTCTCAAAATTGTATATATTTAAAGTACATTACAATCTCACTACCGAACTATTAAATTAAGAAACTGTTCAAGGTACCGCCCTAGGACACACATTTTGTCTAGTTTGTCTTGAGTAAAATGTAATGATCATGATTCACAAAATATTATCTTTCATCGTAAGTAATAAACTGATTCAAATGGTTGGATTAGAAGATAAGAAAATTATTCATATTGTTTGCCTATATTCTTACAACTAAATACAAAAATAAAGCAACCTTGTTTTTTTTTGTATACGATACAGTCCGACTGTTTGATACGAGGGGTGTCGTGATTCACAATATGTTGATTTCGTTTTGCATCCTCTTCTCTTTCTTTATTTGGCCGGTAATGCATATACACCTTGAATCTAAAGAAAAAAAATACACCCACACAGATAAAAAAAATCTTCGAATTAATCCGACACCACATCAGTTATAAATAGACAGGGCAAAATATGAATGTAATTCACTCGACATCGTTTGCGTTTGATTGAAGACACAATAAAAAGAAGGTAAGTAACGCGATATATTGGATAAGTATGGCCATCCCCATTCATTTTATTTTGCTTTTTATAAGAAATATAATCATGTCTGGAGGACCAAACTCGTGGTCTCAATTTGTTGGTAAAAAGGCTGATGATGCTGAAAGCCACATAAAATCAGAAGGTATTTTAATACTTGTGTTTCAAACTCTAAAAATATCGATGTGTCTTTAGGTTTTAATACTGAAGTAATGCCCGAAGGAGCACCATGTACAAGGGATTTTCGTCCCAATCGTGTTCGCATATTTGTTGATACCAATAACGTTGTTGTTGCAACACCACACACTGGCTAATGACTGTTATTTTTCTTCGAAAATGGACAATTTTTCGACTTTTTTCTCTTCCTATATAATCTTTATATTATTAAAGTTGAAAAAAAGACATGAACGAAAGGGTTACCATACACATGTATTGTTATACAGATTATAAAAAAAACCAATATAATGGGAAACACATAATAATAGATGAGATTATATGTTACAATAAAGACAACGAAATCTATAGGATTGTATCGATAGGTTTCTTCAATACAACATATATAATACTTAGACGAAAAAGAAAAAAAGATATAACTAATAGATAGCAACCGAAAAAGAACATGGGTAATTAAGATTAGAATGACAAGAAAAGTCTCTCGTTCTCTTTGGCGTTTAGCACAATGAATTCATGTTCGTTTATAAAAGTTCACAAGATGATTTTTTTACTTTTTTCGGCGGCTCAAGTGCAGCTAAAATAGCTTCGTCGAAAACATTCTTTAGACCTTTCTATAAAATAAAAATCGATTATAATTTAAAAAGAAAATAAATCGCTTGTTTTCTTATTTTGATTCATACTTGTGTCAATGCACTGCATTCAACATATTTAACAGATTTCAAATCTCGAGCTGATTTTTCTCCTTGTTCAAATGATATTGCTTTTTGTCGCGATTTTTGCAATTTTTCTATTGTATTTGGATCTTCTCGTAGATCGATTTGAGTACCAACAAGTAAAAATGGTGTTTTAGCACAATGATGCGATATTTCTGGCACCCACTAGATTCAATAATCGGATTAATATATATCAAATAATATTTTTTTTCCTATTCCTTACTTTTTCACGAACATTCTCAAATGATGATGGTGATACAACACTAAAACATACGAGAAAAACATCTGTTTGAGGATAACTCAAAGGACGAAGACGATCATAATCTTCTTGACCTAAAATAGAACATGGCTAAATAAATATTTTTCGAATTTCGAATGTCTTAATTCTTACCAGCTGTGTCAAATAAGCCTAATGTATATGGTTCACCACCAATCATAACTGTTACTGCATAATTATCGAATACCTGAATAGGAGTGATATTAGATTAGAACTTTTTTCTTTCATCAAAAGAATTCTTACAGTTGGGACATATTCACTTGGGAATTTATTAGTTGTATAGCTAATTAGCAAACAAGTTTTTCCTATTCAAAGAAAATCATGAGTACGAAACATTGGAAAGATTCTATTTTCCTACCAACAGCACCATCGCCCACGACGACACATTTTATTGTTTGCATTGTTAATAATCTTTCGTTTCTTTATCAAGTAAATATATATATATATGTGAGTTTTAATAATGGCGAGTTACAATCAGATCTATTGAGTAAACAGATAAACAACTGAAATAAATGGCTGTCAACGAAGTACGAATTGGAAAAGAGAATTTTCTTGCAAGTGACATCTATTCTATTCAACGCTACAATCGGTCGTAGGAAGTGAGCCTAACGCGTGAGCTAAAGTGGCGTAATTATCAACGTGTTTATCACGTTCATAGTAGCGCACTTAAGTTTAAAAAATTAGGCTCACTTCAGTTGACCGCTACAATCGAATACAATAATATAATTTATTATTTTTGACAAGCGTTTCTCCAAACACATATAAACAAACATTTATAAAAACAAAAATAACACACCATGTTTGTTTCCTAAAAACATTATAAAAGTTTGCAAGGTGGTTTTTCCGGTTTAGCACGTCTTGCACTATTTTTTAGTCCGATCATTATTGCCTCGTCGAAAACATGTTTTAATCCTTCCTATGAAATAGAATTTAAAGAAAAGATTGATCGTTTTAATGAACGAGAAAACAATTACTTGACTTCGTGCACTACATTCAACGTATTGCGCAGCTTTAATGTCATGAGCTAATTTTTCAGCTTGCTTTTGTGTTATAGGTCGTTCGTTTGATTTCTGTAGTTTTTCTAGTGTAGATGGATCATTTCGAAGATCGATCTGTGTGCCAACAAGTATAAATGGTGTCTTTGGGCAATAATGTTTTATTTCAGGTGCCCACTATAAAAATAATGTTGAGAAATGCAAAAAAAGCAATATTCTATATTTACCTTTTCTCGAACATTAGAGAGTGATGAATATGAAATAATACTGAAACATACTAAAAACACATCTGTTTGAGGATAACTCAATGGACGAAGGCGATCAAACTCTTCTTGCCCTATATAATTCACAAATATATGTATTTGGATAAAAGTCAGTAAAAAAAAAGAAAACTACTATTTACCAGCTGTATCAAATAAACCTAATACACATGGTTTTCCATCAATACTTACTGTCACAGCGTAGTTATCAAATACCTCAATGAGTACGCACATTTAATATTTTAAACGACTTCTATGATCAATTAAACTTACTGTTGGAATATAATCAGTTGGAAATAGTTTTGTTGCATATGTGATTAGCATACAAGTTTTTCCTAATTATTTGCAAGATAATACAAATAAGTTAAGAAGATTAATTTTAACCTTACCAACAGTACCATCGCCTACTATAACGCATTTGATACTTTGTGTATGCTCTTCCATTCTTATTTGCGCAAACTAAAGTGTAAAAACGAAAACTTAGGCATCTTTTTTTTCTTCCCACCTGTCCAATGCAAACATCTATTCTGCCTGACTCTAACGACGATAATGTTCGATAAACAAAACAAAACAGAAAGAGCAAAACTATTTTTTATCAACGTCATATAAACAGCAGGTAGCAGGTACAAAAAGAAAGGAAGCTAAGGTATGTCAATTTTAAGGAATCGAAAACGCGTAATGCCCTAGCTCCATAGAAGTCAGTAGAAACGAAAAAAGGAAGAATGTGGGGATTCTACTGCAGAAAAATAACTTCAAATACCTGAACAGAACATGACATTCTATCGAAATCATTTTGAAATCGAAGTGAAACTGTTACTCTTGTATTCATTCATTCATTCATGCTTTTAAAGACTTACAACATACTGATAAACAAGTCACACTATGCTATGTCGTACTTTGCAGTCAGTCATTTGAAAGATGCATTTAAAAAAAATCTCGAACTGTTTCTTGATAGTCACAACATATATCGCTTGATTTTCAAGTTACACGAAATCTGCTAGAAATTTTTCTTTTTAATATTCGCTATAAAAATATATTGATATTAGATAGAATGTGCACGGTTATTTAATAATCTTCAATTTTATTTACTATTTGAAGTCGTCGTGATTTACGTTGTTGTTCCATATTTAACTTCAACAATTACAACTATTGATCGAATACTGTATTGAATTTTTCGTATAGTGTTCATTACTTCGCATAATTAACTGATCTTATCGATATTCGTACGTTACTATAATTGAATTTAGAACATTGTATCTTGCAATGGCACTGAAATACTATTCAATGATTAGTTTACTATGAAGAGACAATGAAGTTTTCGAATTAATATATTTGTCGCATAGAATTAACGATATATTCATTCTTTCCATGAAATCCTTGTTATGTATAATAAAGACGTGAACAAGATGAAAGGATTCAAAATGGATATTTTCTGCTTCAAAAATCTACAGATGAAAAAAAAGAGAAAGCTAAGGTGGAAAATAAAGGATAGTCTTTAATGATGATGTTGGTCACTATGATGATCGTGTGAATGCGGTTTATCCGGATTGTATAAGTGAAGATGCGCATGAAATGGTGGAAATGCTTTTTCCAAGATTTTTTCTGTTATAAGACAAGTAGCCAATGCTACCATAGCATAACGAACACCAAAGAAAGCAGTACGTAAAACAATACGCCACTGTGGATAAGCACCAACTTTTGGATCGAATAACCATACTTGGTTTCGAATCCAAGGATCACGAAGACCTTTATTCGTTAATTTTGAACGGTAACTTTCTAATTCAGGTATACCATCGACTTTATATGAACGCCAATCTAAAAATCAATGAAGGCTATATAAAACAATAAACTCATCATTTCATATTTACCTGGCACACGAAATTCACAAGAATTAGGAAATCGATCTGGATAGGCGCTTGCTGCTTTTCCAATATCACCATGTCCTGAATGGTGTCCACCAGAGGCATGATTTTTACCAGAGCCGGCTACCATTTTTAAATAATCTAAAAAAACAGAACACTATTGAGTTTAGAAGATGATGCTTGTTGTACGCGTACACAACTCGATGTCTCGGATAGTAGCTAGTGAACAATTTATTGTCACTGGTCAATATTTCAGCCATATTTAATGAATAGTCGAAGTTTTTAAAAATAGCAATTTTATATGTCATGTAGTTGATATCATCAAAAATATCTGTAATGATAGAGAAAACAATATAAAATTTCTAGATGACATGTTTTATAGAGGGCGCTAGACGATGTAACCGTTTTGAATTTATTTATTTTATTAAATCTAGATGCGATTTGAGTAAATGTTCGTGAAATATATGAAACAAAATTATGTTAATTTTGAAAGTATGCCGATATTATATGTTTATATTAGATTGTTGATTTTCTTTGCTTGACTGTGAATTTGATTCATCTGAATTTTGAATAGTTTCTGATTTAGAAACAGATTGCTTGACACTTCTACTTTTCTTTTTGATTAAATTGAGTAATAATGCTTTAGCAATAATCAACATGAAAAATAATACCATGAAAAGAATGAGAATTGCAATAGAACACATAAATAATGTTATTCGAAGTGTTTCTCCATCAAGATATAAACAGGAATCAAATTGTTTGGAGTTTTGATATTGAAATGAACAAGATTCGTTGCTATTGAAATGTAACATGAGAAGTTTAATCAAATGCGCTCGCTCTTAATACGATACAACACACAGCCTTGATGTAGTCTACGAAAAACATAAATTAGTGGTTGAGAAGCAAGATGAAAGTATCATGAATGAACTACTCAAATATTTTTTCTAATCTTTATTCCACCATTTAGTTTGCTTACAAGTATCGTTCGAAAAATACGATACTAGACATTGGTCTATTTTCTTACAGCTGATTCTTGACAATGAATCACACAGATAATTAGATTCTAGCACCTCTCAGTATCTAATGCCAATATTAGGATTCCTACTGCCAGAATGATTTTCCTGGGTAGTTCAAAAATAAATTCGAATATGTAAAATATATACTTTGGAATATCGAAAAGTGGTGGTAGTGGAGATAGTTTATAGAAACTTTTCCGTTTTGCGGACCTAGAGAAAATGTGTTTTTTTTACATATTAGCTTCATTATTGAATAATATTATCATAATCTCTTATTAGCTATTTGGTAAAAGTTAAGGATTAGAGTTTCACAAAAAAGTGACTTCATTTATTTTTGACAACGAAGAATTAATTCATTCAAATTTATTTTATAAGTATAAAGATGTATGTATATATATATATATTCATTGTGGGCAGCAACAAAAATACACTAACACCAATGATGTGCCGAGATATCTTTGAGTGTTTTTCGAACACTTCTATCTAAGGAGTTTATTTTGTACAAAAACTTTAATCAAAGTTCGTATGGATATCGACAACGTTATGGTAACTTCATTATCGTAACGACGCCAGCCTAACAACAGAAAGATATGATAAAATAGCCAGTACTTAATGGAGTCAAAATAAAAGAACATGGGCGTTCTAATATGATGTTATATCATCTATTTAGCTACAATTTCAAGTGCCTCCTAAACGAGTTTAATACTCTTTTATGATTTGTGTCAGAACAAGATTCTCTATCAATGTTTTTTCTCGGAGAGGACACACCTTTTCTTTTGAATGCATGGATATACATATCTAATAGAACTTCGATATCGGCTAATGTGAAGTCACAGATATATAGACATAATATGTTGAATGAAACAAGAAATTAGTATTAATCACAATTTCAAAGAATTTGCATTTTCAGAATTCAAAAAAAGAAGTGTAAGTTTTAAAACCTTTTAAGTGCATCCAATTCAAAAATTACGTTTCATCTGCTCTATTAAAAGCACCGTTACAAAATTGATAATTATGATGCACAAAAACCAAATGTTTCTTAAACAGTACCATACGTCGACATGTTCTTATTACTGAACGCTAGATATATTTGGACATTGTAAAGGAGAACGGCACGTAGTGGACGATACGAGTTCTAACGGAAAAGAACAAAATATGTTTTTATTTTAAATTTATTGAATGGCCAATGCGCGAACGCAAGTGACCGCGGAACAAATTATCCACTCGAGAAAGCCCGATGTGGACTTTTCGCAGGCGTCAACGGGGGCGATGTGCAATGCCCGCGCCTCGACCTGGAGCATTAGCGTTCCTGATCGCTAATGCATCCGTGGCAGGTAAGTATGCTTTATGAGTTGTCCTCTCTACATTTATATAGTCAAATGTGCTGCAAAAGTTGCACAGTAGAGTATTGTAACGAAGGAAAAGAGAGAAAAAAAAAGTTCTATGACTGGATGAGTCATAGTGGGGTCGGGTCCACTTTTGCATTCTTTTCTTCTTCGAATGTAAATTGATCTCATAGAAACTTTCAATAGGGTGCGCTAGTTGCCTATGAATTATTCGAATGTAGGACATACAGGTAAATAATAAGAATAATTTATAAGAGATATTTCATTAAAATATTTTAGCAACTGGCGATGATGATGATAATACTGAAAACGAAAATCAACCACAAAACGATCTGCTCCATCATCAAGTAATAAAAAAATCGATGCAACTACGAGCAAAAAATGTAATGCTGGACTATTCGAAGATCGAACAAATGATGATGAGAATATAGAAGCTGAATATCATTACGAAGATGGTTAGTCTTTTAATATCTATTATTTATTTTTAATTTCTTAATTAATCTCTTTTGTAGATGGTCCACCAGCAAAACAATTGAAAAAGAATCATTCAGGTGATAAAGATTCATCATCATCAACTAATAAAAACTAATAATCGTGCAGTTAAAAAGACCAAAGTCACATAAAAAAAATAAGAAATCATCATCAGTTATATAAACATTGATTAAACAGATGTTCCTTTTTGATATTGTACCAATAATTGTAGTTCTTTTTTCTTTTTATTATTTACTAGTACAAATACCTCTATACGATTTTTTTTCTTCAAAATTCTCTTCATAATCAAGTGTATTTGTATTACTTTTTCTTTATATCATTCTTATATTCAATCCAACTTGTCTCTGCGTGTGCCTATATGTATGATTGATTAGAACATGAAAATATACAATCTTTCGTGTAAAAACATCAGAAATAGATGTATGTCTGCATCCAACATATTTCCTTGTCTTGATTGTATGATATTGAAAAAAAGAAGAATTGTGTATACATAACAAAGAGTACATATTCGCACATATGCATATGATCATTCGCCAACAAGCAAAGTATATCAATTGTAATATCAAAGAAAACAAAAAAAACAACATTTTTTATTTTAAACGAAATTATCTAGTGGAAGAAAATAAAAGAAACGAAAGAGTTTATTATATATGTATATATAAACAGTAATGGCACGTTATTTGAGATTGAACAAGGAGAAATGACGATTATTACTATTATTATTATTAATATGTTGATTTAGAAAAAACCAAGTGACTTTTTAATATTTGTTTGTTTCCAATGTGGTAAAACATAAAATTCATCTTTAGTCATACGAAATTCTTTCTACAGAAGATATCAAAAGATAAAAAAGAAAAGGAAAATCTAGTTTAAAATAAAAAATAAAATAATCATACTTGAAAATCATCATCCGATAGATAAAATTCTATTTTTGATGTATTCACACCTTTAAAAATAAAAGTTTATTTTATAAAAGAAAAAACAAGAAAATGTTTTAATTCAAACCTTCTGCTAATGGACGAGCTCGAAGTTCTTCAATAGTATACTGTTCAGGACATAAACGCATAAGCATATCAATCACTGAATCTTTTTGGTCTAATTTTTTTCCTTTCTAAAACAAAATGAAAATTTCATTTATTCATTGAAAGATTAGACATGAAAGAAAAGAACACAAACCAGTTGATTTTATTGTCGAACTTTCATATGAATCGTTCATTTTAAAAATAAATTAATAAAACCAATAGGTTCTACACCAGCATATACTATAGAACCAGGTAAATCAACAGTTGCTGAACCCATTTTTGCTAACCAAAAAAAAAGCAGAGAAAAATTTCTCATTTAAATAAAACTTAAAAAGAAAAAGAATTTTCCCTTTACAATATTCAATAGCTGTAAGAAAAGCACAACGACGTTTAGCTGTAAAACGTGCATCTCTTGGACTACCAGCTTGTATATTTGCATTATAAAGTTGTAAATCAAGTTCATCATCAGATAAATCATTCCATCCTTGCCATATATATATAAGTCTGTATCAGTATCAATTAAACATAATGCTGGTTGATGAAGTTCATATAAATCTGCTTGAGTAAATAGAAATGCTGATATAATTATGGTCCGGTGATCGAAGAGGATAAACAGGTTCTTGAGCAACAAATGGACAGGCTTCTGACTAATTACATGATATGTTATTTAAAAGTAAATGAAAAGTAGAAATTAATATGAACAATTTCTTTTTTTTGGTGATTATTAATTGTTCTTTTATTAAGTATAAATTCATTACTGCACTATATTTGGTAGTTCACAATGATGAATATGATTATATATGTGATTAAAAAAACCCATTGAATAATCAGCATAATAATATATATATATATATATATATAAATGAAGGAAAAACTTCTATAATTTTTTTTATCGAGTCTCCCTGCATTACTATGAAGTCCATCGATGACAATCTAAAATTTTGATTGCTTATTTTACTAACTTACAACAATGAGAGAAAAATATCTTTTGACAATCATATTAGTATTGAACACATTTTAATATTTCCGTCTTTCGTACATTTTTGTTTATTAAACTTTTTCTATTTTAAGCCTATTATAATCTTAGAATGAAAAATACACTTATCAACAAACAGAAGAATGTAATAGTTTAATGTTATTGAAGCCATACATGAAGTATTGGGGCATTAATGTGTTCTCGAAGATCCTCCATTCGATATGCACGTTTACAATGATTCGGAAGATCACGCATCTTTGACTCCTGTTCATTTTCACCAGTTAAAACACCATGAAAAATGATAAAATTCAATTTTGGCAGACCATTTATTAGTATATGTAATATTTCAGGAACTTGACTACCATTATGACAGTTTAACTCCATGATTTCCAGATGTGGCAATTGTTTCACAATTAAAGAAACAATACCTATCGTATCTGGACATTCCCAATTCGTGTAAAAATGTAGTTTTTTTAATCCATTTGACATGAGTATATTACATAAAGAAGTATTATTGAAAAGTTTGATTACATTCTGCTTGTTTCTTTCATCATCTAAATCATAATCGAATTGATAAAAAAGCTCTAGAGTACGTAAATGAATCATTTTTGATAAGAGCAAACGTAGTTGATATAAATCGAATGAATTATAAATTGTAAGCGAAGTAATTTGACGGCAAGAAACTATAGTTAGTAAGTAAGAGAGAAATTCGAGATTGGCTTGAGAAGATCTACCATTCAATGCTACTGTATTGATACACGTCAAACGATTATTTAAAGCTGTTGATAAAGTACATGACCAATGACTTTGTCTAAATAATTTAGAAAAATCATTTTTTATAAGCAAATGAAATTTATACATACACGTGAACAATGTTTTTATTTAAATAGGTATAAGCACATAAATATTTGTCCTTTCGTGGTAATGTGAAAGCTTTAATAGAATAATCATCCTTATATAAAAATAATTCTAATTCGATTGGTATTCGTCCTTTCAATTGTTGCAATGCATTTAACAAAATACGACTTGTGTCCGATAATGATATCGTAGTTTTCACAAACCATTGAACAATATATGTATATGAACACTGATGACAAAGCACCGATAATAGCTTGGCAACAACATTAGGTCCAGTCACTATCCCTTCTAATATCAGTTTTGTCAATGAAAATAAAACATCGTGATCAAATAATTTATCAAGCAGCTCCATAGCATTAATATAATATTTTTATGTTATTTTAAGACAACGTAGATTAGGAACCAAACGTTTATCAATACGAACCATTTGACTGAAATAGATTAATAAAAAATAATCATAAATACATGACATATTATTTCACATTTTATTGAAATAAAAAAATACTCTTTTCCATTGTTCATCTACACCATATCATATAGTACCAATGTTCTATTTATACATAATAGTTTATATTTTTAATACAAAAACACTTCTCTTGATGATTTATCATCGATGAAAATTTTTTAAGAAAGCTTTCCATAGAACAATTTTCTATCATATCATCATGTATTGCATCATAGTCATAAAATAATGAACTTTTTATTTTACTCAGTTTTTGTACAACTCACGTAGATTTTCGAAGAAAATAGTGAGTGTAAGTTTTAAGGTCAAGATTTCGCGGCTTCCCCTACTCCACCCCTCCGCTCTTACAGACCATAGCAACGAAAGAGAATATTAGAGACCTTAGCGATCAGGTTTAAAAAAATGAATATATATATATATATAATAGCTTCATTCGCCATATAATTCAATGCTTCTCATAATATAAATGTAAAATTAAAGAAAAAAGTAATGTTAAAAATGAAAAATACTGAGCGAATAGCAACAAAGAAAACGAAAGATAAAGGCACCTGTCAGAAAAGTGAAAAATGCTTGATTTTATACTATCTATATTTTGAATCTTAGTGCAATGAAGCTGAAGAATCTACGTGAGTTCCATATTTCAACCCCAAAGGGGCTGCGCTAGCGACATCATCAGAAAATTGACCATGATAGCGCTCAGCTCGCTCTCCAGATTATTGTTTTGACAAACTTTTGAGTTCTTAGAAAAGCGTTTTTCTCAGCATAATCTTGAGTCTCTCTTGGATAAAGTAGCCAAAGTCAGTTATCAACATTATTATCAAAGAGATTTTCTAAAAGAATTGGACTTTTTAAAGACCAATCAAAAAGGAAGTTCTTCTGGTATGAAAAGATCCTGTATGAAGAATTATTTTCTGTTAGATTTTGATTTCTTTGAAGGAAATAAACAGACAGAAATCTGTCTTATGCTTTTATGTTTAACTGACAATTGGATCAAGTGTGAAAAAATTTTCGCAGTAATACGGAATTCTTCGATAGTACAAGAGATTAAAATGTTTCATTCCAATAGTTTTTGACAAAAATTTTACAAGATAGAAGTACTGCTGTTTGACTTCGACTTTTGATAATATAGAGAAATTGTATTTGGCTGAATTCAAAATAGTGTTTCTTATCTGCTACAATAGGAAGTCTCTTCAAACACCGAGCTCATATTTTCTCGTCTTTTTTCAGGCATTCTATTATAACTATAGATAAATGTACTCCTCTACTCAGTAATTTCAAATTAATCTATCATGATTTTTGTACGAAATCATTCAGTAGAAACGATTCTTGGTTAACAAAACCTTTTTATGTTACATGTTCCACTTATTGTTAGCAGTAATTTGAATCACTAAATTATGTTTTGAGGATTCGATTGCTCGGGAAAACCGCTGGAAAGCAAAATTCAAAGCTCTGTTTAAGCGAGGAATATTTGTCGAGCTTGGTCTTATGCGTTAGTTACTCGAGAATCTGTGCTCGTAGTAATAATACTGTCTAAGATAATAATGATACTTTCAAATAACATTCATTTGAATTAGAAATAAAAAACTCTTACCGAAACAATCATGATAAAACTTTCTCAATAGTACGTGTCACTACTGAAATGCACTGTGAAAATGAACTTTACTAGATGATTTTGCCGAGAGAAGAAGATTTTAAAATAGGAACAAATTAAAAAAGATTGGAAAGGAAACTTAGCAATGCATCACATCATAGTTCAATTAATCTTATGATGTTTGAAAAATGCTGGTAAATTGGTTCGTACTGTATATTAGAGTTATATTCGTAGTGCATTGACATTTAGTATTACGCGAACCATCAAATATGCTGTTTTTTTCTTATCTGGTGGCACTTATATGACTCAATTACTGTGAGATTCTGTCAATATACTTATGGATACTTGATCCTGTTGGTGCTAATACAATTGCTATTTCAGATGATATAATCAAAACAGATACAGTTACTATGAATCGTTTTTTTGGTCTTTCGAAACTATTATTAATCTCATCCAGCACAAGATATTTAAAAGAAAGGAGTATATTATTCGACTTGAGTTTTTAGAATGTATTATTCTATATGAAGGAATCTATTTAGAATGCTTAAGATGTTTCATGCATTCTTTTACTTTGGAAAGACTAATTAAACACATTTAATAGAATGAATTCATATATAGCTCTCGTGTGTTGTTTATGAATCAATTTTACTGCTTTGTGAATACCTCACATTTATTGTTTAACTCACATTCTACGTTCCCTTGAATCCTTAGAATTATTGAAAGCATTATTCTGCCATAGGTCTTTCAATTTTTGATAAGAAACAATTTCTCAAATTCTGGGGTGGTAGGACTCAAACATACGATGGTAGGGCTGAGCCCTCCCTGGCCCCCTACCCTAGTGACGTCGCTAGGCTGCGCTAACAAACTTTTTTCATCGTCTAATTGCGGCTATTGACACTTATTTCGAAGATGTTCTTCCTTTGACTAATATTTAACTAAATATATTGTTGGTATAAAAAACCTATAAATAAAATCTAAAAGAAATTTATTAATGGAAGATTAACGAATAATTAACCAATATTATGAGGATGTTTTCATAGACAATCTATATTTATTTAACTATTTATTATCAAATATCCACAAATGTGAGTATCAGAAACTTGCTATAACAGGATAATTTATTGCATAGGAAAAATCATTTCTTTTTTCTCATGTAAACTCGTATTAAAATTCAATGGTTACAGTTAAAAAAAACAATCTTTTGATGTCGAAACTAATCAAGAGTATTTGAATTTTAAGCTTATTTTGCAAGATTAACTTTTGACAATAATTGATTAATGACTTTTATCGAAAGAGAATGATTCTATATTATAACTTATTTTGCAGTATGCTATAGTATTTCTTCAAGATTTCATTGATTTTTATTTCATAGTAATCTTAAAGTTTTGTGTTCTATAATTTTTAGACAAAAAAACATTAGAAGAATTTTGCTTTCAAAAATGAACAGACCGATTGAATCATACTTGTATTGTGATCTGAAATGAGTTGATTGTCTTTTACTAATGAATAACATAGTAATCTGTATGTTGATCTCATTGAAAATAAAAACTACTGCTTACTTCTATCTTCTTATATTCATTGAGTTCATTAAAAAATTATTGAAGTAACTCTGAACTTTTTCAAATTATCATCCTTAGAATTAAACACTCCAATGTTAATAAACATTGTTGAAAACAAAAATATTATCAATTTAGAAATGATAATCACTTCTAACTATTATCTATTATAGTAATATGATTACATGAATTTACATAAGTATATTATATAGATTATTTTTTTGTTAACAAAAGAAACTTACTTGTTATAATTACACAATAATGGATGTTTATCAGGTAGTCAAGGAGTGCTTAGATCAAAGCTGAGTTCTTCCAATTGTGGATAATATTCAAGTGAATGTGAGAGAAAAGTTGGTGAACATTCTCGAAGTACAAGTGATTGTAAGTGTAAATGATTTGTTTCAATCGGTATAAAAGTTTTATTAAGCGGTAGAACTATTTGAGTGTCTAGAGTGTTGTATATATGCCGCCAGAATCGAAGGCGACATACACGTAATAAAGGAAATAAACGAAAGATTCTTTTATAATATGCACCCTCAGGTACAGCTGTAAATGTATATGCAGCTTGATAGTATTCTGTATAATGTACGTTAAATATAACGAGAGATGTGCTAGGTGTAGATGTATTGAGCATTAATTCAAAACAAGAACGTTTAATATCGATTAAAGATAAATGACGAAGATTGATAAATGCAGATAAATTAGATGCTAACCATAAACCATTATCAATAGCTAATGTATGTGAGACACACAATGAAATAAGTCGATCGCATACATTTGCTTGTAATAAATGTGCATAATAAAATTCGGTGACAGCGATACTCATACCATTCAAACCTAAGTTAGCGCGAATAAATGGTATATTGCTAAAGATTACAGTAAAACGAGGATTGAGATTAGAAAAAATATTGAATATTTCATGGAACTGGAAATAAATAAATATCTCATAGAATAATTCGACAGAGAGATCATCCAATTTTGTTACCATATTTTTCTTTTTAAATATCATACGATTGAATGCTGTGTATCATTCTTATTTAATAGCTTCGTCAACAATAGCACAATGTGGTTATTGTTCTCTTTGTCAACAATTGGCGCTTTGAAATGATATTATCGTTCTTATTCATCAGTTCCATTGATGAACAACAAATGGATGAACACAATTTCTATTTATTTTCTTTTTCTTCTTGTGATATCATACCAAATAGTTTTCTTTATACTTTTTCAGTTATTATTATTCTTATATTCGAAGTAAAATATTTTCAGAAGGAAATTAAATAGAAAAGATTCTTATTAGATTTTCATTGCAGTTTATCAGATAATCAATAATAAAACGTTATACATATATGTTGATATTGAAAATCATTATCGATTCATATGTCATTGTCTTTTACCTTTTTCTTTCTGTTATCTCAAATAATTTTAATAAAAAAAATGAAATTAAAGGATGTAAACGTCAATTAGCAATTATTATTGAACAAGAATATATTTTTAAACGAGGAGTGATAGAATCGATTCGTAATATAATATCAAATTCTTCTTCACAATCTCAAGCATATGGATTTCGTTTTTTAGTTCTTCTTTCGCTTTTCTATACACCACTTTCATGTATGTTCACGGCTCTTTCACAAGCACTCACTGTCTAGTAGCTACGTCAGAAGAATAAAAGTTAATCTTGAAGGAGATGATTTAGTAATGTATTTAGGTGATACAGATATTCTAAGCATTATATATTTTAATATCAAGTTTATGATGTTCGCGAATAGGCTTGAAAATGTCAATTTGTATTGAAATAAATGTGGAAACTTCGGATTTCATCCGAGAGTTATGTGTACTGCAAAAAGTGCATGGGACATATGAGTCATTCTAGAATGTCTGAACACCAAAATTATCATGAGAAACTAGGTAATTTGATTTCTGGATGCAGTTTTTACGCATTTTGAGACGTTTTTCAGGCGATGTTTCGTTAGAAAGCTACGATTTAGTTCAAAACTAACACCAGATTCAGAATCAGCGTTAAAAACTGAGATGATTTATATATGTTGTGAATAATTCTGAGAAAAAATTTTTTTTTGAAAAATCCCTGTACTCCCCCTCAGGGATGATCTGATCAAAAATGACAATTTTTTCGATAATTCAGCCATTTCTTGGCGGATCCTTCTCATCTTCGAACTCGACCTAGATATTCATGAGATTGAACTGTGCGGAAAATTTCATCACGATCTGATTCTCCCTTCGAAAGTTATCGTGCCTACGGCCGGCCGGACACACTGACTGATTCTAGTGTACTCTTTTTTTTTTGAGTGCACAAAAAGATAAATAAAACAATAGAAATGATTTGTAAAATTATATATTTGATTCAATAAAGTGACTAGAGAGTAAGCGCTGTAGAACGATTAAGATGAAGATATTGTCTAAGTAACTAATTGTTTTCTTTCATAATCATACCTAAAACAGAACGGAAAATCGTAAATAGGCACGTATTTTTTTAGACTTATTTTGGCTTACAATGTGAATGATGAATAAATTCGTTTGGAATTCAAAAATGCAATTGTTTAAATGAAAACGTTGAGGCATCTTTCACTTTTTGACCCAAATAAAATACATGCCGTGCATCTTTTGCATAGCCATCGCTTAATATTTCAAATGCGTTTGTTGATGCATCTTGAATTTTTCTTCCACGAAAATAAACCGACCATGCATCTTTTCCGTAACCGTAGCTCAATGTTTTAAACGTTTTTGTCGATGCTCCTTCAATTTTTTCTCCATTATAATAAACTGACCATGGGTCTTTGGCATAGTTATCAAGTAATACTTCAAATGTCATTGCCAATGCACCTTCTATTTTTCGTCCACTAAAATAAACGCACCATGAATCTTTGGCATAACCATAGCCTAGCGATTGTTTATCTGTCATTTTAAGTAGAAGAAAATTACAATGAACTACTGTTTATATCTGAAAATAATAATCATCGTCAAAATATAGAACTGCCATGCATACATTTATCGATGATTGCTAAATACAAACTTGTATACATTGTTAGTATCATTACGTTATCTGGTAAATAAACGCAAGCTAACACATGGTCGTGTATTCTATGATAATCTATTCTAAATAATTAAAAAAATAGAAGAAACGAAGTAGAAAACACCTTATGATAACATTATGATAAGATTGACATTGGCATGGCGTTATGAGTAGAATTATCATAATGTAAAGAATGTTTACCGAAGCGTTTATTCGTACGATATCAGGGAGGGCCATTTTTCATTGGTAACATCTATTTTTCTTTTTTATGATTATATAGGAAAGAGTTTCATGAAAAATAAGTTACGATGAGCAAAGATTCATTCTTATAGTTACCAAACTTCTACTTTCTTTGCTGTTTTTTTTATTTTTTATCAATAATGTGTCTCGAACAATACTTTTTTTTCCCAAAGAGAATTTTATATAACAGTATGAATTTCTCAGAGACAAAACTTAGAAGAATATATGAATCTGAATTTGAAGAAAATTTGCTCAACAGCTTATTTTTTACGACAAAAAAGAAGAAAATATACAAGTAATTAATAATATATACCTATAATTTAACGAATCAGTATGATATTACAGTTGATGAATCTTCCTTTTAGATAAACTATTTTAATGATAATAATATATTTTTCATTTGATTCTCTGCTCATCTTTCGCTGTCAAATTCTTCTCAGCATAGAAATACTGTCTAAATCTTTATATGCCTCCGTTATTCTTCTTCAACGTCAAGATTAATTATTGTTATGAAGTGAGTTTTATATTTATTTATACTGATAAAAAGGTTAAGTATTTATGAACAACGTAATTGAACCTATTTATTAGAGAAAACTCTAGAATAGATTGAAAAAGAACAATTTTCATCAATAGAGACTGATCGAAGACATGTTTATACCAAATTAAGAAGAAAGATTTATTTTACTGCATGTTCCGTATTTTTTTGTATGTGTTTTCTTATTCAACTAGAGTTAGAAAAGGTAGTTCTTTTTTATATTGTTTTTTTCCGTAAACTAAGTCTAAATATAATATGACTTAGTGTCTGTACGGCTAATTATATTTGAAAGGAATTTCGATAAGTTGAGAATGATCATGATTTATTTGTAGTAAAAACACAAGCTTGATTAGTAGAGCTTCAGCATCAGATGTTATCGTGGTGTATTCAATTGCTTGTAAATTTAACTTTGGATGTGCTGAGAAATATTAGGATATTGAAAGTCAGTTGATCACTGTTTGATTTTGACATTCAAGCTCATCTTTAACAATCAATATATGATACTATCAATAGAGAGAATAATTACTGAAATATAGCATACTGTTTGAAAGCGAACATGTTTAAAAACATTCTTTCTTCATTTTTTACATTACCTATTGATGTATTTCGGATCATCGAGAGAAATTCACGATCTCACTATACATTTTCATATTTGGGTGTTTTATTTTATCGATGAATTTTGACATTACCGAAATTATTTTTAAACAAACACTAGATGAAGATCAATCATGAAAAATGTTGTATCTAAGTAAGAATCTTGAGTTCTGAGAAAAGGTTTTTAAGCCAGAAAAGATTGCAAATTCTTAAAACCGTGAATATCTGTTTTACATATTTACAATAAATCATACGAATTCGTTGAAGAACACTATTTTTCTAGGAGCAACGTCAAAACTAAACATTATAAACAAATTGTAGCCAATCACAGAGCTAACATGAAAGAAAAACGTTGACCTCGCAGTTTTTTAGATGGCAACGCTAATGAAAAATGCGAGTAACAGGACAATGCTACAGTGAAAAATGAATATTGATTATGGTAGGTAGAGGATGATTACTTGACGTAGTTCTTTTTTCCTCATAACGTGGAACATTGGCATAATGCATCGTGGAATATTTTACTAGTCATACGTTCATGACAGTGTTTAATGTAAACTGGTTTATAGAATTGCAAGCAAATGCATCAGAACTTCTAGTTAAATCAAATCATTCTTTTCATATTTTTATGCCTAGTAAATCTTTTTTTATCAAATGGCTGAAAGAAAAGCTGATAGCAAAGAAATTTTTAAAAAATTAAATTATTAATTTTTAGTCTACAAATTGATTCGTTCACCTTGGACAAGTCGGCTTTTTATTTTCCACACATCCTACAATAATTTTAATTTACTTAGAGAGATTTTTATATGATGTCTTACTTGAAAACGTGCATCTTCAATTCCAGTTTTTCTCTTAAAGATAGCTGTAACTTCTTTCGAAATATAACTTTGCAATGTATTATCACATTCAATATATTCACATGCTGAATCAGCATAATGACATGAAATAGCCTAAATAGGCAAAAACAAACAGGATTAAAACTTCTTTCTTTTCTCTAGCTGTTACTTTTCGAAAACCAAGCGATCTGTTTGTTCCACTGCCATGAATAAGTAGAGGATGGAAAAAAACAGTATCACCTAAGGAAAATAAATTCAACATGAAATAATTCTAAATTTAGCAATTATATATCCATACCTGATTCCATTTCTAAATGTAATCTTTCTTGGTTTGGATCGAATTTTTGTATTCCATGATACATTTTATTTATTCCGCCCTACAAACAACTAAAAATAAAATCATATAAAATTTTAATTTCTTTACTTTCCAATCAGGATATCCATGTGGTTCAAGTTCACCTGTATGTGTTCCAGGCATGACAACAAGACAACCGTTTTGACGATTAATTTTTTCCATTGCTGTCCATGCACAAACTATATGATGAGCTGGTCGGAACGGAAAATAATAAAGGTCTTGATGAAGTGGATGTCGAGATGATTGAGTTCCTGGATCAGGTGGTTTATTAATTAACTAAATAAACAAATAGTTATCCTCACATAAAAAAAAAAGAAAACAGTAATTATTACCATGGTATGCATAGCCATGATATTTGGACCTGTAAAATTTTCCACATATTTAACAATTTCAGGTAAGCAACAATATTTAAAAAGTTCATCATCTAATGTGAAATCTTGAATTTTTGTTATTGCCTTTTCACCATCAGCAAATTCCGATTTAGCAATTGCAATATCTTTCATAACTGTCATACCTAGGACTTTGACTTTTCCCGTACATACATCTTGAAAACGTTTACTAAATAAAAATGAAACCCAATGAGAAAAATAAATCATTTTTTCAATAGAATTTATTTACCGAAAAACTTCAAGTTTTTCCGGTGCAACTAAATTACGTACAACAAGAAAACCATTTTTTTCATACGATTGACGTTGTTCATTGGATAAAATTCCGTTTGGTAAACTAAAACGATATTGCGACTGTTGAGTATTATCAACTGTTGCTTTCTAGATGAAAAAGAAATCAAATCAGAAATTCCTATCCACATATGAAATGATATGTAACATACATCTTGTGAATAAAAGCGACTATGATAATGGATTGTTTCTAATCGTTTTGCAAATATTGTACACAACAATTGACGAGCAAAAGGAGATGATTGTGATATTACACTCATTCCCTTTGCTGTTATTTTTTATCTAGTCAAAAAAGTTATTTCGCAGTCAAATTAAATTTACAGAGTTTATTGAAACAATTTATAAGTATGCTAGCATTATTGCTCCAGGTATTTGATAAGATTATTTTTTTGTTTCAATTATTAATAATATAAAACAACCAATATACGAAACGAAAGAAAGATAACGTATTCCGAGTTGGACGCTTGCCAATAGAAGAAACACAAAGTCGATGTGTCGCCTGATGAATCCGTAAATTAGCGACCTCTCGACAGTTTAACCATATATATGTTTTATAAATTCTGTCAAAACCGAAAAAATAACTCTTTCTTACAATAACAATTGCTAGGCTATAAATGCTCAGTACTCGAAAATAATGGTATAATATTCATATTGCCGAAGAGAAAAATTCAAACCATTTCAGAAGTTGATTTATGTACGGTAGAGTATTCAGCAGATTAATTCTCCTAATGACATATAAACTGATTTTAATTGCAATACCGAAAGAAATATTTTATGAGAGAAAATAAATGGTTGCCTTTAGCATGGTTTTTCTACCCCCAAAAATAAATAAAAATAGTCTATAAACTCTGGAACGGAATTTCTAGGGAGAAAACTATAAGGTAAAACAAATTTGAGTGCGGATAAATCCCCCGCTCGTCGTCAACTCTGGTGTTCGTAATATTGACCTGATCGAAGTTCATATCCTTTATAGAATCACACGCATTACACCGATGATCTATACGCGCTGTTAGTTAACAGACTGCCAATGGGTCAAAAGATAAATATCTAGGTTCACTTTATTTTTAATTAATACTCAATAAAATTCGATAGTTTTCTGTCGTATTTTCAATAGTATTTTATTTTATCTTTATTAATCAGTGAAACATTTTGAAAATAGAAGTTTCAACTGTTTTTCCATCTGATTTCAGTTACAGCATCACTTTTTGTTGCATTCATTTTTGCTCTGGCTTAGCTCTTTAATATATTAGATGAGTAACGCGAAGTTGACTCTTCATATATCATGCACATAGATTAAATGGGCTTTATTTTTATTTGATATCAAAAGCCACCCAAGACTTTTTATGATATAAAACTCTTTCATAGGAAAAAAAACAGTTATTCTAACAGGATATTTTGAAATAAAGGATTATTATAATGATTGATAATGAAGTATAAAGAAAAAAAAAGTTTGCATGAAACAGACTGCTTAAATCTAATTGAGCAGATATTATTATAGAGCATGTAGAAATTCTCAGCTGTCTAATTAAAAACTAATTGAACAGTATTATGTGGTTTTGTTACATGATATAATCTCTATTTATTATACGTAATAAAACAAAGAAAAGCTTAGCTTTTATCTTTATTAATTCCATAATCTGTTTTATGTCTTTAATACTTGTTTATAAATATATTACCATAGTAATTCTTAATGAAAAATTATCTAAAATTTAGTATTTTGAAAATGCAGTTCTATTCTCACTTAAAACAATGTATTCATAGACAAGAAATATTATCCATGAAATGATTGATAAATATTTTAATAAACAGTGAAACATGGAAGCCGTTATTAATCTTTAGAAAAACAAGTTAAGAGCCATTTTGAAGTTCAACAAATAGAGAATATATTTTAGAAGAACGACGCAATGATTTATCATGAATATAGAATATAGAATAAATGAAACTATTGCTGTGCATACGACACACATTTTCTAGTTCTCGAATGAGACGATATTAAAAGAATATCATAAAACGAGATGAAACCGTGTCTAATGACATATTTAGAATATTTCCATTATATTATTTTAAATATCTTAAAGTTCATTAATTTATCCATCGAATGTAGCGGTCAAATATATGTTGCACTTGATGTACACTGCATGCGATTCAGGCCCATTTAAAAAAGTTGTGGGTGGGTATTTAATAAATATTTGTCTTAGGAGTGTCATGTAGATTGCTGTCAGATGGAATCTCGTAGAAGAGGTGCAGGAAAAATGATTTCCTATAGCAAACATCAATTACTGAAAAAGTTGGTTGACAATTTTCAATAGAATACATATAATACTTAAATAGTGTAAATTATCGGCGGCTGATTGAAATGTCAATTTTTGAGAATTTATTATGATCATTATACAGTGTACCTGAATTAATAAAAAAATCCCTAATTTACGATTCGATGTGTTTACATCTAAAGATTAAAAACGCAAATTTTCACCTGATTGCTACTGAAATTCCCTTCAAAATATTTGTTCGCCTTTTTTCCCTCAGATAAATATAATTGGCATAATAGTTTCAAGTAGATGCATCGTAAAAAAAAGTTTAAAATAATAGTTCTTGAAGATATTCATGTCAAGATGTATAAATTGATGGCGATTGTGTCAAATATCTCTATTTAAAGTTGCCTGCTATAAATACCGAGGATACTAACCGCGCAATTTCATGATATAACACATCTTATTCTTGTTATACTCGAAATAAAAGTCAGATACCGAGATGTTTCTGTTACTCCTAGATGACATTCACTCAAACATGATTGCTACAAGAAACAGCGATTGTCAATTCTATTCATTAACGAGCATTTTTTAATGAACTAATAAATTAATATTCAAATGGGTTTTGTTGCAAAGAAACATTTCATGAAAAATACCCCAATCTATTGCATTACAAACACTACATAAATAGATCCTAATAAATATAATCTATCTATACAGAAAGAATTCGTACCAAAGTATAAACGACATGAACCAAATGATTAGTAACTGTCGTCAAATAAATATTTTCCATTGTGACCAATAGTATGTGAATAGACGGTCTATTACCGTTATTTTATTGGATCTGTTGCAGTATGCTTAAGTACTCGTCTTTGTGTATGATAAAAATATGAGTACTTAATTTAAAGTCAAGTTTTTAAATAAGTTCATCGAGTATTCATTTTATTACTCAATAATGACGAATGGTTTGGTAGTAACAACTTTTTATGCGATGAAACCAGTTACGACGACTGAACAAAACATTTTCATTTCGCAAGTGATTTCAAGAGTCTTAACGAGAAAAGAGTTCTATTATTAAGTTTATGAAAATTACGCTACTTCATTGTTTTAATCGTAATGTTTCAACAATCTAAGTTAAAAACTATCCGTACGTCAGCGGCTTACATGTTTGTTTGATAGAAGAATGTCATGTATATATATATATGTCGCAGTATAACTGTTTTATAGTACATATTAGAGCCTCATTTTAAATTAATAGCATATAAACGTCTACTGTCACGTATGTCATAAACCGATACTTGAATTTTTGTAGAGAAATATCCAAGAATTATTTTTTTTTCAAAGTCTGAAGTCATTTTTATTTACCAGAGAATTTAGGATTTAACTGTTTAAAACTAAACAAACAGATTTGTTGAGTATTTGATCTAATTCTCATTTGCTATCGAATGTATCATACCCATTTCTTTTATTCGTCAAGCTTCTCTACAAGGTTATTTTGAAAAAAAAATTACTCAATACCATTTAATTTGAAGAAAAAACTTCATAGCACTTTGTGTGGATTTCGTAATCGATGTATGTTCATAAAAAGAAAGAATAAAACGAAATACACGTATACTCTGCATAGAGGATCGAAAGAAAGTAAATATAGTTTGCCGTGACTCATCATCACACTTTTCTGCACTGTCACGGTGATGTGACGTCTGCATGTCTTTATAAACGATCAATAATGCAAAAAAGCAGTGTTCATATTTTTAGCTAAAATCGTTCGATATACTATGGCATCTGCTCAACAAAATATTCCAACTACTCAATCAGCATTACAATGGGTTAGAGTGAGTGGACAGAATCCATTTGAATGGACAACATCCGCACCTGTAATTCAACCATCACAATTAGATGATCATCAAGTTTTAGTTCGAAATCATGCTGTTTCACTCAATCCAATCGATTATAAAATGGCAGAATTAAATTTTGCTAATATAAAATTACCGGCTACAACTGGCTATGATATTAGTGGTGAAGTAGTTGCGATTGGAAAAGAAGTGAAAGATTTAAAGGTTGGTGATGAAGTTTTTGGCCTTTTAAATCTAGATTCAAGTAATGGTGGAGGAGCACTTCAACAATATTCAGTTGCAGAAGCCGATGGAATAGTCAAGAAGCCACCAAATATTAGCCATGAAGAAGCAGCAACACTTGGTGTAGCATTTCTATCTGCTATGGTAAGATTTCTACTTAGACTACGCTCCATTATTGTTTTAGAATCTCATCATCTTTTGCAATTTATAGGATGGATTTCGTCAAGTGAACGTTGATTCATCTACAACAGTATTTATCCCTGGTGGTTCAGGTGGCGTTGGTCATTTTTCTGTGCAAATCGCAAAAATTCGAGGCGCTAAAAGAGTGATTACATCGGCATCGAAAGATGAAGGAATCACAATTCTTAAAGACCAATATCACATTCAAGATGTTATTAATCATGCTAAAGAAAATGTAACCGATCGTGTACTCGAACTGACTCAAAATCAAGGTGTTGATGTTACTTATGATTCTACATATCTTGAATCAAGTTTTGAAAAATCAATTCCAACAGTTAAAGCAGGTGGTACATGGATTGTCCTCGGTCATTATGGACAACCAGATAGTCAAGAAGCCAAAAGTGTTGCTCAACGAAAGGCAAATTTGATTCATGCTGATTTAGGACGTTATTGGTTTGGACCTGAACGAGCACAAATGAAAACACTTGTTCAAGATGCGTTAACACAAGGTGCTGAATGGATTATACAAGGAAAACTTAAACCATATATTAATCAAATAGTTAAACTCGAAGAAGCACAAAACGCCATCGAAAAGATCAAGCAAGGCAAAGCTGGATTCGGTAAAGTTGTTATTAAATTATAATGACATTAAATAATTTGTTATGCTACAATCAAACTTTATTCAATTTTTCTGCTTGACCTCTTTTGCCAATCAAACTTTGCACAGATCATGATAGTGTGACGTGCACTGTATTTTTATCATATGCTCATCATAATCAATAAAGCACGAATTTAGATAGTAAAAATATAGTAGGAAACACAATTGCATTTGTCTTTGTACAAGTAATAATTATCAAGAGTACTTCATAGACTTCCTACTAAAGTCAATCATTTCATGAACAAGTTTATTACCAATGAAAAAGAAATTCGATTGGATATGTCACTTTTTTATTCAAATCTATCATAGACAAAATATTATGAACAATATTTCGATGTCGACACATCAACAAATGAAAGCTAGCAGAGTCCGCGAATATATATATGTCTGTGTGCGTGACAATATTCATTTTTTCCTTCAAGAAAACATTATCACTGACATGCATCGTCGAATAAAACGAAAATTGCTATTTTCATCATCATACAAGCGTGTCAAATAAATTCAAACAGCTTTATCAAATGATCGATATTGATTATATTTTTGTTTAACCTTCATATATAATACTTTCGAGAGTAGTTTGTGTCATCTCAAATGAAACATCAGTATGATATACTATTGATAATAAAACGAAATAGAAACCTCAGTTTTTTTTCATCTGTCAAGAACATTCTTTGAGTATATAAACATATGTGTCTATCTTCGATGCAGAACTTCAGTGTCAGTTCGTTGATATTGATTTTACTTATATATTGGAAATGCTTCAGTGAACACACAACGTAATATTCTATACCTAGTTATTAGTCATGCACAACACGCCTCGTAACATTAAGGAGGTACTTTCGTCGTTGACTTTCTGCTCTCGTATGCCACTGGTATTAATTTCGAAAGAAAACTGAATCTCTACAATATTAGAAAATATCTATTTAAATGATTTAAAAAAATTCTGTTTTCATCTCCATTTTTTGATGTGCTATGATTTCTTTTTTGCAGTTGGCGTCGATGATCTCGATTTTCATATGATCATAGTTTATATGGTATAATAATATAACACGGGTGAGAGTTGTTTACTCTAAAATTTATGTTTAGGACAAAGAAATTCTACTAATCAATACAGCATTCTATCCGTTATCGAATAGATTGGCTGATCATTGTTGAATAAATGGAGAATTATAAATTAAAATCGATTCATTGTTTAGATCTTTTTTTATGTGCTGAATATTTTCTTATGTGAACAATATCGATCACTAGACATTGCGTTACTCTGCTGACTGTCGACACCATGTCACCTATGTGTTTTTTGTTAAGTTACGAAGAAAATTTTTATTTGTTTCTTTTCGAATACAATTTGTATCTAATTGATTTTAATATGAGGTTCACTTTGTATAGAATATATTACAGAATAAATTAAATTAAATAGAAAAAAATTCCAAAATACAAACGACACACGGTTTTATTAGTTTTCTCAGTGGTGAATAAATATTTTCTTTTTGTATGAGTACTCTACAATTATTTTCCTATGGCTACGAAATAATTCAGTAAGAGAAAATAGGAAAAAGTACTTGTTGAACATTCCAATCGTATTCTAGAGTGTGAATAGTCAACTGAATAATTGATCGGTTTTGCGTATTGGAGTACGGAACGGTTTCAGTTTGGTTCATCGGCTAATCTATTGACTGTCAGCATCGAAAGAATGGAACTAGGCGATGGCGAAAATTATTCAATCGGCAAGAAGGTAAATCAAGAGCAAAGATTGACCTTACGATTTTTCTTCCCAATAACCAGAGAAATAAATTTTATACAATACGACAATATGTGAAATCAGACGATTAACACAGATTATAAAGAAAACGATATGCTTATAGTAGAATTATGACGCATTCTCTTGCATAATGGTATAGTTGATGGTCGAGAAGTTAACGAGAACAAAAAAGTAACTTTATTTCATATTCGATGCTTGTTTAGCAAACAGACGAGTAACAACATGTTAAGTTAATATTACGAGATTATAAAAATCATGATACCTTGGATTTCTGTCACACGACATTTCTTTTCACGCTTGTAGTTTATTTTTGAAACGCAAATGTTGTTATTATCATTCTTACGATTATGAAAAACAATCGAAAAAGCACTAGATAGCGATTATTAGTGGCAATACAAATATATGATTTGATATAATTAAGACATAATATAATGATAGTATGGAATATGATATATAAATCCTCTTCTCACATAGCACTTCTTTGTGAAATATTATGAAAAATATCATGTGATTATTATGATATAAAAAAATGAAAACATTACATATTATGCGTTTTTTTTGCTTGATTTTTCATATTTACACGGATGATTGCTTGCCAGTTAGATAGAGTACATCACATGGTTATATTTCTATAGGTGCACATATAAATATTTTGTTTATCGTTTTTGTACTTTGTTTTTCGAAGTATGATGAAAACATCCTTAGAGTATACCTGCAAAAAATGTGTGTTGACTTTTTTCTATTGAAGCATTGGTTCCAGAACAATTCTATACCAATAAAGGTGTATCAATATTGATGTATGTATATATATATATATATCTTTTACAACACTCGCTGCTTATTATTACGCTTGGAATTAACGATATAATATTTTATTTAGCAAGAAAGTTACACATGTATCTACTGATACAAAAAAAGTCGATCATATGAAGGGATTTTTAAAATCAGAATTTTTTTTTTATGAATAATTTTAATTAACACAACAAAAACATTTGAGGAAGTTATCATAATAAGGTGTCAATTAAGTTCTGTTTCTTCCTATTTGATTCATAAGTATATAAGAAAATTTTATGAAGAGATCTAGTATAGAAAATAGTAACCTGATAAAGTTGAAGATGTACTTACCGAAACATTGGACAATCCTTTTGTAAGTAGTTATCAACGGAAAGAAAGAAAAAGAAAAGAGTCCCATGCATCGTGTGAAATTTGCTTAAAGACAGTCCTATCCATCAACATAGAAAAGACCCGAAGGAGAAAAGAATGTGCAAAAGAAAGCAGAGAGCAACACAGTTTTTAGAACGATTCAATAACGTATATTGCCGATTTACGACACTTAGAGTAACAACAGAAAGTGATCATCATAGAGCATTGCAATTTTATCTTATGAATATATTTAATTATTACATAGAAAATTAATCTTTCCTCTGATAATTATTTCCGGACAATGAACGCGAAACCATTTGCACACATCTGTTGAAGATATAAATAAAGATTATTTATCACCATGTAAGTGTTTTATTCGTATTGGATGCATGAGCAAAGAAAATAAATGTGGAAACGTCGGATTTCATCCGAGAGTTATGTGTACTGCAACAAGTGCATGGGACATATGAGTCATTCTAGAATGTCTGAACACCAAAATTATCATGAGAAACTAGACAATTTGATTTCTGGATGCAGTTTTTGTGCATTTTGAGACGTTTTTCAGGCGATGTTTCGTTAGAAAGCTACGGTTTAGTTCAAAGCTAATATCAGATTCGGAATCAGCGTTAAAAACTGAGTCGATTTATATATGTTGTGGATAATTCTGAGAAAAATCCCTGTACTCCCCCTCAGGGATGGTCTGATCGAAAATGACAATTTTTTCGATAACTCAGCCATTTCTTGACGGATCCTTCTCATCTTCGAACTCAACCTAGATATTGATGAGACAATTCTGTACACAAAATTTCAGCTCAATCGAATGTAATTGTGAAGAGTTATCGAATAAACGGACGGCCGGACACACTGACCGATTTTAGTAGTGTACCTACTTTTTGAGTACACAAATAAAGAGCTACGAGATTCGACATTTTACTCTCGATATCAACCATCATCATTAACTCAAGTATCATTTGATAGTAACCAGAGAGAGAAATAGGATAATTTCAGTTCTTTTAACTTAATTAAATTATTTAATAGTCATAAAAACAAATAGACAAATTCTTTAGCTAGAAACCATTTGAAGGTAACATTGCTTGTGATGATTGATAAAGTAGATCTGTTTAACGTTTTTGTTCTTACGTTGACAGACAAGAGCTCCCATGTAAAAGAGTTTACCCAAAAAACTGACTATTAAGTACTTTTCAAAGTAAGAAAAGTATGATAAAGTACTATAGAAAGTGGGAAAATGATCAGAAAGTACTATAAAAAGTGAAAAACAGTAAGAGACGTTACTTTATTTTACTTTATTACTATTAAAAGTTACTTTTGATTCCAGTTTTTTTTACGTGAGCTTCGTTAGTTCATTAGAATTTTTTTCTACCTCCTCAATATCAACTAACATTAGTTTAATTATATGTAGTAAAATATCTTTCTTTCTAAATTAATATAGTCCGAACGATAAGTTCAAGAGTATCCATGGACGCCCACGAACACCCACGCGAGGAACTTGAATCTGATATGTTAATTGATATACTTCAAGAACTTCAAAATGGTCTTATACGCAAGCCTGATCATTTTAATAATATGCATTTTTTACTCTTGCTATTATATGATTCCCATGGTTATCCTCGTGATCATTATCCATTGTGGCGTTGCTATCATCGATTAAAGAAAAAACTTCTTACTGCTAAACGCTTAGTAATTGATAATGACAAATCTCGTCAATGCATTCTTGAAGTTATGAAACATCTTATTGATGCAACACCATCGACAATAACATTACTTGAAGAAAGTGTTCTAATAGAAGAACATTATCTTCATTTTCATATTCATGGTTTATTTAAATCATATTCATGTTTACATACGTACTTGTACATGGAACAAATTGATAAGCCAATATTAAATGAAGATGCAAAAATATTTAATTTATTTAAATCAACTATTGCAAAATTATATCGATATGAATATTGTGATCTAATACATTTTGCAATAGCACATAGAAAAACAAGTTTATTGAGTAAAATGTTTCAAGAAAAATATAATTGGTTAGATATGTCCATGAATGTAGCTACTGAACGTGGATGGTTACCATTACATTATGCAGCATTTGTTGGAGATAAAGAAACGGTATGTCGATATTGTTTTCTTTTCTCTTGTATTGCATTATTTTAATTTGTTCTTTGTAATCTAGGTGAAAACGATATGCGATACTTTATCAACATCAGCATTTGCTTTTGATGCTCTATCGTTGTTGATTCCGCTTCGTCAACAACGAGAACTTGAAAAAAATCCCTCTGGTTACATCCTTAAAGCATGTGGTGTTGAACGTGAAACACACGCAACAAAACAACGTAAAAAGGGATTTACAGTATTGGCACAGCCGGTTTCAGTTGATGATCAAAATCGAATGTCAGTACCACAAAATTCTCAACGAATATTTCAATCAAGTTTAGATCGGCAAACAGCAAAAAATCAACCACCATTAGGGTCAAATACTATGTTTATGGATCGTGTCAATAATATTAATAATTTAAATACTCCAAATGATAACGACATTCCTGATGCCGATGAACTTGAATTAAGTTCATTGCCATTGATGCAACGCGAAGAATTTATTGATAAACTTATAAAAGCAACTGATAATAAACATATGCTCGTTCCGTCGCCACTTACTCTTGCATGCATTGCAAGATGCGGTGACAAGGCAGATTATGAAGAGATAGTTAAAATTTTACTTGAATCTCATCTTGTTGAATATGATGGTGTCAATCATGAATGTATACTTAATCGTGTGCTTGATTATATGCATACGAAAGAGTATGGAACTTTTCAGCATGTGCAAGTTTATCGTGATACTGAAACTGAAGGACCAACGGCATTAATATTTTATCAATTCGATGGTTTTATTGTTAATCAAGATGTAAAACCGGCTTCCGGTGTTCACTCTGGCTCATCAATTACATTAAATACGTCGGACAATGACTCCGTGGCATCCGACGATGGACATCAAACTGAAACACCAACAATTATACGTTGCTTTTTAACTATTCTCGTTGTTCGCGATGTATTTATTCAATATCCACGTTGGGATTTTCATGTATTACGTGAAAATATCGAAGAACATTTTGTTGAATTAGAACGCGCACTTGGCTGTCGACCAACCATATTGTATCCTGATGGCGATGTTATTTCCTCTCGTAAACGTAGTGATGTTACATGGGAAGTTAAAGTTAAATATCATTTAAGTTCTGAAACAGGTCAGTCACTATATATGGAAGTTGATTATTATTTTTTCGACTCATTTGGTGATCCATTTGCTGATGCTTTTGCGCAGATTTATCAAACACCATTTTATATATCGTGCATGACGGAGTCAACTGTGATGATGCAAACAATATTCGATTCATTTTTCAAACGACGCAATCTTTCTCTTTGGGGAACAGTTGCTCAACGACATTTAGAACATTGTTTAGGTAAGAAAGATTTTCTTCTTCTTCAATAGAAAATGCAATTTGTTTTGATGCGCTTCTCTAGATGGTGTTCTGCAAATAAAAAATAATGGCACAACATTTTCAACATTGTGTACAACATTAAATCGTTATTATCAAGTTGAAGATGATCCATTTATCGAAGAAAATTCAGTTACCATACAACGCATATTTGTTCATGCATTTGCTTGTTGTGTACGTCGTAATGCTAAAATTGAACTTAATTATTTAATTAAAAATCATGCGTTAATCTATTATGATTCATGTCGAACAAAACCAAGCGATATTCGACATAATATATTAACGTATTGTGTCGTTAGAAATTTAGCAGCTGAATTCGATCAATTAATGACAAATATGAAAACAACAATGCATAAAACATATCAAAATTCAACTAATCCCGATTGGCAACCACATATTGCTTGGAGAGAAATCATTCATGTTATTATCGATTCAGTTTCTCAAGAACAAAATGGTGCGAATCAACAAATCGATTTTAGCCAATTAGCTTGTTATGGCGATACAAGCACAAATTCTGTTTCGATTGGCAGTATACCAACGCTGCATGCAACCGGTGATGAATATACTCAATGTATAAATTCACGAAAAAATCTTATAATAAAAGTAAAAAGAAAATTACAACGAGTAGTAAGCGACGCAAATAGATATCGACAACCGACACGTCGAATGGTTCGTCTTGATCAACAACAAATTGCAGATGGTTTGAGTCACTTGACAGATTCTGCCAATACAACTCATATGACTACTACTGTTAGTAATAATGTTACAACAACTAATAATAAGTCAGCTATCGGTGGAGTAACTCAGACGAATGTGGTACAACGATCAAAAAATATTTTAAAAAATGTTAATCGGTTACGTTGGGGAAAAAGTGAACGACATAATTCATCGGCAACAAACAGTTATCAACTACAATGTAGTGATCAACGTTCGATTTCGCCAACAGCAACAACTGGATTCAATGAACTAGTTACGTCTAAAGATACAATCAGTTTGGTGAGTAACGTCTCATTTTAATTGCTTGTATCGCATTGATAGACATACATATTGTTTATCCATTGTATATCATTTCTTGATTTGTTGGCTCATTTTCTTCTTCTATACTTTTCGTCGCGCACATGTTATTCTTTTTTGTTTGTTGTCATCTGCATTGTCTGTGTTTGAATTATCACTATTACAGTATTGATAAAAACGCGTATTGGTATTAATATAATAAAAGTAGATGAAAAGAAAGTATAGAAGTTGAGAATAAAGTGAAAAAATAATGAAATTTTTATATAATTGGTTTCACGACTCTCTACATGAGATTCCAAGTTGGGAAGCAAAAAAGAAATAGAATCATGTTAGTAAAGCAACAAATATGAAACGAAAGAGATATGGTACGTATTTATTAGTGATATAATAGAATTACTTAAAAAAAAAGACGATGACTAATTGATTATTGAAATTAATGGAATAAGCAAAAAAAACAAATTTCTTCGATGATAAATGTTTCGACTATGTTAATTATGTTGTGCAGAACTATTCCTGTTGAATAGAATTCCACCATGACTCAAAAAATATTTTTCTTGATTTAGCAGCTTGTAGTTCGCATGCTTTTGTTTGCTGTAGAATTTCATCAATGTCGAGATTTCCATATAACTCTGGTCTAGTGAGACGTGTTCTCTGTACCCATTCGCTAAATTCAGTGAACGATGCTTCAGGATGAAATTGCACGCAAAGTGCCGAACCAGTTCGAAAAGCAGCAATATAATTATTCGATGTACGAGCTAAAATCGATGCAGTCGGTGGCAAATCGAATGTATCTTTATGATGCATAAGTAGTAATGGTTTATTTTGTTGTGCTTCAAATACTTTTGATAGAACTGGATCTTGTTCACCTTCTGGTGTAAGTTCATATTGAACATAACCAAGTTCATAACCACACTTTCCTAAATAACCATGTCCACCAATAGCATCAGCAACTAATTGTGCTCCGAGACATAGGCCAAGAATAGGTGTATCAAGACTGAGTTGAGTTGCAAGAAACGATTTTTCCCATTTTAAATAGGGATATAAATCATCTTCGTATGTACCTTGCGGTCCACCCAGACTTACAATAGCTTGATAATCAGTTGTATTATTATCTGGTAACTTTGATTGACTATCAGAATCGTTAATAGAAAGAATTTCGAATGGAATATCATGTTCAGTGAAGAACGTTGCTACATAAGCAGGACATACACGAATTGAATGTTTAATAATTAGTACTTTTTTCGACATTATCTTAAATAGAAATTTGATGAGAAATTTTAGACAAAAATAATAATATGATAATTATCTGTAACTCATTCTAGGATGAATTTGAACTTGTAAATCTATCTAAATGAATATGTGAGCTTTTAATTAATATATCACTATTATGTTCGCTTAACTGATCACAAAACTATTTTAGAACATACATAGCTACCAATGTATGCCTTTTGCATGATATAATTTAGATTTAGAATTAACCAAATTCAATAATACTAATGCTATTTTATGCTAACTAAGTAAAAGAACATTTTTCATATTTTTTAATACATAATTATTTCTGTTATTTTACTACAGTCCAAGGTCTGCGATGACAATTCGAATAGCAACGATGATCGTAACGGTGAAAGTTCAACAGCAATCGATATTTTTCGTCCAAGCAAGCCTATTTTCAATCGTGTATCGAAGAAAAATAAAAGTTTTCAATGTCATCAAACAAATGATGCTGTTCAAGCTCGACACTATCGAACACCACCAAAACAATTACAAGCTATGTTTTGGCCAACATGTGATACGCGTAATACTGCTACTATAAATAATCAAACCAATCAAGATGACATGGTTCCACTGGTGACTAAAAAAGGAAATGATTACTCTGCAACAATTATCAAATGCTGATGAAAATGATAATTCGAACGAATGACAAAACAGTGAACGGGCGTATCCATTAACATTTGAATACGATGATGGCTATTGTACAAAAAATTTCTTTTTCTTCATTCCGCTTTTGTTTTGCTTGTATGTGCGATTTTCCAAAGAATGTTAGATGATTATTTTTTCTCTTCAAAATATAATGAAACAAACAAATCGTATATTGAAGAACATTTTAATGTCTATGTTAACGTGACTAAATAGAATAACGTAAATTCTTTGCTGATCGAAACAGAAAATTACAAGATTTTCTGTTTATTATCAATAGTAAAATGTGACAATAAGAAAAATGTGTATAGTGCATTTTTTGCTGAAAATCATACGAGTCATTCTATTCTTACCCAATAAATTGAGAAGATCCATTTTCAAACATCCGAGTATGTGCATAATTGAAAGTAGGATAGAAATAATATAGCATTTGAAAAATGAGTAGAGAACCTGTTCTTATCAATTGCAAAGAAAAGATTACATTAAAACAATGAATTTCGCTGAGAAACGAACACGTCTATTTTTCTTTTGGATGCTTATCTTTAAGACAAAAGCTACCGAATGGATAGTTGGATAAATTCGAGAAAGGTCAAAAAGTGAGAGAGAGAAAAAAAGCAGCACTTGTTCTTTTCTTTCTTTACAATACATCAAATGGCATTCGCTTCTTTTTCTGATTGAAGTAACAACTGCTAATAGGGAAAAAAAGAGAAGAAAAAGATAATAAAGCAGTTATTCGATGCGATATTTGTTTATATGGTCATTCAAGTCGTTTCTTTGATACGATGATGCCTTATACGTGCTTACTATAATTTCCTATGAGAAACTAAATGTTTATATTGCATGCATTGATTGAAAACTGTCTCATTAGTATTATCTATAATCATATATAATGAACGATAGTCAATCATGTATAACACCACGAGGAGTACGTAATCACTATTGTTTTAAGGGTAGCAATATTTTTGATCCCCAAAAAAATGACTATTGATCACCAAAATGTGTTAGTTGCGAAATGATCACCAAAAAAATGTACAAATGATCCCCAATCTATTTTATTGCGAAATGATCACAAAAAATATATATTCGATCACCGAATTTATTATCAATGATGCTTTAATTTGAGATTGTGATAATCCACACTTGACATAGGTAGATATGGATTCACGTATTGGCGATGGTAATCTTGTTGTTGCATCTCGTTCATTTTGTTCATGTTCATGTTCATTTTTGGACATAATTGTTATAGAATTCATATTGTTATCTGGCACGATAATTTTTATTTGAAAATGACATAAAGGATATTTCCTGTATTCACTGCATTTAAATGAATATTTTGTTTGATCGTTTAAATCTGATCGTCGATTTTGGCAAACATTAAAGCGTGATTTTGCTAAATCTTTTGCTTCTTCATATGATTGAGCTGTGTATAGCAGCGTCCACTGCTTACTTGACATTTTTAGTTTTCTGCATTGTTGTGATAGAACATTTTGTGTAACTATTCTCAGTTAATGAGATCATTTTGATCCAATTATGATTATTGTTTAACTATGTCTTATCAATCTGTTGTCTTTTGAGATAAACACGTTATCTACCACAACTCTACCATTCATTCCACAAAAAGCAAATTGGTGATCAAATATATATTTTTTGGTGATCATTTCGCAACTAACACATTTTGGTGATCAATAGTCATTTTTTTGGGGATCAAAAGTCTATTTACCCTTGTTTTAATGTTGCTCTTTGAAGAAGAAGAAAAGTGAACATACAAGTTCAAATAAACCAGTCGATCGGGTTTTTAAAGGGTTATGGTAATTGAAGTAAAATTGACATAGTGAAAGAAAAAAATTCAATATATATATATATATATATCTCGAGTAGTTTAATTTTGTGAAAGTTATTAATTCCTAAGTGAATGCGTTTTCTTTTTGTCAGGTATCAATGCCGACTCAAATCTTTCTCATTTCACCAAAACAAACCCGAGCCTATAAACCACTGAAATTATCGAAGAGTGATAGACCTACTCGATGTGCAGACATTTCTGAGTCAACATCTACTACTCTAGCTAATGAACAAACAATATCCTCAAGCGGCACTAAATTATTAGCAATGAAAGCAATGCCATCTGTACGAATGAGTCCACCTCAACAATTGCACGACAGTTGTTTTGATTGGGATGATGAAAATCGGCGTTTTGGTCAAATTTCAAAATTAGTTCGCAATCGAAAAAATCAACAACATGTTACTCTGCCAGTTATTGTTTCAGCTCCAACAAATCGAATTATCTGGTGAATTACAAGGTCAAACTTTACTTCATTTGGCTGCTAAACTCGGACATGAAGAAATAATGAGAACGTTAATTACGGAAACATCACATATGAATAGTTTATTAAATACGCGCGGCCAAACACCTTTGCTTTGTGCTATCGAAGCTGGATCAACATCAACAGCAACGTTATTAATGGAACAAGATCCAATGTCATTAACAAGTAAAGATAACATTGGTTCTAGTGTGTTCCATTATGCAACTGAACATTGCAATGATATTATTTTAAGTCGAGCGATTGCACTACTCAAACGACTTAGTTCAAGTGCTGCACGACTTACTGTAAGAGTCTCATCGTTTTTTTTTTAATGATACTGAATCTTATACAATATTTATTTCTGCTTCTTTTTGTCAAGGCTCTTCAACGACTTGTTGAAAAAAATGCCAATGGTAAAACGCCATTTGTAATTGCAGTTGAAAAAGGTTCGTTGAAATGCATAAAATATATTCTAAGTAGCAAAATGGCTTCATCGAAATGTTGATATAGTCGATTTTATCAATGCTGATTCAATGAAAACAACCATTGATAAAGATAAATTCGACATTGCTTCATATTTTGTGGCTGATACACGACGTTTTGCTGCTATTATACGAATACAAATTGATGTCAATGGTCGTGCCTATAATGTACTTGAGTATTCTATTGCATTGAAGAAAACTGCGTTCCTTCGAACATTTATCACTGTAAGAATTCCAGGTGATGAACGAGAACTTTATAGATCCTATAAAAAAATTTTAAAACACTATAATTTTGGTTATTCGGGTTCAAGTTATATGATCAAACTCCGATACAACGAATGTTAACTATGGTATGCTTTTGTGTCTAACGGCAATCTACGAAATTTCAAAAGCACTTTACTTTGAAGTACTTGAGATTACTGCAAGCTACTTCAGCTACTTGGTCCTACTTTGAACTACTTCAAACAGTCTACTTTGACGTACTTCGACGTTCTTTTCTACTTCAAGTCTGCCGTTTCCCTCTTGACTACTTCAGTCAACATTTTATATCAGCGCTAATCGTTAAAATACCAGAGATTCTTTCATGTCTATGTATTTTGTTAATAAGAATATGATGGCAATTTATTTTATTTTTTATATTAGGCAGAAATGATTCCATTGGTGCCACTATTACTCGAACAATGTGTCGGTGAAGATGGTGTAGATTTATCAGTTGTTGATGATTGTCTACGAGCACGTCCAGCAGCACATCGTTGTATGTTTGTTCGTTCGAAAAGATTTTCAACATCAAATTGGCTTAAACAACATCCATTGTCCTTGACTCCCGAAGTTAATCACGCACCTGTTTATCATCATGATATCGTGAAAATTTGTGTTGATTTAAAATTTCTATTATTTGGCAATTTTCTATATTTACTGATATTACTTGCACAAATTTCATTTGTATGTCTACATACTGGTGTTGCATTGAGTTCATCAACACCGCCACACTCGTATTATGATGTATCAGATATAACATGTAAACAACTATGTGAAAAATTAATATACGATCAAAAACATTCTCTAAAAAGCAATGGGCTACGTCGTAAGTTTTCGAAAAGATTTCTTTCGAAATTAATTAAATGGATATTTCTTAGAATTTCTACGTGCTTTATTATTAATCTGTTCGATAATTGTATTATTGAAAGAACTTTTAAAATTAGTAACACAGCGTGAAAAATATCTACGTGGTTTTTTTTGTTAATTTTCTTGAGCTGCATACATATATTTGCGCAATTTTATTCGGCATTGATATTGATTAGTGCACGCAACGCACTGGTATTCGCTGCAAATGGCAATGGGAAGCCGGTGCCTTAGGAAGGGTTAGTGTTTGAACTTTATTATTACTTGTATTTATGAATGCATTAAAAATTATTGGCAAATATGATCTTTTATTTGTTAGTGTATTTTTAAAATTTTTGAAATTTTGTCTTATTTATGTATTTATATGAATTGGATATATAATTGCATTTCATATGTTATTCGTTCATAAAAAAGTCACAGTTTACATCTATATTTTATTCAATACCAAAAACATTAGCAATGCATACAGGAGAATATGATGTTGATGATTTATTTTTTCCGAATGGAAAATTTCTACAAGGCAATGAAGCAGCCATGGTACTCTACTCAATATTTGTATTTACTATGAACATTGTAATTATGAATATTATGGTATGTACGAATCCATGATAGAGTACTAGTTAAGATTTGTTTTTCTTTTTAGGTTGGTCTTGCAGTTTCCGATGTAAAACGTTTTCGTGCAAATGCTAAGTGTGAACATTCACGTGCACGTATTGAAACATGTCTTGGCTTACAAGCGAGATTTGGTCTTCTCTGTGAAACGTGTTCTCGATTAGTACTTGCCTTATCAAGACGCTCGTTGTTCTTGTGCTTTCAAAGCCAAGTTACACAAATTCATGAACTAAAAAAATATCATCTATGGAAATTAGAGTTACGTACACCACGTGTTGATTTACCATCAACAACAAATATTTTTACATCTGGAAATACAACTGATCAGATTCATCGTAATACGCCAGCAAGTCGAAGTTCTCGACATCTTTCAACAAGAGAATATGTTATATGTGAAGTTGGATATTATCGACAACGCATTGATCGTGCAGGTGAACCTTTATTCCAGGAATATGATCATATACGGGTAATGCGTAAAACCGATGAATTAAGTGATGCTTTTGAAAAGGCTAATTCTCGTATTTCATAATGAATTAAGAAAATTAACTTTATCATCGCAGTCGAATTTTGACGAAATTAAAAGAAAATTACTGGAAAGTTAATAGATCGATGATCTCACTGATGTTCTCATGGAGAAAACGATGTGATATTTTTTGAATTTTTCTAATCAAGCTAATGAATGATATTTTTGTGCACTTTCGAAATTGTGGTTTTCATAAGATGACTATAACAATGGTGATCTGTTATTTCTCTGCTCAGGATAAGAGACATACTACGTGTATCGTACATGAATAAAATGAAATTACGTATCTATAAACGAAAGAATTAAATTACAGATGTAAATAGAAACCCGCACTGCGAAGTCATTTGACTACCTTTTGCATTCACAAGTTGATTATTATTTGTCGTCATCATGATAGAAGTTATTCAAATATTGAGATTTAATCATGGTGGATGTACATTTGATTCTCGCTTTATATGCATAAATACGACACATATTTAGATAAGCATTAATTGTGGCTCAAGTTATTCATGACAAAAAAAAATGTGTCAGCCCTTACTCGATAAATGCACCAAAACTAAAATGACGTATTATTGAGTATGATGTATAAGTTCTTTTAGAACAAACGTCTTTCGATTTTACTTTTCAAAAATTCATTATCATACAAATTCTTTTTTTCTTTATCGCCAAGTCATTATTTCCTTTTGCATTAGTTCAGATTACTATGCTTGCAGATAACCATATATGAAAATGATTTAAGTCGGACGATATAACATCGATTGGGTCTGCATAGGATTTACTTTTTTTCAGTTCACATTAGGATTATATGTGTGATTGCTTGATTAATCGTCACAATAGTTCTGATTTCGACAGTACAAATGATGATGGGTAATTTTTATAAATAAGCAGAGAAAAAATGACTCGAATCACCCGCTGCGATATTCCGATCAATTCTTTCATGAACGCGTTGATTGCTGATCAGTAGAAACTTGTCATGATTACAACTAGTCTTTGTGCCTTTTTATAATATGGAATCAAAGAGAAAAATCTAATTATCCATTCAATGGAGCTGACCAAGAAATGTACGAAAAAGCTTACTCATAATTGTACATCAATAACAATTGTATTTACTTGCCATTATGAAACCAAATGAATATTCAGTTATGATAAAGTTTAGTGTTTGAACGAGACAATTCTTTTTATTGAGAAAGAGATATAAGATTATCATTTATGCAAATCATCAGACGAGCATTTATTTTTGAAAAATACAAAGAACTGACACTAGAATGAAGTCCAATTTTTTTACAGCTAGATTATCATAGATACACTTCTATAAGAAAAGAAAAGTACATTTCCGATTGCGAATCTTTTCAATCATCAATCAACGATAAAAATGTTTTTCAAAGAATATTCGTATAATAAACCGAAAGAAATAGAATGCGATATATATATTTATAGAAAAAAAGTCTAGAACTGCATAATTTTATCAAGCATCCAAAGCAAACAAATGAATCAAACGGAATGAAACGAAAACACGAAGCAATGAGTGTGACAACATATAAATACAAAAGCATTTAGTACGACTCATTCCATGTACTCGAACGAACAAAGAACATAGAGGCTTTTTTGTTTTGTTCCATTACGTGTGTTACAATATACTCTTTATATAGTCACTTGGAGGATGATAAGATGGATTATCACCATATCTTATTGGACCACCGAGTGATGTTGTTGTAGTTGCTGGATGATGTCTTGTTATTGCAAGATCTGATGGATCAAGAGTAGCAAAATAATCATAGCCTGTGTAATAATGTAATAGGCGTGGTTCATTATTCTTTCCGAATCTGCGTTCAGTTGTATTAGATCGAGGTGGATAGTAATCTCGTTGCATGTAATCAGTCGTAGGTTCAGAAGCATAGCCAATGGATCGATTAGTAATATTGATTCCTGTCCGATGCCAATTCGGTGGCGATGGAGGTGATTGATATCGATAAGGTGATGGTAATACTTCAAAAGGTTCTGTTCTGCGTGATATCTCTGGCATTGGTGGTAGGACGTTTGTCGGTGATGGGGAAAGTATCATATTAGAGCGAGTGCGTTCATAAGGTTGAAGAGGTGGTAATGTCTGTTGTTGACTAGTGTTAGTAGTTTCATTTACAGTTGCAATAGATGTATAACGTGTAAGCGATTGATGATTTGGATTGACCGTATAATCAGTGTTATAAAGGTCATTAATCATTAGGCCGTTAGTTGTCGTTGGGAAGTAATGATTCGGATAAAGTACTTGCGAATAGTTATATGGTTTATTTCTCTTTTTTTGATTTCGTCTGACAATAACAAATGTCGACGGACTGAATGTTGCTGGATAACCATTAAAATCAGCAAATGTTTCAACAACAGTATCATCTTCGTTATGCCTTTGAAAAACAGATAGATTTTTAATAATAAATCAAATAGACAAATGAGTAAAAAAGAAAATTTGAACTTACTTGATTGGCTTTTTTAAGAGTGCAACATAAATAGATAAAAGTATAGCGGCCAAAATTTCAAGTATAACAGCAACCAGATTGAGATAAAAGCACCAATCGAGATCACGCGGTGTGGTTGCAACATTAAATACAGCAAATCCAAACACAAATAATGATGAAATGCCAATACTCGCTGAAAAAAAATGCAAATTTATTATTTGATAGTTACGTTTCAATCATTGAAAAAATGCAAATGATTACCTGCAAGCCAAATACAAAAGATTGCTAACAAAGCCAAATAATAATGAAAATTGTTCCGACATCGATAACAAACAAACGAAGCTATAGTAGTAATTAATGTTGCTGTTGTAAGAAACAGAAATATGATTTCAAGGGCTTGCCATGCATTTATACCATCTTGAAGCAAATAGACGAGACATATTAGTCAACAATAGGAAAAAATTATCATATTCAATTTAGTGTTACTTTTCGACTGATTACGACGTTGCTCAATGTAAACACTATATGATCCACTAGAAGAAAACCAACTATCGCATGTATTATTATTAAACGAGCATAAACGCCAAAGGCCATATCGATTTTGATTCTGTCCAAAACTGTCTCGGAACCACGCACTTTCAACAGCAAAAACAATGATCAATGCAATTACACTTAAACTGAGTGATACGATGGACAGAGCAAGAAACCAAAGAATGCTCAATCGCTAAAATAATACATGCATAGATAGTAAAAATATCAATTAAAAAAACAAATAAGATCTTGCCGTAGAAGAATTTTGTTTCATCATCATTAATAAAGAGAGAGAAAAAACGTCGTCTTCTGTGCTTATTTATTTTATAAAGGTTCTACTTGTGGTTAAACTTAAATTCAACTAAACTCGACGTTAAACTGTGTGGCAAACGTACTTATGCACACACAGACACACACACACTTTCCGATTTCCGTTCGATTCGCCCTCACTCGAAGCGTAGAAAACAACAAAAAAAAATTGAAAAGATGAAGTGCAACCTTTTCTTCTATTCTTATGCAGATTTAATTTTTTTTTAAACGATGAAAAGCAACTCGACGAAAATGTATATGTAAGTGAGATGAAAAACGCTGTTGACATAAGTTTCATTCGTGTCATGCGCGAACAGAATAAAACGAAAATAAATGGAATAATAGCGAATTGCACAACACAAACATCAATCAGAAAGTGAAATATAATACATTTCAAAATAGCTGACGAAAAATTCATGTCGATCCGATTTACATATGCAGATTATTATATTACATTGATTTATTTGAAAACTGAGATTTGACTTTTTTTTCTCCGTCGATCATCTAAAGAAACAAACAATACTTATGCTATTCAATTTGCGAGGACTTGCTTGTTTTCATGAAGTACATTTAAGACGATACATCTTACTTGTATTGTAGTCAAACATTATTATTCTTTTTTTCTTCATAACTTCGCATTTTAGAGCTTCAGCGTCTTTTTTTTCTTTATTTATACAAAAAAAACCAGTTTTCTACGATTCTCTAGGACGTTTATTAGTGTACTACACAATTGTCAGAGGTATACAAAAACGAAACGTTCACTTACTCGATCTCGATCAGGACGATAACTTGGATAACGAACTAATGGTGGCCAATTAGCTGGCGGCGGCAATCGGTCGTTGTAGATCATGATGCGAGAAAATAAAAGCGAATATAGAAGACGTACGAAAGTTATTCTTTATTATTTCATGGATTAGTTTTTTCTTTCACTTTCCCTTGATAGTATTCATAATCATTGGAAAGTGTGTGGTTGAATAAAAAGAAAAAGGATATAGGCGTCTATTTGTAGTTGTTGTACAGTTGACGTGATTGTTATTATATCTTCACTTCTATATATATATATATATATATACAAATAAATAAGGAGAAAAATGATTCAGAAAAGAATGAAGTTGAAGTTGAAAATAAAGCACAAAAATGATTTCAAGTGTTGTTTATTGTTGTTTTTTGTCTTATATTAATAAACGGTATTTTATATTTTGAAAATTCATGCTCTCTTATTCTTTTCTTAAATAATTTCTCTTTCTTTTTTTCTCTCTTTTTTTTCTCTCTTTTTTTCAAAGACGATTAAGAATAAGAACAACGGGCAGTCTCTTAGAAAATATAAAGCTCATTGAAAGGAAGACTGCTTCTCATATATTATTGTTGATTTTTTCTCCTTTTACATCCGATTATGACACTAAATAAGTTGGATAAAGGTTTTTTTTCATGCATATGCGTCTTGTGTTTCTGTTGCTTAACATACGATGGCACGTTTCAGGCAAAATAGAACACAAAAAGAAATGTAAAACAAAGTTTTTTTTTCAAGTAAACCAAAGCCACTTGAATCGATGATGATGACTGCGTTTTACCGTCTGCAAATAGACGCCAACGTGAAATGCAATCAGTCTTACTGAAACTTTTCTATCACCTTTCAATTGTTTGTCATTAGATTCTATTCTTTTTTTCCCAAGCATATGAATTTCGAAATCAATGGAAGACGCAAAAAGAAAAGCATAACTACTCCAATGACACAACATAATGTTGATTGATTTCTTTTATCTATTTTCTCTCAAACCGGATTTAATATATGCGAATGCAAACACAAAGAACCGTGGGCATAGCTACTCTCTATTTGATCCTGAATAACGAGTAGCAGAGAAAGACAAGAGAAAAATAGGAAACAAATGTTTGTTCCTCGAGTTTTATTGTCGTGCTACATCTCATTGAATTCAGATTAACTGATAATCATAAAAGGAAACAATCTTGCGGCTTCTGCTTTTTTTTTACTACATTTAATCGATAGACGACAAGTTTTTCATTTGCATATGCACACATACAAACAGACATAAAGATAAATGTTACGATCACGATTTTTATTAATATTGTTCGTCATTAAATTGAGTTTTTCTTTGGGATATTCACAAGAACGATTGAAAGATTATGAAACATTAAGCTATATGGTTGGACTGTCAGAACCATTGGAAAGTACACTTGAATGGGACTATGATTCGTATGACGATGCTAAACTTATTTTTCGATGGAATATTACATTAACAAACGGTTACTGTGGTATACTTGCATTTTCAAATCACGATTTAGATACGAACAATTTAGATGTTATTATATTTGGTGACGATGAAAAAATCTATAATGCTTATACAAATGAAGATAGTTCATTGTTTATACTGAAGAATAGTGTTAAACTAGATTTCCGCGTATTAAATGCTGTTAGTACCAGAAATAAAAGAAAAAAAGAATATTCAATAGGAATTATTCGACCATTAGATACATGCAACCGACAACAACGAAATTATATTATCGATAGTGGTACGACACATTTATTAACTGGATCGATGGTGCATGAAGATTTCGAAAAAATTAAACAAGGAAAATCAATCACGATGGATGTTGAACGAATGAATTTAATCTTACAACGTGTTCAATTATTAAAAAGTCGAGTAAGCTTCATGATTAAATTTTTATTATAATTATTCAAAATTTTTTGATATAAATCTAGGCTGATTCTGATCAAATACCCGATGAAGATCCACACCATGATTTTTTAAATGGCGATGTTCTTATACCAAATGTTGAAACAACTTATTGGTGTACACGTTTTGAATTGCCAGCAAAAATTATGGCAAAACCTCATCATATCATTCGTTTTGATGGTATCGTCTCGCCGCAAAGTGACGGAATCGTGCATCATATGGAACTATTTCATTGTAATGTTGCGTCTGATTTCGATATACCGGCATTTAATGGCGTATGTACTAGTGAACAAAAACCAATGGGTTTAACACCATGTCGTCGTGTTGTTGGTGCATGGGCATTAGGCGCGACGAATTTTACTTATCCAAAAGATGCTGGCGGACTCATAGGTGGCAAAAATACGTCACGTTTTCTTGTGCTTGAAGTACATTTCAATAATCCATCATTAAAGAAAGGTATCATTGATCAATCAGGTATACGACTATATTATACACCTGAATTACGAAAATATGATGCTGGCATAATGGAAGTTGGTCTTGAATATAATGAAAAAAATTCTATTCCACCACGAGCCAATCAATTTCGTATTTCTGGTTATTGTTCTCGTGAATGCACACAAGCAACTTTACCAAAACAAGGCATAACAGTGTTCGCATCACAATTGCACACACATCTTAATGGTATAGAAACATTTACTCGTATTGTAAAGACAAATGGCGATCTTATAACATTAAATATTGATCGTCATTATAGTCCTCATTTTCAAGAAATTCGTCTACTACCTAAACCGATTTTAATTGAACGTGGCGACATCATTTTACACACATGTATTTATAATACACAAATTCGAGAGAATATGACGTTTGGAGGCTACGGAATAAGCGATGAAATGTGTGTTAATTATATGCATTATTATCCACGAGCTGATCTTGAACTATGTAAGACAAGTGTAAGAGATGATGCACTTGATCGATTTTTTCAAACAATGAAAGAGTAAGTTATGATTCAATGAAAAATTAAAGCAAATCATTCGCTCGATTTAGATACGATTATGCTACGACAAGCAAAAGTCAAACAGTGTTTGAAAATTATAGATCTATACGATGGACTCCATTAACTACAGCTATACTTCAAGAATTTTATGAAATAGCACCCATTCATTTATCTTGCAATGGATCTGATGGAAATTATGCAAAAACCTTCGATCCAAATCGAGAATATCGTCCCCAAGAACCGATCGAACGTAATGTACCGATCGATACAGCTGCAGAATGCAACTGATTAAAACGTTCAAGATTGAACGTTTATGTATGATTTAAAAAAATAAAATAAAATAAAATATTCAAGCTACGTAATATCATAATCACAAAATACATACAAAACATGATCTGATTGCTATTCGCTTTCTCACTTAAATCGTACTTACTTACATATTTGATCTTAATCCAGAATGACAAGCGATTATATGAACAATATGTTTGAGTGAAAGGCTAAAACGAATGAATATCAAAGATTGAATTTTAATCGTAAAATGCTAACTGTTTATTAGCTCTTTATATATGTTGCAGATGAATAAAAGAAAGGACGCAAAAAGAAAAAAAAAGTAGAACAGATTTTAATAGAACCAGTGATTTGTTTTTGTCTCTATCGATTATCATAAGTAACACCTATATTCTCTTTTCATTTTTCGCCTCTCTCTCTCTCTCTCTCTCTCTTATACGTTTCGTTCTCGTTCAAATTTTATTTTACAGGTAGTATCGACTCACTGTATATTTGTCTTGACAAATGATTAAATTTTTCGCCATTCACCGTATTCAATAGAGCCAACTCGATGATGTACTTACTTGTATGGATGTGTTGTTACATCCATTTCTATTTTTTTTCTTTTCGTTTCTTCAACGATGTCGATCTTGTTAAGCTTCTCTTGATGCCAAGATGCCGATAGACATGAACAAAAATCGAAATCAAGCTATAGCATATCAAGTACAGGCTCTTTACTCTTCATCGTAAAGTATCGAACAGTATATCATATGCCGATTATGTAATTATATTTCAACACACATCTGTGTATAAAAAGTAAGCATTAGACTACGTAAGGTATCTTTATACTACTAATAGAAAAATGCACTTGACGGAGTCTGTATGTCAATACTTTTTGAATTATGTTTTTCACCTATATACACTTATATACTACTAAGATAATTGTGTAAAAGCTAAGTAAACTGAGCTATGTTTTAGTGCCATGTGACGGTATAAGAGATTGAGAGTAAAACGCAACAAGTGAGCAACGAAGAGGAAAAGTCAAGCACTGTTCATATAAGAGTATTCTCAAAGAAAAAATAAACAACATTAGATTGATTTTTTTGTTCACAATAAAAAGAAATGAATCCTTGTTTGATGACTTTAACTTTATATAACCGTCACTTTCTGAATGAATGTGATATATTTATAAAACAAGCCATAAGTAAACAGAAAAAAAGAAGACGAAATCTAACAGTACATAGTTGATTCCCATCTATGAATGTATCTAGATCTTTGAAACAGACGAGAGATATTAGATTTGAGATTATTTTTAATCTCAACCCACAAGCTGTGCATCCTTGAAAAAAAGCACTTTCTTGCGTTTTTGTTATTCGAGAAACAAACAAAATTTTCAAAAGCCTGCGGGCATAACTGGTTTACATCCAAATGTGCACTGCTGCGAATTATATTATTATGAAAAACATTTATTTTTAATGTTTATACAATAACATGCAAAGAGTTGTGTTTTTTGATAAAAGCTGAATTGTTTGTCTGATAAAATAAAAATCTATAAGTCTTGAAAAAAATGAAATTGGTGACAATCAAACTTTAATTTATTTGAAAATGTCACCCTAACAATGAATTTGTTTTTACTCATCATCATGAGTATCTGAAGATGACACTAGAAAAAACGTTCGGCTTTTAATTTTATATCTTTTCATCGATTTTTGTACATGTCAAAATACGTTTAAATATATTTATTTGACATAAATTCTTAATATTTTAAATTGTTTTCTCGATTAATATTATATATCATTTATGCCTATTGATTGGTTATTCTCTAATTCAACTTTCAACAAACAACAACATCTGTCTGGCTGCTATACTTTAATGTCAGCTGTCAGATTTGTTTCAAAACTGGCAGATCACTAGTAAAGATTCAGTTTTAGCTATGAACTTCGTTTATATTCTCTAAGCAATAAGATTTTTAAAATAATCGACTTATTGAAAAGGTTTTAATTTGTTTTGTAATTGATTTTAATATTTTTCGTTGAGAACCAGTTGTTCTTTATTATTCCAACTAGAATGTAATTCGTAGCCAAAATTGTAAGACTATATCAGTATTTCTTATCAGTTTATGTTGATGAAGTTTGAGTTTTAGTTGTTGAGTATATTGTTACAAATACCTTTTGGTTATTTATATTTCAAGATTTCGTATAGATGTCGCCAGTAGAAACAGTCTCTCTATACTTATGATTAGGATAAAAAAAAGTGATGCCATACGATATCGGAGTGGAATCCTTTTTTTTTATACTAATAAAATATTTACTGAGTAAAAAGAGTCGATGACGTCTTCATCGTTATCATAACATATGAAGCTGTTGAACTATATTCTTCGTAAAATAAAACTCATTATTATTCTCATCGGCGTCACCTGATAGGCCATTCAAAATTGTCAACTCGTATCGTTTGTACATTCGATAGGCATTCAAATCATGCTTTTATTTTAATATATGTTGGTGATTTAACACGTGTAAGTAAACGTGATGAATTTGAAAACATTAACAAAATTTCGCTGAAAAATAATTATTGCTGGTAATCATCATTTTGTACTTGATAAAAAAATTTATGATACTAATTGGTGCAGATTTCACAGTTGACTGATTTATTACTTCATAGTCAATATGGTATTATTTATTCGCAAGATCAAACTTTTATTGATAAAGTAACTCAATTAAAATTTTATGGGATGTTAGTTTTACACTAATATAAAATAATAAATATATCATCTTTTTTTGTTTTCATTAGTCTATGGCATATTTGGATATATACGTGAAGCATATGGAAAACACCAAGACTAGGTTTTTATTTTCTGTTCCATGTGCATAACTCGGGTAATTCTCGTGAAAAAAATTAATCTATTAAGATTATTTTATGTATTTTTGATTAGGCGAAATAAAGATCTCCATGGAAATGTCATGTCATTTTGATTGATGCCACTTATTACTTTTTCTGTTTATCATTTGATGGATGAAATAATCTCAGACGAGAGATTATTAGATACAAGGAATAGTAATTCATTGGATTCGTGATGATATTTGGAACACTGTATATAAGTATCTGATTGATAGAACGAGTAATTCTTGCTATTGTATTCGCTGCTATCTTGAAAGCAAACATTTACAATACAGTTTATCATATTTTCCCTTTCGTAAACACCGATGTTAGCTTTTTACTAGGCTAAAATTCATTCTGATCAACCCTACTGATTCTCCTACTAATTTCCATATTTCATATTCTATGAACTCAATCTATACAAAAGAAACGATGATTTTTCTAGATAAATAATTTAAAACATCATCATGGGTACATTAATGGGCCATATTCTACCTGGTACATTCTTTGCTATATTTGCTATATGGTGGGGATTTTGTGTCGCCGTAAAACATTTCCATTCACGCCATTCAAGAAATAAAACTCGAAAGCCAAATTCATATCGTTCATCAACAACATTTTCCTGTTTATGTTGTCCATCATCATCATTACGAGAAATTCCTCTTGAATCTTATATAAAATTAATTTGTATCATTATTGGTATATTAGGTGAATCTGTTACTGGCTTAAAACATCCATATGATGATACATTGAAACGAAAGATTTGGACATTCGAGCAAGTCAATGCTCAACATATAGCAATGTTTTTTTCGTTTGGTTTAGCTTCATTTATTGAAATTCTTGTTAATGCAAAATACAATTTACCCAAAGGAATCGAATTTTTAGCTAATATTTTCGCATTTGGTGTTGAAGGATTTTTATTTCATTTTCATCTTCATGGTAGAAATGAAATTGATATTCATGTTCATACATTACTCGTGTATAATATTGGCTTTTGTATTTTGGCTGGTATTTGGGAATTTAATCGACCCAATCAAATTTTAGCTACCTATTGTAGAATTATTGCAACCCTCTTACAAGGAGCTTGGTAATAGTAGAAACATGAAGATTTTTTTAGTGGCAAATAATCGTGTTATTTTTCTTAAGGTTTTATGCAGCTGGTTTTATTCTTTATTTTCCATCGGATGATCCCTATTGGATATGGTCAGCAAGTCATGGAAATATATTAATCATAACGGTTATGTTTATCTGGCTTGGTATATTGTCAATCGTATTTCTTCTATTGCAATCGTTGTTCGTATGGAAGTTGTTAAAACGACGCTATGGAAGCCTTTCAGAGTATAGTATGATTAACAATAATGATGATGATGATGAAATAGTTCATGAAGAAGGACGTGAAAATTCAAATAATCATCAATTAAAACCATACAAAACAAATAACGGAAATACGAGTATTCATGTGAATAATGATGATGATGGTGGTGGTGATAGTGATAGTCAAATTGAATTTGAGCAGCAAAAATTTACATCAAAAATATAATTTTATAACAGTGCGAGTTTCTGTTTCTGTGATGAATGTTTGCGTGTGTCAAACAAATCCTTTCATTTCTTTTTTATTGATTTTTTTCCTAACTGTATTGAAAATCGTTGCACTTAGCTTGACAGTTTTACTGCACAGAGCTTTCAATATTGTCTTTTGATCTACGAGTTTAAATCAATTCATATTCCAATAACTGCCGTGGAATCTTTTCGTTTTCCTCGGTTCATCCATCAGTATTTGCTGTTGTCGTTTTCTATTGTGATGTTTTGTTTTACCGTAATTTTATAAAATTGGGTATTTGGGATTTTTGTCCTGTTCATGTAAAGTTTGATATTTATATTAATCAATCTCAAAAAGAGAACTGGAGAGCATTGCAAAAAATCTTTTCTGTTATCGATATTTATTTGTTTTTATAGACAAGTAAATATTGACGAAAGTATACTTATTTCAAGGTAGATATAATGGCTAACAATATTATTATTCAACGAGGTTTTTTCTCTGTCGATATCTAAATCATGATTGGAATAAGCAATGATGTAATTCGAGATTTGTGGAAGCTTTCTTTGGGTGAGATCAAATATTCCTTGTAGTGAGTCGTTAATCCTGTTGTTTTTCTTTAACAAAGTTGTAATTACTAAAAACCTTACTGATATACATTGAAATAGAATACGCCATTGGTTATGCAATGGCATTGTATGCAATGCTTACTAAATTCCCTCCAGTTATAGATACCCCCCCCCCTTAATTAATTAATTTTTTGCTAATCACGAACTTTAATTAGTGTTTTTTCCATCAAAATATGCATGATTTCTAGCATTTTAAGCTGGAAATATTAAGAGAATGTGTTCACCATTATAATGACACCTTTAAAACTCTGAAAATCGCCTTAGTTTTCTGGAAAATATTTTAAATTAAATATTAGGAAAAAATGCGGGTCTTAATTAGAGATGGACCGTTGATTTTAATTTGAGTTAATTAAGAGAGTTAATTAAGTGGTTTTACTTAACACTTAATATTAAGAAAAAAACTTTTACATTAGCGACTTAATTACTTAATATTAAGTGTTAACTCAATACTTAATTTTTAATATTAAGTGTTAAACGAAACACTTAATTTTTAAAATTAAGTATTGCTTTAACACTTAATATTAAGTAATTAAGTGGGTAATCTACACATTTTTTTCTTAATATTAAGTGCTCTAGCAATACTTAATTTTTAAAATTAAGTGTTTCGTTAACACTTAATATTAAGAATTAAGTATTGCGTTAACGCTTAATATTAAGTAATTAAGTCGCTAATGTAAACGTTTTTTTCTTAATATTAAGTGTTAAGTTAAAACTTAACACTTAATATTAAATTAACGTAAAGTGCCACCCCTACTGTAAATTGTTTATTTTGTAGAAGACTTTCGTTCGATGGCATCATCTGGTCAACTCTCACTGGAAGAATTCACCACACTATGGAGCGAAACATCACCTTCAACTCGAGCTAATGATCCTGAATCTAATCATGTAACCAAACGAGTTTTTGCTTTTTTCGATCGAGACCACTCAGGTAAGTCGTTTGTTTTTGTGATAACTTATCATCCTAGTCTGGTCTTTTTCTTCAGGGAAAGTGGACTTCAGTGAATTTATATTGGCGTCCGTCTTGATGGCACCTGGTACACCGACACAAAAACTTGCACTTCTTTTTGTTCTATGCGATTTCAATAGTGATGGTTTTCTTTCAATGGAAGAAATTGAACATATGTATCTCATAACTAAGGCAGGTGAAGAAACGCTCGATCAAAAAGAATACGAAACATTCAAGGCTCACTTAAAAACAGTCTTTCCGACATATGATGTCAACAAGGATGGAAAAATGACTCAAAAGCAATTCCGTAATCTTTGCACCAATGACGACATTTTCAAGCGACTGGTAGCTTGATCGACTTCAAAATCGATATAGAAGGCGAACTCTATCATTAGAATATAATCCAAAATTTCATTAGAACTATGCTGAAACTGTAATTGTCTTTTAGTTTATCTATCATACGCTTTGACACATTAGTCATATAATAGATACAAATAAATAAAATGCACAAAAAGTTTATTCAACTGTACATTTTATCGCTGTTGAATTCAGTATGACACATAGGAAACTATTCTTGATGTATTTTTTCAAATAATCAGCGATAGACTTCGATGGATGGCATATCAGTAGACGATGAAAATAGCAAGGCAGTTTGTTTAGAAAATCTACGCGAATATTGAGAATGAAATACTATTGTAGAAGTGACATTTAATTGTGTCTCTGGTTTTCTGCATAGAACAGCGATGTTCCCTTGTCGCCAAGATACAGATAAAAACGATTACGATACATATTGGCCAAGATGGTAGTGGGGGGGGGGGGGGGGGGGGGGGGGGGGGGGGGGGGGGGGGGGGGGGGGGGGGGGGGGGGGGGGGGGGGGGGGGGGGGGGGGGGGGGGGGGGGG